ATCGACGTAACATAAAGGTAACGAAAAACGGGCAACAAAAAACATGCAAGTTGTTTTGCAACATTGCTGCAAAGCGAGTTGAATTGCCATGTTGAGCGTTTCAATTACCACCCATGTTCAAACCTGTTAACAACCCGATTTGCTGTAAGACAGGTTTAATGTGGGTGGTAAAACGCGCAACATCGCTATTCAACTCGTTTTGCAACAATGTTGCAAAACAAGTTGCACGTTTTTTGTTGCACGTTTTTCCGTACCTTTAGCCGAATAGGTCTATTGACGGCTTGTACTTCAAGTAATTTACTTTGTCAACAAGTGTGAAGCGATGTTTTCTACAGAGCGACTGAAGATTTCCAAGTGCACTTGAACAAGTTCGTACTTGAACTACTAACTTTGCTTCTAGTGCCAACAATTATTTTTTCTGCGGCAGGCAATAAAAAGTTCCAGCGGGCAAATGCGCCAGCTGTACGCGTATGATGCAAATGAGTCAAATTAATCCACCCGACGATTGATTGAAGACGGGATGAGCACGAGTCTCACAAACACGCACACGGCTTGTGGTTTCTCTGTTCTGTATCACGTGTTCGCTCAAAAACAATGCGTTCTCTGTTCTGTAGTACGTCATAAAAGTTACCTTGCATTACCAAGGTGAGTATAGCTTGCGTAGCAAGCGTTTCCGTTTGGTTTTGGAGCAAAAGAGACCGTGGAAGGGGATTTTCGGTTTTGATCGCGCGAGAAATGAAACGAGAACCAAAAAAGGAAAGAGGGGGGATGGGAGGGGAAGGAAGGATAAGGTGCGTAAAAACGGGCAACAAACGTGTAACTTGTCCTGCAACATTGCTGCAGAACAAGTTGAATAGCGATGTGGCGCGTTTTACAACCCACGGTCAAACCTGTTAATAACCTGATTTGTTGCAAGACAGGTTTGATGTGGGTGGTAAAACGCGCAACATCGCTATTCAACTGGTTTTGCAGCAATAACAAATAACGCCGCAAACTTGTATTGTGTCTTTGACGCAAAATAATTCGGAAGGCTTCATCGGTGCACCATAAATCTTTTTTTTTTTCCTGAAAAGTAGACTTCCTAAGCTTGTAAAAGGAGACCAATTAAATCCGTACGTTGAATATTCGGGGACTTAAATATGATTTTTCGAGGATTCTACGTTCTCTTAGAAGACCACTAAATGACCACTAAAATCACCTGTGCGCAACTTCGGCCGAAAAACACGAACTTCAATATCGCCAAAAATATGCTATGTAAAGTCAGGATTTCAAATTCTTTATACAGTAGAACAATTTAGTTCACAATTTTGAAGGTAATATTTGCTTATGCAATCAAACTGAGTTCAAACTATTTTTCGTAAATTACGGTAATTCATGACATTTCTAACCAAATTGAACAGCGCGCACGTTTAGGTAAAATCCTTGCTCGTTGCCACTTAGCGATAGCATAACTAGTAATACTATATGCCAGATATCAGCTCAAATAAATAAAAGGCAAAGAAAGATTTGAGCTATTCTTAATAACTGATGGAAAGGAAAAGGAAACAGATCAAGGGTGTTCTGCGTAAAGACTGAGAAAGGTGGTCCAAACATGTTTTTTTTCCCGTTATAATCAGATTAGTTCTGGATTTCCCAGCCGGAATTATCGAATTGCAACTTTCCTTGCACTGTCCACTATACAGGGTCGCTTGTTTTGTTTGACTGAATCCGCATCTTTCTTCGGTAAATTTCTCACACTGGCGTACTCGGCTTTAAAAATGGGAAAATGCTGGATTAAATTATGGCATTTGTTTTCAGTGTGTTTTTAGGAAACAAATAATTAGTTCTCAGGTAATCAAAGCTAAGGTTACTGAACTCCCTGATTTTTCCCAGTTAAATACGATTTTGAGGCTGTCCGATTAATGTTGTTTGGCTACTGAGTGTTACAAATTTTCAGAGTAACAATGTAAAATATTTAAACCAAATGAATAAGCTAATGTATTTAGCTTTTACTGAGTGTCAAGAACTTCTTGGTATTTTCGAATTCAATCATAATCGCCCCTTAATCATAACCGTTTAAGGCAGTTATTCTCTGGTATCGTCAGGAAAGACTTATTTTCTATTCGTACGGATTTGAAATCGTTAAACAAGTAAGATCTCCACTTCTAAAATGCTTTTAGATCAAATTTTTACAAAGATTATATGGATTAGCTCAACAACGCTTTTGCCGTCCACAAAATGGACAGTTTTTGTATACAAAAATGGACCGTAGCTTGCTTCAAACCTTTTTGTTACGGAAACTCTACGAGACTCTACCGGACTCAGACTCTAACGAAGTTTCTGTTCAGTGAACATTCCCACAAAAGGACTTTAAAAAAAAAGAAAATTTGGAGAATGACACTATTAACCAGTTGTATTCAGTGTAAGCTGGCGCCAATTGAGTAAGTGTTAGTCAAACGGATCGGGATTGCCGGATTATGAGTCAGCGTACAGCAGACAGAGAATGGCATGCCCTACCCTTCCGTACACATTTTCAGAGATAATTTGTTCTTGAATCATTGTCAATTAAATCTTTAAGGACCATCAAGGGCCAAAGTCTTTAAAAATAACACTGTTTAGACTAGGCGTACTGCGCTGTAATTCCAAAACTGTAAGTTACATATCTACTACCCTTATATACTCGCATCCTTATATGCGACCACCTACAAAAAAAACTAAGCGGCCAGGTTTTCCCAAGAAAACTGACTATCTAATGGTTGGGACCTCTTGTAAGCGACCACAATACCTTAACAAATTGGGTGGTCGCTTGACTAATCAGTATTCTTTAATACCCGCTGAGTTTTAAAATGGCATACGTTAGTTTGTTTAGCATGTGCCGCCCTGAACTTATTAAATGACACTGATTAGTCTGGCTACTTGTACCATACCTGGTAAAATTTTCGAGACGCAACTGAAGGATTTTTAGCCAGGAAGTGCTGGGATTTCCGAAGATAATCTTAAAAATTCCGAAGGCTTCCGAAAATTTCCGAAAATGTCCGAAAGTTTTCGAAATAAACTTAAACTTTTTCTGAGAAGCGTTGAATTCGTCGTTACTGAAGAGCTTGATGTCAAAAACAAAGAATAAAATTCTTTGAGCCATCTTGATAAACAAAGTCATGATGTGCAAGAAATTTCCAACATTAGGAGGAAACACTGTAAATGCTGAATAAATGTTAGAACAGTAGGTAAAAAGAGGACAGAAAGACGTAAATTCTCTGGGGTAATTACAACACAAGCCTTCTTTGCGATCGATTTTCATTCATGTTATGGTAGTGAACAGTTTTCTTTTTTTGCCCTGGAATTTGTTTGCTGTCACAATCGGAGGAAGGTGAACCACTCTTCACCTACGTTCACAGTGATTTCTCACGCACATTTACCCTGCGAGCAGAGGTTACTCTCTTGCATGGCTTTTAGCGTTTACGAAGTCGTTCGCGTGGCTTGTCTGTCGCTTAGTTGGTCTGTTTACGCCCCGTGAGAAACGCTAAACGTTGAACGTTTCTCACGGGGCGTAAACAAACCAATTACGCGACAGACAAGCCACGCGCACGACTTCGTAAACGCTAAAAAAAAGCATGCAACAGAGAAACCTCTGCTCGCAACGGGTACGGCACATTAACTTGCCCAAGACTAGACCACGGCGTACGAGCGAGGTTATTGGTCACTTATAATGTGTGGAAGAAATCCTAAGGTGTTTCAAGTCAAATGAAACTTCTTTAGTGGAACTTTTGGAAAGTACTATTTATTTCTTCAGGCCAAATGGATTTTATAAATAAGGACATTTGAATTTTTTTAGTCATTTAGGGCGATTAGAATTGAAAGGGTTAATCTGCCTATCTATTCAATTTCATCGCGCAAAAAAGATGACCTGTTTCAGTAGAGTCTAGAAATAGAAAGTGAGGTTTGACAAGGGTTCAAAAAGCATGTTATTTTAAATGGATGAGCTACTTGTGGTTCGTAAAATAAAATAACCTTTCCAACCCCTACGCTTTACACAATTATCACAGGGCAGTGAAATGAGAGTCACACTTACGTCATAAGTGATTCTGTTGGAACCAACGTCATGATTAGTAAAAGAAATCCATAAAGCAGTTAATCCTAAATCAATGTAAAGGATAAAAAAACACAAAAGGAAGATAACGTCAGATTTCAATCAGACATTGTATTTTTAGTGTGTTGATTTGTGGGCAGACCTGAAGGTTAAATCATTTATATCACTCTAAAAAGGTAATATAAAATAGGTTAAACCCCGATTAAAAGTGCCACATTTTAAGCTCCTTAATTATGGTGCTAATTAAGAAAAAGAAAAGAAAAGGGTGTTCCATTCCTTAGGGATCGTTTTCCCCAACATGTAAATATATTTTATATACGCACCTGATGGACAGAAATTACAGTGTCACGAAATTGCTTCGCGTTGAAAAAACATAAAAAAGAACCTTACATCGTGGAAAAAAATCCTGCTTTTCTTTCTTTACTAAAGGTAGAAGACTGAAGAAAGAATGTACCAACTCTTTATCAATAAAAGCAAAAAAGAAAACCAAAACTGGCGTACCTGACTTTGGAATAAGTCGTTCGTGACCTAAGGTTCTTATATATTTACAGATATTTGATCACGAACTTGTTTTCAGTGAAAACAAGAGAAAACCACATCTGACATGAACACCGTACACCGTAATCTTCACTGCGCTTAAATTCTCCTGACCCTCCACGTAAATTTAGGAGAACGATTTTTTAACACAACAACTTTCAGGGCCTGAAGATAGACTAGGCAGAAGGTGAGTCTAGCCTATTCGGAAATGGGCAGATATTCCTAATAAAAGAATAATGGGAAAGATTCGCAAGTATAGCTAGACCAATTTAAGACTGACGTCTATTGGTCAACCACCGGAAATGAAAAGCGGAAAAGTATTAGTAGCGTCACACTTCGCGGTTACGTGACTAGCGGCGCATAACAAAGTCAACCAATTGTCAACAGCTTGTTCTGAGGCATATAAATACAGACACGGCTAGGATGACGGCAAAAGCTTCCTGACGTGATACCGTGACCCTGTCTTTTCACAGGATTGTCGAGGCAATTGAGCAATACGCTTTCTATCCTGTAGCAGAAGTGGAAGGAAATTATTTTATCGATCGTCGCGAGATGACAAACCACCTGTGTGCGCCCCCATCACAAAATGATTGCTTTAATCAAGTGGTTATAATCGAGTTGCCCAACGGGTCGACAGCGAAGATATTGATTGGGAATACTGACTGCGCGACTGTTCGCGACTTGAAGCTTGGATGTGAGTTACAGTTCGGTATACCTTCCAACCTGCAGAGAGCCAGCGCCTTGGAGAATCCAGAGATAGAACTTAGTGACTGGATACTGCTCAAAGACACTGTTCAAACAATTGACGATGTTATTGTGGTTCAAGTGCCAGTGTGGTGGAACAAGTTTATTTGCGTTTCCTTAAACAATGAAATAGAGAACGTTTGCAGAAGAGCTAAGCTGCCCATGCAGCAAATCAGCAAGGAAGAAAGGCTTTTCGTCGGATTCTTCATCGCCTGCTGCTGTGGGCATGAGAATCTTCTGGAGAGGCTTAGAACACTAGACATTCACTTCGATCAGCAGGCGGCCACGGAGTCCGGCAGGAATCTTTTTCACGCCGCGGCAGCAAGTGGAAATGTAAACTGCGTGGAGTTTGTGGCCAAACATTTGGTCAAGCCATCAAAGGAAATATTATCAAAGCTAGACACCAATAGGGAGACACCGATTGATATTGCTCGGAGATTCAATAATCAGGATGCAGAAAGATTGCTTTACAAGTTCTTGTTTTATGAAAAGGGTGAACGGGAACAGAGGAACTCCGATGAATCTGGAATCGATGTGTGCGATTCTGTCGACTCAGATGACTCTCTGGAGGGGACAAAACCTCGACACGACAACACTGACCAGGAAGAAACACAGAAAGACTGCGAAAAAAACCACCCAGGGATGCCAAAGAATGGTTTTGAGGATGGAGAACTTGTAATCACCGAGTGTGACGAGGGCGATAGCTTTGCTGTCGACGTAAAAAAGGAACTGAAGAAAAATTCACCAAAGTCCAAAGATGGCGTGTGTCAACAAGATGGCTTATCTAATAGCGGTGCACGTGGTGACCAAATGCGGGCAACCAGCCCATTCTCCTCAGACAGCTCTGATGACTGTTTGAAACTTTCTCCTAGACTTAACAGGCCTCAAACTCTTGATATATCGCCGAAACAACATCTTCTTCGACGGAGGTTTGTAAACGAGGATCCATCAGGAAGGCCAAAAAGCGCGCGAACGGTGCACTACCCCCAGATCAATGTCTACCAAGAGGAGGACGAGGAAGTAGGCCCAAATGAAAATCATCTTCCTCCATTAGACAACCAGACTCTCGTTAGCCACAATGCAGGTAACGCATTTAGTAAGAGAATGAAGCAAACTGTTGTTCGGACGATTAGCAGTCCCCATTCTGCTGCACTGAAGGAGCGTTTGATTCCGTCCCCGGAAGAGGAGCCTCTCACCAGCAAGAGCGCACCAGGATCTCCGCAAACCCTTCGGAGAATGGTGTTCAAGCCTTCTAGTAAACCTCCCTCTTCCCCAGGCAGTATCAGAGTTTGTCCCTTATCGCCAAACATGTCGCGCGTGTTGGATCAAAGACGTGGCTCAGAGCCGGTTGCATGTTTGAACAGGATAAACGGAATTAGACTGGGTCGTACAAGGAGAGATGCTGTGATTTCGACTGACCTGACGCACGGCGGTGATAGCCATGTTTCAGCAATGCCGAGCTCTCCTAGGATGTACAAACGAGGAAAATCGAGGTATGTATTGCCACAGCAGTTTTGAGTTTATTCAGTGAATTACTCTTTTACCCCTACTACGTAATTTGGGTTAGTGCAAGGAAGTTCTACAGGCTTCTTCAATTAATTTGTCTTCTTCTGACAGACAAATTTTCGCTGCTTCCCTAACGAAACTGTAAATACTTGTTGTACATTGATTCTGGAGCATGTTGGAGCTGGAAAACTTTTATATTTATGTTTATGTCTCAATTGCGTGTCATGAGGTTTTAGTTTAAAGTTCTCTCAAGTTTAGCTGGCTTTGTAAACAGTCACGTTTGTTCTACAAACATTTTCATTACATGGTAGATAATCAAGCACACGCTTATAGAAGATAGTGTTGCAGATTACGAAACAGGAGGTTTTGATTGCATTAATAGTTACAATGAACACCAAGCTCTAAAATTCTGATCGAATTGAATTAAAGCCGTGACACTGAGATTGACAACTCATACCGCTGTTGTTAAGCCGGTTTGAAGTTTCTTCGTGACTTTTTTGTGATTGATCCACTTTCGTCTCTAACACGCTACATGGTACTAAGGAGCCTCTGATCGTGACAGGTTTCAGCTTTACGTAAACGAAGAACTATAGTTTCGCTGAGTCACGTATCTATTTCATGAATACCGCGTTGTTGACCTAAGTCGCTGTATGTTGTTGTTATAGAACGTCCAAGTCGATTTCTTGAATATTTCCCCATATTTAAAAACAGGAAAGCAAAATAACATAAGTGTGCCAATTTGTTACGGCATCAAATTTTGTTATTTTATTCCCGCGGTCAAACCTACAGCGAGTTGTCTATTCATACAAGCTCATGTTTTCTCTTTTCTTAATTAAAGAATTTTTAGATGGATTTGCACTGCAGATGTAATTACATGTTATGTTCTCAGTAACAGTTTCCACTTTTGTTCACTCTTTCGTTAAGACTTCTTTCTTCGTTATCCTTACTAGTACGACCCCTCCAAGGACCTCGAAACCGAGACTGATTTCTGACAGTTATAATTTTTATATGTTAGTGACCAGATTGTCGAGTCTCGCTTGAGAGAACGTTTAGTGTCGTGTTTGTTTCGGTGTTAAGGATGTTTTCCTTCAAGCGTAAAAACAAAAGTTGTTTTCAAAAGCGTAGTGGAAAAAAATAGAGGTCATCAATTTTAATCAGTACCTGAGGGTAGAAAACAGCAGGGTGGCCGAGTTGCCTTTCATCATTAGTTTTGTTAAAAAAGAACTCGATTCGGCTTACTTTTCTTGCAAATCTTTACTTCTACGTTTCGTCCAATATGCTGTATTGAACAGTAAGATCAAGAATACACAGTTTGACAGGAAACCACTGTTCAAGAGTTTTCAATTAAACGTTACCCTTTCCGACAAGCCGCAACGACTTAATTTTTCAAGACATGACCTTCACAGGGCTATAAACCGACAATAATGGCTTTCATCTGACTGGTAATACTTCAGAGTCCATATAAGAGCCACGTCATATAACAGGCTGTTTTATTCAGGAATTAGGTGAAACGGCAACTCTCTTAATGTGGCCTTAAAGAGACGACCTGAGATTTCACTATTCACTGTCCTATTACGCGTGACTTTCAAAAGTTTAGCTCGTGTTTTTCGAGTCAGTGTGCGGCTGAATAATCTGTTTGTCTTAGGAATCAAAATAAACGGATTTTTTTCCTACAAACACAGCCTCAGGGCTTGAAATAATCCGCAGTACTCCTTCCGTAAAACGTTCACTTAGGTCCCGCCGTCCTCCCATTCCCCGGCCCTAGCCAAACTAGGAAAGACACAAGGACAAAAAGGGCCTTCTGAGACATCACAATGCACTGCGGAAGCAATGCAAGAGCCTACCATGGAAAAAAAAAACGCTAGTGCTGGTCAGCTTGTTCCCTCTAGACTTCTATAGAATACAGTGGGTCTTGTTTATGTTCACCCCTTATAAGCTCTGGCGACAATTTCCATTTAAGCCGAGTTGTTTACTATTAGCTTAGCGGTTCCTCATTGTTCTTTTTCTCCGAATCACGTAGGCTGCAAGCCTCGTCTTCGGACGAATAGACTAGCCTGTACACAGACGTTGCTTTATTTTTCTTTTCGACAATCGGCGAGCACGAAGCGCGCCAACGAGCGCGGAGCGCGAGATTTTCTTCTTCCCCCACCCCTACCCTCTTGCGCTAGTGGTCATTTAATTCCCAGCAGTTTTTATTTTTATCACGCGGGCGCACTCGGCGGACTTTTAAGAGGAATTAGAGGGTCTGTGAACAGGCTTGAACAGGCTACGTATAGAAGCGGTATGAACATTTTGAATTCGGAAACAATAATGAACAATTCAGTCGAGATGTTTCGAAAATAACCTGAACTTGGACGTGATGGACACGATTGTTTGGAACAATTAAAGTATTTTTAAAACAGCTTTGTGATAAAAGTAAAACAGAGCGAGGCGAATAGTGAAGCCTAGAACCCGGTCCAAAACCGACGTAAAAATCAGTTGCTTAAAGCCTTAACTTCAGCTTGTAATTATTAAGTTCGAGGTTTTCAATTCATTTCCTTTCCTAAGTTTTTGGTTCTGAAGTGATCCACCTGAACCAAAGCTATTCTCGTCAAGTTCACTTTTTTGAACAAATGTACGGATTTCTATACTTTAACAATTTGGGGCTGCTGATAGAAAAACCATCGACAATTATTGAGAATTTTAGCTTTTAACCTTTACGGGCCATTTCAAGGGAAAAAGTTCCCTCAATGATTTTTTGTAAACGAGCTTGCTTTTGTTCTTGTCCCGTGATAATAACCGGAAGCAGGCCAATGAAATCGCGTGGATAATATATTTGTCTTTTCTTTGTATTTTCATGTGCGGTAAATGACTCAGAAGCAAATAATCCACAACATCCGGGACTTTAAGAAAGTTTTTGTTTTGAAATTTTCTTAATCAGTAGGCCTTGATCAAATTAGGAAATCTTGTTTTTGTGGCCGTGTAATCTCGTTAACTCAAAGGCAAACTCTCTGGTGAAATAAGAAAGGTTCGAGTGCTGCTCAAAGTTTCTTTTTCTGAACGTTGTATTAATGACAAAAACCAAATTGTGTGCAAAGACTATTAACTTCTAGTTGCACGTGATGTTTAATAGACTGGCCTACCAATCTGAACATACAAAACACATATTAAAATTTCCAAGTGTAATTCCTCTGTGTGGACAAAGATTACCTTTGTGCAAATACATGAAGGCCTTTTCACTTGCTTCATATTTAATAACTTTCCTACACGGCTTTTTGGTCAGTTGTCGGCTGAATTGTGAGCGGGAATCGTTGAGTTGAAATTGTTGAATTTCACGTGCTACGCCTTCAAGAGGGGATTGAAGATAGGTGGTCTGTTCGTAAAAAGCGGTAAGAAATTATTCCTGAAAGATAATCAGCTTTTGTGTGATAACCTGATGAGCAGATTTGAGACTAACTATTTATGTCATATACGCGATACTTTTCGTGGGAACATTCCTGAGGCGAGAAGAGATGCGAGGCAATTTTGTTCACTTTAGGGGGAAAAGGCACTTGTTTTTTCATCTTAAAAGGGAAAACGAGACTTAAATTCGCAGTTCGTTAAACAATTCTAATGTACCTTTTTAAAAAACAGAATCATGGGATGATACGATTCGCTCGAGAGCTGAACAGCATATTTCTTCGGTTCCAAATTGAGCGATTCAGTTGTATCGGGATTACCTCAGCAATAAAATGTATCAACATTAATTTTAACTTTTTCTAGCCAAAACAACCGACAGCGTTTTGCATTTCTTAGCTAGGGAATGAACTAGAAAGGAACAGTCTCGCTTAAATTAAGACTTCGGCCTCTATAACAAAACATCTTCTAATAGGTCGTCATGGATTTTTGCATTTCCCGTCTTATATTGAAACAGTGTTACAGAGGTCAGGCTATCTATTTTTTAAGTTCTTTGTATTAAAATGGCAAGTATTTTACTCTCCGATCTTATTCGACCCAGACTGAAGTGCAAATCTATTAAAGACCAATTCAATTGAAAGTTTGTTTGCTGAAAAGCATGTTTCAAACACGGAGTTGGTTTCCTGAGGTTGAAATAAATGGACACTTTGTCTGTTTTCATCAGTGTAACAAATTCGGCTCAATTCGGGGGACGTCGTTGCTCATACCTTGCTGGGCCAAAAAAACTCAACTTGTGGACAAGTCGAATCACTTTTTCACACGGTAGATAATTAGCAAACACTTGGAGTTGATCGGTCATGATTTGCTTATCATGTCTATCATGAGAGCAATCTAAAGTACCAGTATAGGTCAGACCACACGATTATCAGCTTCTGCTAGCTTGATAAAGACAATTCAAAATTTTGGTAACAACTGTCAGTTTCATGCTTATTTAATAAATAAATGTCGATATAAAGAACTAAATTCAACTACTGATAAACTGTACAGGCCAACAGCAATTATTTTTTAATAAACATCCACGACAAAAATGCAGATATTTTGATCTCTCGGAAAGCTTACGGTAATGTCATCGGTAGCCGGTACTTAACTAATTTGTTTAGGCTTGTTGAGTACTGGTTAATATAAATTAGATCTCCCTTGCTGAAGCTTGGTCCAGAATAAAATACTTCAAGTCCTTTTTTAAAATTCTTTGGATGCATGTGTGCAAAATAAACAAGCAAACACACTAAAAAATCCCGATTGTGTATGTATAAATTGATTTTTAAACTCGGGAATGTATAACGCAAGGAAGTTTGCCAGCAATTTTTGGCGGGAAGATCGAACGGATAACCGCATCACAATCCGGAGCAACTTTGTTTATTTTGCCGGATAAATCTAATCGGAAATTTGACGATGACTCTAATAGCAAAACGGATGAAATTGTGGGAAGCCATCAATTATCTCCGAGAAGGCATCTAAACTCAAACGCAACCTCAGTTGTGCTACAACGTACAAATTTGCCACCAAAATCAAGTTATTAGCCCGTGTGCTCCTCAGTATCAACAGGAAAGAACTGCGTTTTTTATGCAGGTGGTCACAAGAACAATGCTGCGCTTTACAATATAAAATCTAGTTCAGATTCGACTGTTAAACAATCAGACCACAAGACGGCATATTTTTAGGCAGATGTACTAAAAGTAGATCACCAAAGGAAAACGTTCTTGAAATAGTACCACGGAATCATTTGCAGTCTTCAAGGCTTATCATATCCTGACTGTGTGTTTCGTGATGATTCATATCACAGTTTTTACCAAACCACGAAGAAAAAGCATTAGAACTTTCTTTCTTGATAAATTTTCATTTTTTGGTGTCAGCATTCCAGATTGGATTAATTTTAGAGGATTTTAATTCTTGTCTTTGACGTTTTGAAGAGAATCTCGTCTCTGGTGTGTTTCAGTTGTTGTTGATGATGTTGTCAGGTTTTTCTTTTACTTTTGCTTACCAATTAAACTTACCAATTCAGAGGTTGAAATACATGTAGTTTAACTGATGTAACAAAACTCGTCAACATTGAACAGTTTCTTTTGAAGCCCACCCACTTTTTCATAGACAACCCATGCCAAAGAGTTCAATTTGGCGAACTTATATCGCGAGAAACAGTTAATTGGTTACGGCGCTTTTCACAAACATGCGAACTCTAAAGTTCATAAGCCGCCTTCACAATTGCGTTTTTCGCTGCCGTCAATCATAATTACGATCACAAGCATACGCGCGCAACGAACCTTGAAACACAGAAACACACAAAACGGATCGAAATCCTGACCAATCACAAATCACAAACCATGACCTTTTGAACGCGTTAAAGTATAGTTTTGTTTCCAAAGAGGTCCACTAAGATGATTGACGGCAGCGAAAAGCGCAATTGTTAGTTGGCTTTTGAACTTCGCAATTCGCATGTTTGTGAAAAGCGCAGAAAACTCAGACTGATCTGTTTGCAAATGATTCCAATCTACAACTGATGGCTCGTTTATATCTCACAAATCAGTAAAGTAGGGAGCTTTCAAAGATCAAGTATCGTCGTGCCCAGTACCTTTCCGATCGTTAACCCGGGTGGCGTAGTAGAATAGTTTCAATGCATATGTTACTTGTTTTCTCGCCCGAAAGAAGGCCAGATTTCTGAATCAATTTTGGATGTATACAAAGTTAGCATAATTAAGTAGGTATGTTTCTCCATACTGTGTCAAAAACGTACTTCTCTGTTATCTTTAATTAGTGGTTCGACGACCTCTGGTAGTGTCTTAAATCTTAAGCATAAATAGTTTTCGATGCCTTTATTTGGGTTCTGTTTGTAATTTTAATTTTAATCCTCAGGAAAAGTTTAGATGGTACCCAGAACAGTTTTACGTATGAGCATATCCGTCGGATTATAACCAGTTAAGCTCAAAACTGTGGTCAATTTTTTGTCTCCAGATCCATTTGTGAGGTCAGTTTGACGGACTCGCTGCGCTGTCGCACAGACATGGAAGACGAAGAAAGGTTAGATCGACCCTGGAACGCCTGGATAGCGGTAAGAAAAGAATCATTGCAGCTTGTGAACAAAGACAGCGCTCCTCAGTCTCCGACGAATCCACGGAGGATGTCCTACCAGCAATGGCTATCCGAGAAAGAGCTAGCGCACTTGAGAAAAATCTTTGCCAACGCACAGGAAGAGGCGAAAACAAACGAAAAACAAGCTAAGTTGCTTAAAGGGAAAACTTTCGACGAGTGGCTGGAAGACAAGCGACGGGAAATGGAAAGAGGAAAAGAGAAGGAGAAAGGAATGGAAGAAAATCAAAAACAGGAGGAAGACAAAAAGCAGCAGCGAAGGAGAATGTCGCAAGTAAAGTACGAAAAATGGCTGATGCAGAAAGAAAGAAACGCACTGCAACAGGCCGAAAAAATGGTGCAGTTAGCAAAGGAAAAACACGAACTCATGAAAAAGAAATGGGAGGAGGAAGACGAGCAAAAGAAAAATTGTAAATTGTCCCTGGGTCGCACTCACAGCTTACCAGTTGAGGGAAATCCTCGGACGGGAGGAATAAATAAGAACAGATTTACAAGTTTAAAGTAATTACTGCACAGTTAAATATTAAATTACTACTTTACCTAGTTTTATTACTTCAATTCAGTCAGAAAAAAACGGTTTGTTGACATTTTTTAGGCAATACTCAGATCAACTTTTGCACTATTCCGGCAGCGCACACCGATTAGAAGGCCGTCAAAAAAGCACATTTCTGATAGCTCTTCTTGATTGCATTATTTGTTATAAAGATACAATGTTCGCCAGCCTCGCAATATTTCCAAAATCAGGTGTATATATTTAAAGATTGTTCCAATGGTTCGATAGATCATAGTAGTTTACTGTTTGCGGGCATTGTATTAAGACAAGCCTATATTTCGCGTAGCTGTACGCACAATGGTAGGACGATTTAATACTTGAACTGAATAAAGATAAGACCAAAAATAGAGTTTTGACCGTTACTGTTATTCTAACCACTCTTTGACGTTCGGACAGACTAGCCCAGTCCGGTCGGGTATAAAGGAAGGCCGTATTAATAAGTCATCTAGCAGGATCTAGTAGACGTGACAACTGCAAAATGGCGCCACGGTTTTCCCGCCCTTTTCTAGAGGCTAGCTTTGGTTCAACCTCGTAGGGACGTGAAGGAGAGAGCCCTGGGAATGAAGTTGGCTTTGGTTGAGAATGAATTGTGAATGATAAATCATCCATAAGCCATACTGCTGCAGGACAGCTCATTACACCTCGTATTCACACCCTTTAGGCTTCTTGGTTAGCACGTGAGCTGTGACTAGATTAATCACTTCAAAATCAGGATGCCCTAGTGTTCTGAAATGAAATGACGAAAACGACTGACTACATTCTCAAAAATTTGTGTTAATTATAACCTGGGTTCGTTACGTCAATTCTCCACGTTTTGAGCGCGTGCTCTTCGTAAGGGCTTACTCATTTATTCGCAAGCCAAACGAGAGATCCGACCGACGTCAACATCTAGAATAAAGGTAACCTGAGATCAGGCCCAGTTTGAGTGTTTCTCATGTAATTTTCAAAGCGAACCGAAAATAGAGCCTGATCTCAGGTTAGAATAAAGGGGGAAGACGTTGCCGCATATACAGACTGAAACAACGACAAATTGTTTGAGCCTTTTGCTTCAGTTTGCGAATTTCCCCATGTCAGCCATTTTACGCCGTATGTGTACAAAGTCATACTCTCCGTTCCATTTACGTTGAACCCTCCCAAAACGGCCACCTTTGGGAGATAAAGAAGTGGCCTTTGTAGAGAGGTTAAACAAGAGTCAATGTATGAACTGTCCGCTAAGAAAATGTGGCCGTTATGGAGACGTGGCCGTACGTGTACAGTTCGACTGCTGTATTTTTAGCAATGCATCAATAATCACCCTGATCACAAATAACCTGCCATGCATGGCAAAAGCATGGCGGATTCACTTTTTACAAATTGAATCGCCAGTAATTAGACGTTCATGTAAGCTAAGAAACACATTCATCTTGTTTAAAAAACTGTAAGACATTCCTTGTTTGACTGTTGAAAATACAAAACCAAAAACTGCCAAACAACAAGGCGATTTACATGCCACTCAAACACGTTTTTCCCTTTCATTTTTGTCCTAACAAAAATATCCTTGTTGGTGTAATGTGTGCACGGGAGGGGGTAAGTGGTCATGGGCTCCAACACGTCCATTTTCATGACGACTATATGACGACCACAAACCGGCAAAACAGCTCATTAAAAAAAGAAAATTGGTGGTTCTCTAAAATCCCCTTGAACGAGAGAGGAACATGCGCATATTTCTAAATTGAGATCTATGAACCATTTCAAAGGCATTTCCTGGGGTATGCTATGAATGATAGCAACAAATAAAGAGGAAGTAACTGAATGCAATAAAAAGTGCCCAAGCTGGAAAATGAAAAGTGCGTTAACTTTCCGTTTGCTTCATACATATAGGGTGTAATAGCTGAAATCAAAGCTGACAAACAATGCATTAGTTGCAGTCAGATATTATCTCGCTCCCCAAACAATTACAATAAGGCAAAAAGCTATAAAAGTTGTAGAACTGGTAAATCATGTTGCATGTAGGCGGGTGCTGGGAGATGATTTCATGGCTTCCATGTGCAAATCTTGTAAAAGTGTTGGGAAATGTGTTCAAATATTGAGGACGTTTGAAAGACGTCAAAATGTTCAAACCCTCGAGCGGAACGAGAAGTCTCAGTCGAGTGGTTTCACAACCGCAAGGTATTGAACATTTTTGACGCCACTTCTACAAGTCATAACTATAAAAGTATTGAGAATGGAAATTTGTTGTCATTTTCAGTTTCTACAATAACATAACCTATATCGGGCGAAGTTTCTTGGAAAATTGCGCGCGACAGAGAGAAAAACGAATTGTACAATCGTTACGTCATTTCTATATATAGTCAAGTTCCCCCATATCCACCATAGACAATAGTTCTCGACCAATAAGCACGTGAGAAATCACAGGTAGTCATTTTAAAAGTTGATATTGGGAGTTAAGGGTTTAGAATACTGTATCAGGAAACTGTGGTTAGATTTTAGAGAATTTGCGTAAGTTACATTTTGAAAGGGAAATTAGCTCTAACCTTTTTTCCCGCTTGTGTTTTGTACGCGAATCAACTAAAAGCGAAAACAATACTGAATTGGATAAAAACACCGTTGAATAGCAAAAACAACAGTTAGGAATCAAGTTAAAAAGACTAGAGACAAAAATTAACAGTAGATCTAAAAGACACCTTAGGGTCTGGAAAGATTGTTAACTAAGAGCGGCTAAAACGATCTGCAAGGCGTGGCATTAGGGGAGTAAATCTAACGGACTCGTTTCATTGTCTCACTGCAGATATGGAAAGCGTAAAAAGGTCCGATCGACCGTGGAACGCGTGGATAGCGGTACGAAAGGAATCATTGAATCTACTGAACCAAGTCGACGCTTCTCAGTCTCCGATAAATCCACGGAGGATGTCCTACCAGCAGTGGCTATCCGAGAAAGAGCTTGCGAACTTGAGAAGAATATTTGCCAACGCACAGGAAGAGGCGAAAACAAACCAAAACCAAGCTAAGTTGATTAAAGGGAAAACTTTCGACGAGTGGCTGGAAGATAAGCGACGGGAAATGGAAAAAGAGAAGGAAAAGGAGAAAATAATGGAAGAAAATCAAAAACAGGAGGAAGACAAAAAGCAGCAGCGAAGGAGAATGTCGCAAGTAAAGTACGAAAAATGGCTGATGCAGAAAGAAAGAAACGCACTGCAACAGGCCGAAAAAATGGTACAATTAGCCAAGGAAAAACACGAACTCATGAAAAAGAAATGGGAAGAGGAAGACGAGCAAAAGAAAAATTGTAAACTACCGCAGAGTCGAGCCACTTACAAAAACGCCAGTTGAGGGAAATCCTCGTGTTCTAGGTACAAATATTTAAGAACAGATTCACAAGTTTAAAGCAAAAACTACACCTTGAAGCTTAAAGTACTACTACAGTTTCAATCGCTTTCAATTCAGTCGAGAAAATCAGCTCAAAGACATTTATCAGAGAACAATCACGACACTTTTAAAATTGATTAGCTGTACTCAACAACAAACAACAGCAACAAATTTATCTTCTACTTTAGATTCTTTTACATTCCGCATAATAATCAGGCACATTTCATGAGGACAGCTTGGATGTATTTTCTCTTATTTCAGTGTTTCGATAATTACGTTATTTATTATAATTATATTTGCCAGTCTCGCATTGTTTCGAGCGTATACATATTTCACATGATTGTCACAGTTCGGTGGACTGGTGGATTGAGTTATATCTTCGCGACTTTACCGGAGATCAAAGCAGTTAAACAGGGGCACCAAGCGACTGTTTTCTGTAAAATGTCTGTTCGGAGAGGAAAATATTCCCAAGAATTTTTTATTACTTGAGGACGGCTAAAAATTTTTAGATGACCGTTCCATTCATGTACAATTTTTGAAGCTTATATATGTGGTATATTCCCTACGATTTTCCCTACGAAGTTTAATTTTACACATTTCACCGCCAAAGTTAGGCTATTTTTCCTACAAAAAGGAAACCTAAAATTTTCGGATTCAAAAATGTGATGGAGAGAGGAATCAAAAAATTCTCACTTTCGCAATACGTTAAATTGCATCTGAAATTTTCGGGAAAACAATACTGGATTTCGAAAAGACTTAAGTTCCCCTAGCATATTTTTATGGCGCCGCTTAAAATGCATTTCTCAGTTAAGATCTAAAATTACTCTGGATAGCCTAAAAAGTGTTTTCAATGTATTTAGGAGATCGCCGTCGTTTGGTGCCCCTGGTTAAAGTAGCAAGGAATATTCAAGTAGGTGAAACAGTAGCTCGAGTTAACCGTCTGCGTTGGATTTAGTCTATGTAAAGCTCCTGTAGCCGTAGTTGTTAGGTACAGATACAGTAGTTGATAGGTAGAATCTTACAAAATGCAAGAAACAAGAGAGAAAGTGTTTGAACTGAATAAAGTCAAAAAGCTTCAAAAGATACCTAGACTGTGCTCGGTTACCACGTATTCTGACTGCTGTACTACGGAATACTCCTTCAGTTTATTGAGTAAAGTAATGAAAGACGTTCAGTTAGTGAATTATCTAGCGAACTGTGCTAATAATGCAGAGACCGGTTTATTACGTTTTTCTGCCCGTCGGAGAGCTGATGCGTCGACTACCTCGTCTCATTAAAACTCGTGCCCAGATCTTTCAGGGTTCAAGAGTCTGAATCTGGTCCCCCAAGACAGTCTTGGTCAGAGCTGGATTAGTCGTCGAAAGAGACTCACATTTTTCACCGTTGAAATCTGTGCTGTCCGTGAGTTGTCAACTGAAAGTCGACTTGTTTTTTCAGTGAACGTGAAGCACTAAATTTGTACGTGCTAATTTCCTCTTAAGAACCACTTTGAACTGACAGCATAATAAACTGTAAAACCGGAAAGTATCACTCAATGTGTTAACTTTTTTGCTGCACCTTCACACTTATTTATTTAGCAACTAAGGATGGATGACTAATAGTTCACTGAACTGCACTGAACTATGAAATGAAAGAAGCACTGATTTTTACAACATCGGGTGGTTTCTTAAAACACTATTGCTTTGTACTGCTACGAAACTTCAGTAGTTTTCATTTGAATAGTCATATCTTGAGGTTTTATCCACTGACTTAACTTCCTTAATAATACAGTACAACAAACAGCACTATACAGGAACTGCGAGTACTGTTCTCAATGCGGGTTTCCGCTTACCTCAAACTCAAACTTATGGCTAACCGACTGACATATGTTCCGTGTGGAAGTATGGAAGTCAAGAGATTATCACGTATCTTTAAGCAAACAGAGGCAACGACAGGTTGTTTAAGCCCTTTGACTTAGTTTTTCAGTCTCTACGACACCTTTTTAAGCAGTGTGTATACATTGTTAAACTCTCTAATTAATTAACGGCAGTCTGTTCCTCATATGCTTTGCCATGGCTAACCAAGCACGAACATTAACATTAATTTAATATTTCAGCAGAGAAACGTCTTTTCTATTTTGAGTAACTGCAAAGGTCGAACTTGAACACTATTAAATCGTTTCGTTTCATTTAGTGGTAACAAAGAGTGCTTGGCAAAGTAATTTATGCGAAAGGGGTCGTGGCGTTCGACACGTCAGTTTTTGTGATGAATACTTGAGGACTCTTTTGACAACATTCCTGAGAAACAAAAACAAATGAGTTAAAACGTTGCGTTTGTCATCTCTTGCTACAATATTCTAAGCAACTTTGTAGCAGCATAATAAACGGAAGATGACAATGTAGTGCCCGAGATTGGGGACGAAAAGGGAATAAAATTTTTGTAAGAGCTCTTGTAAAGGAAGTCGATGAAGCTGAAAGAGGCAGATTATGTAATTTCAAACACAATCAAGGTGGTTTTCCTTGAGAAGAATAGGAAACTGTGGTTTCATTTTCGGTGCAAAGTTAACGCAAGTTACATAATGAACGGAAAAAAGCCCTCAGCTGTTTTCTTTCCTCTTGAATAGTATGCTGATCAACTAAACCCAAAAAATATTGGTTCTGTTTCCAACGTCGTTAACAATAAAACTATGGAAGTAAATAAAACAGACCAGAAACAACAAAGAAAACTTGAGGCACCGTAACAGGAATTCATGTCATAAGTTTGTAAAAGACGTTTTGCGAAGAATTTTTCTCTCCTGCTTGAGCGGCACCTGCAACTCCAAGGGAATAAGTGATTCAATGGAAAGACCATTTTGATGCCCTGGATACGATAACGTAACTTGAAAAAGTTAGCCTAACGTTTTCAAATTGCAACCATTTTCTTTTTCATCTTTGGTTGTGGCGAAAAATAACCATAAATAGCTTCTTTGGAGTACTTCAAAAAACTTCAGAAATGAGACAGTGCATCGAAGAAAAGCGACCCAAGTGTCACTAAAGAAAACTTACTGTAATGGACAGAAGTGAAAGGAATTACTTAGTAATACAAAAAGCGTAGAAAACAACAAACCCACGCTGAATTTTAATCTTTCGTTAAAATGTTTATTAGGAAACACCCACGTCTTTTCCTTCACAAGAAGCAAACGTTAGAGCTTGCTCAAAATGTTTTTCTTTGTTTTATGTTAATGCTAATCGCGATTTTGGGTAAACTTACCTCTCTCACACAATGCGCGCATTACTTAGAGAGCCTTCCTATGACAGCTACTGTCACAGAAAACAATACAATCTATATTATCTCCTAAAATTGTTTTGGCTTGTGAATAAATGTCGCGGTTGAACACTCAAGCATTCACTGCACGCCATTTGTGGTGATTCAAGTCACGCAGCACCGCTTTAAAACTACATGTTCCAATATCAGACTCATTTATTTTACCTGCAGCGATTCATAGTCAACCACTAATTCATCATTAAGCGATCATCAACGGTTAAAGACGTTAAAGACACTTATAGCCCTAAAACGGTTAACACCACTCAGACGCTGGAGCTTACCATCTTATATAAAGAAGTCAGTTACAGACGAAATCGTCTCGACTTGAAGTAGATATTCATCCCTCATTTAAGAGCCCACTCAGCCAACTGTCTGACCGGTACAGAAGGAAGTGAGCATCTACAGATATCGAAATCGAAAGTGGCTATTTTTACTGAGTTGTTAAACTGTGAATTGCTTGTCACCTCTAGGTGTTAACAACAAAAACAGTTTTGATTACAGCTCAGCTCGAAGGATCGCCAGCTTTTTGACGAAGAACTCAGTAACGTTACGGCTTTCCAGTGATTTCGCAGAGCGATAATAACAACAGATTATGTGAAGACAGAGGAATGAACTTCTTAATAGGACGAGTGTAAATCCAATTAGCTTACGACATACCCTTAACAAAACGACGGTTGGTAAGGAGACTTCAGCAAATCAATGGTTTGTTCTAAAGAAGATAGCTGGAACCAAACAAAAATGGAGTGTGGGGATAAGAACAGTAAAGCCAATAGATCAATCGATATACTGACACCGGAAGGGAAGACCCTAACGCTAAGTTTGGGAGAAAACACGGATATACGGAAAATCAAGAATGAGTGTGAGCTCCTGTGCGGTGTACCATCTGACTTGCAGCTTATACAACTTCAAGGCAGAGACCTTAGTAACGACAGCACTTTATCTAGCCTTGATATATCGGATGGCTGCACTTTGAGAGTAACAGTACCACAATGGTGGCAAAAATTTGTTAGCACGTGTTACAAAGGCGATACACAACAAGTAAAAAAGCGAATCTACGTGAAGATGAGCCAGGTTTCGCGGGAAGAACGCAGTTTTACAGCAGCTTTTATCGCGGCCACACAAGGAAATCACAATCTTATGTTTGCGGCGTTCGTGGGAAGAAAGATTAACCTCCACAGCAAAACTAAACTGAGCGGTAGAAATTTGCTTCACGCTGCAGTTTCTGGAGGAAGTACGAGTTGCGTTGCAAATGTTTTAATGAACGGAGGAAACGCTCTGTTGGAAGCGGCTGACAATACAGGAGAGACTCCGGTAAAAATGGCCCAAAAACTGTACGGCGAAGAAGGGAGCATGGTTAAATTTTTGAACGTCTATCTTGAGTTACATCGTCGCGAAGCTAACAATTCCGCCTTCGCCAACCGTTACTGGGACAACCTTGAGGAAAACATCGAGTTTACTCGTACCGATAAAGAAGAAAGTAGTGACCATGTAGACCTTTCGAAATCACGTGAAAATTTAATTACCAACCTTCAAGAACTCAACATACACCATGATGAAGCTGCAAGGAAGTATTACAGTGAAAATGAATTTTTGGTCAACAACTCTAATCAAGAACATTCTTCAGTTGGCAGAGTAAACAGTGAGAACAATGACGCCAATGCAGGTGAAAAGTTGTTGGTTGTCACTTCTGGTGAGGCTGAGGGAATGCAAGAAGACATCGGCGATAATCCTATTGGGTTAAGCTTCAGTGGACAGGGTTCTGGGATGAATACTGATACCGGGTACTACAGCAGTTGCAACCAGAGCGTCAGAAAAGATGTCACCAAGTTGTTATTGAATGAAGATTTATTTGTACAATCAAATGCGGCCACAACGCAGTCAGAACGTACTAAACAACAGCTAAATTTAGGAGAGCAAACAGAAACTCATGCAATTGCAAATGATAGTAACAATCAGTCAATATCGCTGGTTGACACTTCCGGTGATCGCGATTCGGACACCAACCGCTGGTCCAAGCCTTGCAGGCGAGCGCAGCAACGAAAACTAGTTTTTCTTGAACAAAGAAGAAAGCGGTCTACCACAGAAAGGCCAAATTTAGATGAACTTGCGAAATTGCGCTCAGATAGCATTGCGAAAGAAGCACAAGAAAGTGAACAGACAGAATCACGTGATGACGAGAAACAAATTACAGAGTCGCGTGAGAAAGAAAGTGACACCAGCACGTGTGGTGCCGTTATAAGTATGCGGCAAGGTGAAGAGACTAGGTCAGCGGTTTCGTCGTCCATTCACGATCAATCCGACGCCAGTCATTCCCCTAAACCACTAAGAAGAGCTCAACTTCGAAAAATGTCGATAATTGAGCAAAGAAGGAAACGGTCCAAGGTGGAAAGGCCCAACATCGCAGAACTTGAAACTGCTACGCAGAACAATGAGGGATGTGGTAATAAGGAAGAAAATTATGACAACAATCCAAATAGAACTCCTGAAGGAAAACGTTCAGACAGTAGTGGTAATAATCTTGAGAATAATTCAGTAGAGGACATGTCAAGTGGAATGCAAGAGCCAAGCGTAACTGGGTGCGATACTAGAGTTAATTTTGAAAAGAATGAGGAAGATCACCGTAGCGTTAATTTCCAAAAGCTCACTGAGGGACCCAAACAGTCGGCGGAACTATTTGAAGATGAATCTCCTGCTGCAAAATACGTGCTAAAGATTTGGCAGGAACAAGCACATGAAGCGGATAAGGCTGGTTTGTCGGGCGAAGAATCGGACACTGGACGCTCTCCCAAATTGTTGCGGAGGGCGTTTCGAAGGAAGCAGGCTTATATGGAACAAAGAAGAAGGAAGTCTGCAACAGAGAGACCGAACCTCATTAAATTGATGAGCAGAAATATAGACGACGATGAAGATGAAACCAAAGATGTCACTGACATGGAAAGTGAAGAAAATGGAGAGAATAAACCCTCTGGGGCTGAAAACAATTTTTATGCTTTGTTAATGAACCAAGGAGATATCACTTCAGACATTCCAGTGGATTATAGCGGGGAGAGGTTTTCAATGAAAGAACAGTCCTCGGTAGATGATAGCATAAAAGGACCATCTTCACAGGTGCCAAGAACTAGTGACAGAATACCAATAAGGACAGCACAAAGATGCTCCAACAATGGCCCCCTGCTGGAGGGTCGTGCAAGGAAAAGCATTTCTTCGGTAAGTGGAGAGGAATCATCAGGCAGCGACCAAGAAAAAGTGGTCAAAGAGACAGTCGCTCCTATCGACAACTTAACAAAGACGGGAAGACGAAGGCGTTTGCCTTTGCCACCAGAGAAAAGGATTAAACTGCCTGTCATCAAGATAGAAGCCAGTGAAACTTCTCAAGTGAATGTCAGCATGAAAGCTCCTCATCCGCCACTTGGTAGATCACGTTCAGGATCTATGTGCAGCGAGGACTCTGTGTCATCAGTGCCGGAGTTACCTTCAGAGAGAAGGTAAGAGCTGGGTGTAAAATATCCTCTGTCTATCTCAGTCAAGCAACGGTTCCAGGGATGTTCAGAATAGCCTGTAGGGAAGCTCTTCATTTGAGCGATATCGTGAGAAGTCACGCGCTAGCTCGTTGCCCGACAACTTTTTGGCAACTTCTCGTATTTCGATCACCTTTTTGCATTCTGGTCAATTTCTCTAGTTTCCTACCAATTCTGAGATATTTCTTTTGGCCTTGTTTCCATATTTCACAATGTTTTAGTGGACAATTTATGAACTTCCTGTGAAAAAGGAGCCAGATCCTCCCCCACCCACTGTGGCCGATCATGGGCGCAAATGCATGCAGCCGGGCTTCTAGGTCAGCAGTTTTTGTAAAGAAAATCCAAAATGGCGGACGAAGATTTACACTCGACTGACTCGAGTGTCTCAGTGAAGATCATTCAACAATTTTATTGGCTCATACTAGAATTTTTACAAGATTGATATCAATATTCATGTGTAGTCTTCAGTCATCCATTTTTTGGTTTTAACTGAGGACAAAGTTATTCAGATACGCTGGTTGGGCCGCAAATTTGCACAAAAATCCTCAGTAGAAATCTTACTTTTTTTGTACAATTTGCATATTTTGCATCAGATCAGAATTTTCGGCAACTTCCAGTAGCGAATAGAACACTGCATTTTCCAAACTTTCCGACAAAAAGGACCACTTCGCGTGATATACCCAAATTTTCAAAAATTTCTTCCCGGAACTTTTCTTTCCATTTAACTTTGCTCCCAGAATTTTCAGAACTCTCGGTTGAATAATTCGCATCTCAGAAATTCAACGGTTCTCGCACTTTCTGGAAATTTTCCCGGTAAATTTCCGTACCATTTGCCACCGTTTTCAAATTTTCAGAAGTTTAGGTGTAATATAAATGCGATTAATTCTTCTATATATAAGATCAAAATAAACATCTTTTTATCTGAAATGTTGTGTATTGTCGTTCTCGCAGCTGCAAACGACGAATTATAGCGATTTGACTGAAGGGGGAAATGGGGTGATGTTGAAGTCGATAAGCTTGAGAGAACGAATCACGACATTTGCAAACAGAGGATTTCTGCTAATAAACATGGGGCGAAACGTCTCAAGCGGTAATAATTGGCAAAGAAATATCTTCGAAGGTATGTAACAACTTTAGAAGTTGAAAAAGTACACAACTGATTGGAATACCATTTTCTTTTTTCTTCTTTTTCATAGTGAAGTTGAAATTGCTTGTACCGTTAACTCCACAAGTTTACCAGTGAAACAGAGGAGAAAAAGTGTTCCAGACAGCCCCTTCAACTTTAACCAGAACCAGCCAATTTTCAGGACGAGAAAAGGCTCTGTACAGGTGGAGGAGATTGAAGAACAAGGGTAATGATCAATATAATCGTTATAGCGCCTTTCAGTCTTTAAAGTAAACGCTTTTGGGTGCCACTTCAGACACCATGTGACAAGAACAGCAAATTCATTCAGAAGTCGTACAATCGGACAACCTTTCCTTTCGTTTGTTTGGCAGCCGGGTAAAGAGGGACCTTACGATCCGATAACTTTAGTTGAGAATGGATTTTAGGTTGGAGCTGAACAGCCGGGACGGCGTCCAAATTCAGACAAAGATAGTAAAATTTATCTCCTTACCATTCCCTTTTACGAGTAAAAGACGGCCAGATTTAACGCCTCAATAGTAAGGGACGGTTAGGAAATTTACAATAAAGTGTGATGTATGATGTACGCGGAGTTGTTGTTTTGCTCACTAAGGGTACGTTCACATGACAACAGACGAATTTTCGACCGCCTGAAAAAATCATTTATTGTCATTACAATGATAAAAACTTTACAATATTAAAAGAGATATCCTAAATAAAATACAGTCTCCTAAAAAAAAAACTAATAAAAATACTGTCTACTAAAACTACTCTAAAAATCATACTAAAACTAATTAACCGGACTCCTCGTACAGAGACCGTTCAATATTTTAGCACTGTTCACACGGAGCTTTGAACGGCGGCTAAGAGTCTAAATTTTCGTACTTTAAGGGTGATTTCGTGAGAACGAAACACCTAAACGTACGAATTTCCAATCGGTCGAAAATTCACACCATTCCGGATAGCTTTTGCGTTGGCATGAAAACCAGATAGGGATTCTGTTCACACAGAAAAAACGGTGATTTTGGCGCCATTTCAATGAACGTAGCGAAACTTCGCCGCGTCGATCTCTGAAATGGAGAGTCACCAAAAGCTATCCGGTATGCAGTGTAACCAATAGCCTAGACCTATTTCTTTTTTTCAACGTTTCCGTTGCTGTCGCCGTCGTATATTCGTAAGGTCCATAATAGCCTTTTGCAGCGTCTCTTACCTGCGCTTAATTATCATTTGCTGACCATGACTTGGTTGCTTCAACATTTACAGGTTTGGTGTCAGTCCACAGCTTCGCGCAAGATTAGAGCTTCGCGATAAGCCACGTGAAAGCCTACCATGGAATGAGTGGAAAACAAAGGCGCGTTCAGGTTCACTTCCTGGCAAAAGCAGCGAGAATACGAAACACGAACTATACGAGCAAAATGTCCGCCTTTTCGCGTGGAGCGAAAATAAACGACCGCAGACCGCTAAACATGGTAATTCCCGGATGTCTTTTACCGAGTGGCTTGACAGAAAGGAGGCCTCGGCCGAGAGAATGAGGCCCGTGACTGCTGCCGTACGGAGGCAGCAAGATCACAAAAGAGATTTTGAACATGAGAGACAGTGGCAGAAGTCAAAAAAACATGAAGAATGGCTGCTGAAAAAGGATTTAGAGGCCTTGGAACAGGAAGAAATGTTGAGAAGAAAAGCGAAGGTAAAGTTTCAAAAGGCGCATAAAAATATAAATAAGAGAGTTTAAGGAGATCTAGAAAAGATATCCCATTTTAAGGGCTTTTTTGCTTTTTTCTGGTGGACAGCATTCAAACTCTACTTTTGCGTAGACGCACATTTTCCCGAGGATTTTAATTTCCATTTAAACTCATCCATCATATGTTTATTCCTCTAACGTGCTGTCAAAACGAGAACACAAAACTCAATGACTTCGGGTCAGTGTTATATTAGGTCCAGTAACAGGTTTGCTCCAGCCCCCAGTTGCTCATAGGTGGATAAATCTCTATCCAGTGGATAGCGCAATTAGTTTCCCCAATACTTATCCACTGGATAGTGATTTATCCGGTGGATAGCGCTATCCAACGTTTGAACAACCACAGGGCAGCCACACAATCTATTCGTGTAGCCGATTGTTACTTTATAGTAAGAGACTGACCATTAGAAAAGTTATGGGGGGGGGGAGGGGAATTTTCGAGCCGCAGGAGGAATTTTTTTTCGTTATCAAATTCCTTGTATGATTTTTTTTAGGCCATAGCATGAATATTTTTTAGGGTTAATTGGCGTGCAAGAATTTTTTTTCATTTAATTTTCCCCTGCGCGAATTTGTTTTTTTTGTACTTCGCCCGCCCCCGCCCCCATAAGTTTTCCAATGGTCCGTCCTTAAATGGACTGGATTTACCGTTTGCCTCACCGTTGGTGGGCCTTAAACGACCATGAACGACTACTGAATAATAGTTCAGCCATTCACGATATCCCAATTATGAACCCAAGCGAGTCTTAACATCACCAGTGGTTTTCAAACAAAAGTGATTAATTAACACTAGAAACACAAATATCAATAAGTAGTTTATCAAGATACATACTGAGAGGTTTTATTAATAAACGTGTTTAAAGTTTCCAAGAGTCCTAAGAAGTCTGTCGGTTATTTTTGCATCGTAGAAAGAAAGTTTTTGCTAGACGCGCTTTGCTGATTACTAATTGACGACGACACTTAGCAATAAGTACTCGAGAAACCTACATGGTTTATAAAATACTAAGAGCCTTGTTGTTAGTGGAATTTGCATCCTCAAATGATTTGCGCAGACAACCTTTGTTGTTTTGTAATTAATCATGTTTAAATAAGCGTTGGATTAATATCACTTGGGATCAGACAAAAAAGACGCTTTTAAAATAAAACTGCTTGGAACCTCTAGGGACATTTTTCTAGGGTGATGATTTTTGTTTTTAGATAATACAGTAAACTACTACAAAAAGTGCTGGTGATCACATTTCAACATAGAGAACATAACGGTTCTCACTGTGCATATGGATAACACAGCTTTTGCTCTGACAAAAGACCCGACGGAGCCCGTAAATCTTTCGTTTTGGATTCGAGCAATATAAATAATCCTTTGCAGTGCATCGTAATGCTTGCGTGGAGGTTGAAATTGAAAATTGGTCATCATTTCATGCGTCATAAAAGCGGCCTTATAAAACAACACAACGATCGTCGCTGAGTTTCAAATGACATGGTTATATGCACCGTCTGGTGATTAAAAAAACCAGATCTCTCTAAAGTAACCTGACCTCTCATTGACTTGTGGTCAAAAGCGACAGTCATAAAATCTTACCCAATGCCGGCCAGAAGCATGGAGGACCCAATAAAAGGCAGTGACAAGGAGAAAAACAGTACAAACCAAGACCCTGAAGGTTTCCAAGTTCATGTCAATTTACCCACAGGAGAAATCGCAAATTTTCAAGCAAAACGCTCGTCGATCGTACGTGATGTGAAAATGACTGTTGAAGTGAATAGTGGAGTGCCGTCTGATTTATTTACACTTGTATACATCCAAGCAGAGAACAATACTATTGAACTCAAGGACGAGCAAATGATGGCGGACATTGACACAGATGCTGAGGACTCGATGACATTTGAACTGAGTATTCCTCCATGGTGGCAGAGGTTCGTGGATAGGTGCATGAAAAGAGACAATCGTCAAATACTCAAACGGATCGCCATTAAAATGAATCAAATTTCCATGGAAGAAAGAGCGTTTGTTGCCGCCTTCATAGCAGCACAGAAAGGCGACAGCGAGTTATTTCAGAGCTTGCTGAATGGGGAAGTGAAAATTGACATCGAGCAAGCAGTCGAGTGCAGCGGCCGTACGCTTTTACACGCTGCTATGATAGGCGGAAATTTTTCGTGCGCGGCAGCGATATTCATGAATGGCGGCTCTTCGCTCCTCTCGAGGGCCGACCGAACCGGTGTCACACCAGTGGATATTGTAACAAGTAGCAACCAACCGGAACTGGTGGACCAACTTGCCAAATACGTAGAAATAAAAGTTCGGGAATCCACGGAAAATGACGATGCGGAGGACAGATCTCCCGAGTGCCCAAATATCAATCAGGAGGATGGGGAGACAGAGGAGGTCGATATGACAGTCACTGCAAAATCTACAGACGACGACGAGTTTTTACCAAATGAAACGGCGGAAAATTTAACATTTAACGACACTAGCAAAGAGACAAGACCAGACCAAACGGCAATTGAAGTTGGGCAATCAAGAGAAGACAAGAAAGACTTGAATGAGAGATTATTAACGCGCGTTTCGTCGGAAAAGGTGAAAAGTTCACGTTCTCAGCTGAAGCTACATATGCCATTGAGAGCTAGCAAATCTCTTCACACCACAGACAGGCCTCTTTCTGCAAGGTCCAAACTCATAACCGTGGAAGAAATAAGACCACTTAGCGGTAAAGCTGCTGCAGAAACCAAACAGTCCGATGAAAGGCTCCCAAGGGTCAACACACCAACTTCATCTCCAATGAGTTCTCCACGCATTGGCCGGAAACTTGTTCCATCCCTGCTCAACCCGGATAGACCCGGAAGTCCTCTTCTCCGACCCCGGTCTCCGACGCATCCGGCTTGCCCCAAGTCCCCGACTCCACGCCCTAAGTCCCCCTTGGCGCTACGACCGGGCTCGCCAAGTGGATCACCGGTATTCAGAAGACGAGTGCTTCGTTATCCCAATACATCTGAACCTCAGAGAACGAGAACAACGTCCTTCCAACAGGGTGGAGATATTGAGCCTCAAAAGCCAAGAGCGAATACATTTCACGGAAGAGGGAATGGAGAGACTAGGTAAGTACAAAATGACTATTGTACGTCGATTAACAAAATGCTATACTAAGAGTATGTGTCTGGTATCAAAGCCAGCAACTCAAGACAACCCCTTCTCCTGTGGTTCTGGTGTATTCGAGTATAATTTTGCTAACTTTGTGAAGGTTATTTTAGCGAAGCTTAGATGGTGTCTTAAGAAAAAGCGCGCCATAAGCTATCGTATTTGTAGGGCCAACTAACCCAGCATCAGCATCAAGGTTGTAATAGGGAACTTAAGCAACTACTGCAGTGAAATCGTCACTGAAAAAGAAAATGAAGAATCATTTTGTTTGTTGACGATTATATTATAATTATTTGTAGGACCAGGAAAATGAGCGCCGAAATGAAGAATTTCTTGATGTCACACTACTCAGAAACTCGTGAAAACAGACCATGGAATGCATGGAAGACGGTCAGGAAAACCCAGATGGATCTGATCGATGTGTCGGACGACGATGACGACTCGTCATCCGAAGATGAGGAAGAAAAATTGTCGACCTACCTACAGTCGACGAGATCTCGACGTCGGAAAACATTTGACATGTGGTTGACTGACAAAGAAGCGCAACAAGTTAGAGAACAAACTGAATTGGCGGAAAGAGCGAAGCAGGAGGAATTAGTCAGGAGAAAGCAGGCTTGCTGGCGTCAGTTAACTGGAAAAACGCACGGACAATGGCTCGAAGAGAAAACCGGCGAGATTAGAGCTGAAGAAGCTGCAAAGGTTAGAGCAGCCGAGCAAACCGAGGCGCAAAGAGCTATAAAGAGATATCAAGAATGGGTGCGGCGCAAGGATGAGGAGGCCATAGCTCGCGAAGAACGATGGAGAAGAGAAGCGATTGAAAAATTAACAGAAGTAAAGATGAAAACTCAAAACGAGTCACGGAAAGCTGCAGCTTCGAAGAAATATGAGGAGTGGTTGCGAAGCAAGGACGAGGAAGCCTTGGCCCGAGAGGATCACATGAGGAAGAAGGCTGCTGAGAAATTTTCAGAAACAAAACAGAAAAGAGACGATAAAATGAAAACTGCCTGGTTCACCAAGAAACTGTTTAATGTTTAAGATTTGACAAAGGATTTTTAAAAAATCCAGTTTGATCAAGAGAATTGGATATGGAACAGTGATACTGAATTAGGTCTCCTAAGTAACTAGTCACGTATAAAAGCTCTTCTCCGATAGAAAAGAGAAATGTTTCATGGCAACTCTACACAAAATAAGAAAGTAGACAGTGGTAGTCTTTACACTAGGCCGTTAAGTAAGACTTAAGAGCTGTTAAGTTTTACTTAATCAAAGATACGTGCGTGAAGGCCAAAGTAAAATCTCAATTTATTTTACTTTGCATCTTATTAATTAAAGACGGAAAGTTGAAACGATTCAAGAAAAGTTTCAAGTGACTTCAAAACCATCCTTAATAGGGTTCTATCTAGGATTTATCGTTTCGGGAAGAAGTCCCAAGTGGCTGATAGCGACGAGCTTCCTTGGGGGGATCCGGGGGTATGCCCCCGGAAAGTTTTTGAAATGAATATGCGCTGAGATGCAATCTGGTGCATTCTGAGACACAATTTTGAGAAATGATACAGTGTGTGCACCGACCTCGTCGCGTCTGGATGATTTTTCCGATATAGTTACTTATATATTGTAATGATAACAATATTTTTTTGGAGAAAGCTGGGCATTTTTAATTTGGGGGGGGGGAAGCTTTTACCCCTCAAATACCCTAGATAGAGCCCTGCTTAAAAAGCGACTTTGCGAACTTGCGGTTTCTTCAGCTTTGAGAAAGGCGAAGGATGTCAATCAATCTTAATTATGTTGCGCGGGAAAATGGCCTTAAGTTAACATGAAGTTAAAATGATTGGTTGTGTGTGAAGCTTCCTTTTACTTGAAGAATTTATATTTACTTGTCTTGAAATATTCCTCAGCTCATTTATTTGGGCTCTAGTGTAAAGACTACCAGTATTAAGGTTGAATAGTCTTAACATTTAATGATAGGTCACGCTTGCAATTCTTTAAGCGTGATCAGCATCAAATTTCTCCTTGTGCGTGTTGTAATGTCGATTATGCCTTGTAAATATGAGTGGTACCGAGAATTAAGGATATGATCACACAAAGTGAATGTAACTGATACATAAAACAAATTGTCCCCAACACTTCTATGGGAAAATCAAATAAGTAGGGCAACAAATGAGATATATGTTATAATCTAAAGGGTTAAGAATTAACATTTTTTTTGCAATAAATCGAAATGGCCTTGGATGGAAACACTGACTCGCCAGCGATTTCTATTTCCATTCATCCTGAGAAATTTAATACGTTTTAAAAAAGGTGAGAAATACCTCGAAGAATGATTGCATGTAAGATGGATAAAAAAAATTCTCCTTTCTTTATAGAAAATAAGGACAGGTTATTAAGAGAGAGTTGAGCCAGTGTTAAACAAAAGCGCGTTCTAACTCATTTTCAAACTGGCCAAACACATACGCTGAACGTTGGCTACTCCAGCAGGGTCAAGGGGGCATAAAGACTGAACACGCCAGAAAAACGTTCAACTGGGCCCCAGGCTGTCTTCTAAGGCTATGTTCGCATCATACAGAATAGCTCTTGCGCCGGCACGAAAACCATACCGGGTTCACACATAAGATTCGGCTCGCTTTCTACAACGGAGCGAATCTGCGCCGCGCCAATCTCTAACGTGGAGTGTCACATATCAGATGGGTTTTGTGCCTCACTTCGGTGCAGTGTGAACAGGTAGTCGAACGGGAAAGGGAAGTGAATAAGTGGGAGCGAGGACTAGAATCCAGTGGGGAAAAGTAAATATTCAAGAGTGAAGACTGCGGTTTAGTTCATTAACCCCTCTCGGCCAACCGACATGATGTTCGATGTATGAACGACTTTTTCCAGATCTGCACCGTTACTGTTCATACTATAGCGGATAGCTTTCCGTGTCGGCACGAAAAGCTATTCGGTATAGGGGGCCGTAGGTTTATTACGTCCCAGGGGAGGGCGGGGGTTTCATTCAGAAAAGTGTGGTGTATCAAAACCTTAATTTTTAAAGGAAACGTGGATTTGCTTCAATCATAACATAGTTTGACAACTTTTACATAGAAGGCCAGCCCAAAATTGACCCCCCAAAATCAAGCCTTTTACAAAACTGTACCCCTCAAACCCCCGGAACGTAATAAACGCACGGTCCCTAGTATGAACATAGCCAAAGAAGAACTGAGAGGGGAACCCTGGAAGCAATTCTGGGATAGACTGCGAGCAGTCTCTCTTTTTTTGGTCCGTCGAGCAAAACGCGCGAGACACGCAAATGACCACACGCGTCGCGCGCGCGTGTACTACCCTTACTAAATCTGAAGGAAAGAGAGACTGCTCGCAGTCTAATTCGGATATCGTCAGTCGAAAGCGACCGAAACAGGAAACAAACATCCAGCTATTTCAATTTCGAATCGTCCATCTTGAACAAAAAGATCGTCTCCGTCTCCTTGTAAGTATCCTAGACACACTGGCCGACCTCCCTTGAAACAGTAGCCAACACTTGTCGTTGATCCTATTACAGAGCCATTTCTTAAGATCGGCTCTCCACCCCACGGAAAATTATCATCATCATGATCTTGAAGGGTAATATAGGCCAGGGACTTCTCTTGACGCTTGCTTCGGCAATCAATGAGAGCTTGTTTTCCGATAAAATCACAACTCTACAAAAAGATAATAAAAAATCTAGGTAGGTGAATTGTCTTAATTAGAAAAAAACGATGAAAACGTTCATTTCTTTAAAAAACAATGGAAAAGATTAACTTTGTTACCTTCTATGTGTTGAAGACAACGGCATGGTTGTCCTGTGCATCCTCAGTTGTCTTGTTCAACAATTTCACATCTATCTCCCTGTGTCTGCTAACTACCATCTGATCTCTCTCGCTCTCTCCTCGGCAGAGGCTACCGCTGGGTATTCCAATAAAATAGCGATAATCGAAAAGCGGGAGTCTCGCTTCCTCCCTTTTTTCCCACCGTCCCCTGCGCGCTTCATTTTTTCCTTCTCCCCAGGGGAGAGCTAACATCTGATTATTTCTTTATGCTTCGAAACACTGTGTACCACCTTTCTACACTAATACCTCTCTCTCCTTATCTTTCTGAGTTATTAGCCTGTGTATCAGGTCTTTGTTGGGGTTTGAAAAACCCGGTACTCATGCTAGTGCGTTGTTTGTTGTAAAACAACAAAAATCTGGCGAATGCAAATTGGCAACTAGCGGAACAGCAACTTTTCCACGATCAAGTTGACCTTCCAGATCACCGTGAATGGGATGAGGATACAAGCATAGTTATTAGAGGGGACTGGTTATGAAAAGCGGCAAACATCAATGATAAAAACAACAGTGCTGCAGTTTATGTTCAAAGCACCGTGAAAGTGCTAAATTTTTTTTCTGTTGGCAAATTGTTAAAAAATTAATGCAACCAAAAATCAAAATGATAGGCTTTTGAACGTTTGTTTGGTCCAAAAAACAAAAACAAAGGTGAACGATTCCACTCAGATGAAAAGGTGACGTTTTTTGCTGCTTTTTTTTTTTCGTAAGAAAAATTACACCCAAAAGAGCGAGGCTTAGTTTGTTTGAAGAGAAAAGAGGTGAACGATTAGATGAAGACGTTGCTGCGAACGCCACAGGGGGTGGAGACGGGGAGCAAATAGTTATGTTGAGAATCAATTTGTTTTCAATTCGTACCTTCTCTAGGTGAACTCTGTCTCCCAGCCCTGTCTCCCACGGGCTGATGAAGGGAGTCAGCTCACTTCCCATCTTAGGAACGACTCTGTCAATTCGTAAACAATCAATCGCCAATCGGCCAACATTCTTTGATCCCAGTTCCCTACCGGTATTCATCAGATCCTGGTACAAACAAACTGCGAACTGCAGAAATAACAAGAGCGAGTATAAATTCTGGGAGTTCTCAATGACTGGTTAACACCACTATCCAGATTTCTGGGGGTTTCGCGCATGTTAATGCCGTGCGTGAGCATTCAAAGAGCTCTTTTCGTTTAAAAGTTACCCTTACAAGGCTAGGCTGAAAACATCTTTTTTGAAAACAAGTCAGCTCAATTGTCAGCAAACTGGCATTATTTCTAAGCTTGATTCTTACCTCAGAAGGAACTAATAATGTCCAGTCGTTACTCTGGTCGCCGAAACAACTGCTTCTGAAGGCCTTCACACCCGACGCAAAACCCAAATCGATTTCCTGTCAAAACACAAAAATCATTGTAATTTAGATTTTAACCCTCCCCTATGACAAGTATAATTGTTTGTTAATAACACATGATCCTATTTACCTTTGCGGCGTTTTCTGGGAAATCTTTTACGTCTAATGAAGTCTGTGTCAAAGTTTGAAGCAAGGTCTGTGAACAAGGACCCAGTGCTCCTAAAATAGCGAATGCTGATTGGATGTTACGAAGTGTGATCGCAGAGTCTGCTGGGATGTTCCGTGAAATCAGTGACTGCGCAATGGTAGTGCGTTCTGCATCGTGCAGGAAAATGATAAATCTGTGACAAGCAAGAAAGGAATAAAGGGTCACTTTATGAGATGGGTTTGAAAAACCGGACAACCGATTGGAAATCAAATAGTCAAGTGGAAAAACCTAAGCTTGTGCCGAGGGCTACATATCGAGTATGGTACTGGTAAATCAAAGTTTGAATTTTCGCATTCGTTACTATCGAGATGAGAACGGAACTGAAGCCGAAATGGGTCCCGCAATCGTTACTCGGTACGCGTCAGTCAGCTATTGGCTGATGTTTTCCTTGTCCCTAACTACAGTACCAGAAGTCTTTGCGAACATTATCTCAGCAATAAAGGATTTAATTAACCGCAAAAACCGTGGACGAAGATCCTGCTAGTTGTAAACGCTGGATCTCAGCCCATTTTTTTTTTCGTTTCTACAGTGACGAATTTATCAACGGCCTGATTAAAAGTATATCAAGCCAGCAATTAGAGAAAAATAAGATATTGTTGTAAAATCCAAGATCCTACCTATTGGGTGTGCTTCGTATCACCGTGCAGCTGAGCTCAATTCCTCCGCGTCTATTAAGTACCAATGTGTGTGAAGTGTGCTCCACTGGAAGGCAAACGTCGTTTGAGCACAGGTACTGAAGAAATGTCTCACATTCTCCGTCTTTCGGGGACTGCAATTAAATGTAACATTTATAACACTGATAATTGTGGGAAAGTTTTCACTAAATGAAGGTTATTTTAAAGAGAGGAGAAACACATGCCGTACCTCAATTTCGAACAAACCAAACGAGGTCAAGTCAACAACACCAACCCCCTCAGTGCATGCTTTGTACTCCACCTCTGTGCTGCTTAACCAACTTGGTTTGCCAAAACCATTCTCGCCAGGGTGACCTAAAACAAAGCAACAACATACAATACGAATATTTCATTATCACTCGACAACGCCACGTACAAACACACAAAACAGAAAAACGATCAGGTTAGACGATACATTATCAGTGATCGTCACGAAATTTGAGCTGCCGAAGTGACAATGACATGTTTATAAGCTGCGTGGTAATATTTCGAAACGTATGTGCGTGTAAAAACGCCTTCAATATTATCGAAGGGCGCGCGAGAACGCCCTCAATATTCTCGCGCGTCAGCTTTCTCCTCCCCCACCCATACCCTTTCGTAAGTCTACACCACGAGGTACAAGAGCTAATTAGGAGAGGAAGATTCCCATACATCATGTACCTTGTCCTGGGAGATTAAACCACTTAGCCACTTCCCATCCCATTTTATCGCCCCATTCCGCGCCAACAGCACTCAGATCAGAGTACAGCGGTGAACGTCTGATGTGACGTGCACGTATTCTCTCTGAATAAGGAAACCGTAGCAAGTAGTGCCAGCTAAGTGTTTCTTTCACGCATTCTTGTAAGAAGCGTTTGTTGTTATGATAAGGAGCAAATCGACGTATGTCCACGGAAGAGAGGTCCATTGTGGACTCCCCCGCAGTGATCCACTCTGCGAGGGCCATACCAGCTCCTCCTGCGTTGGCGATGCCTCCAGAATTGAAGCCAGCGGCTACGTAGAAATTACGCACCTGAGAGAAAAATTCTGATAGTTTACCTATGGATGCTACAGCAATATCTTAATTTATCAAAGCGTTCGATGCAGTTTCGCTAGTATGGTAAAGGTATTTTACAGATAAATTTCTGACAAAAGAAAGCCAATCTTTCTACGCGTTTTAAGCAAGACATCTGTTTTCTGTTGAAAACAATGATTTTACATTGTCCTTACCCTAAAACACTAAGAGTTTTACACGTAAGAAAAAACCACAAAGCGATCAAATTTCGAAAAGCTACAAAATGGTAGCAATTGCGAGATTGCCTTCAGGACTGAAGGAGACATAACTTTACAATACCTCCGGAACTTCCCCAAGTAAGTATCGTGAATCGGGTGTGAAGCTCTCTGGGCCATTGATCATGTAACGAATTTCAGCGTTCTCCATCGAAGGCAAGCGATGAAGCATCTTCCTCATTAATTCGTCTAAAAAAATGCAAAATGTGTCATATATCCTTCAAGTGATTATTTTGCGAAGGATAAAAAGTTAACAGGTTCAGCAACGAAAGTAAACACGCTGAGCGATTCATTGCTTTAAGGAACACGCACCCAGCGGTAAAGAAAAACCGATAAAACCGTAGTAATTTAATACTTAACTCTGACCAATCTCAACAGCCGCCGAAAAAACAAATGAAAAAATCAGATCCTTGAAGCAAAAACTCGTGTCATCGGCTGCCAAGTGCGGAAAAAACGCAGGCGAGCAAGTTACGATTAGTGTTTGGTTTTACTCCTGACTGGTCGACAAAGAGGCTCCCTACTTCAGTCAATCACAAGCCGTTTTGATTGGACCTTTCCATTGTTTAGGCGGAAAAACGTTCAAAAATTGGTAGTTGTCGTTTAACTTACCACCGCCGCGGAAAAACGTTCAAAAATTTTACCAAATACTGTCGATTTTTATTTTTTTTATCAGACTTTATTAGAAGATTTCATACGGCTGATTTCGTACAACGGACCGTAGAACTGGTATATGAACTGGTATATGAAACACCGCGAACCGCAAAGTCATACGAAAGTACCTAGAGCAACTAATTAAGCCTTCTTTGTTAGTCAGTTACGGCGTACAATGCACACAAACAAATTCATGTTACATTATACCATCATGCATGTCTCAAGAAACCCACCAAAATGATCCCAGTTTTCTGGAAGCAGCTGATATTCAAATCCTTTAGGAATTCCTTCATGAAAGGCAGGAATTGCCTCCATCTCAAAGCCTCCGCTCATAAGACCACCGCTCCACTCGCGAAAATAAATCTGTCCATCATGGTCCCGGATGACGGGCAATGTAGAGGAAACGCCCTCTATTGGCTTTGTTACTATGTAAAAATGTTCTGTAGAGTGCAGTGGAAAGGACACTTTGGGAGTGCATTTCTGTCGGCAATGAAACAACGAAGATACTTTCAACATTTTGATTCTTTAGGCCTAGTCCCTAGGCGTTCGCGGCTCGGTCAATCCTGGACTCTATCGTGGGCTGTGACGTCACCGAGAGATGCTCGTTCGCTCGCCCGCTCTTTCCCAGACTTCACGCGGACAACGGGGCAAGAGAGAACGCCTAGGGACTAAGGGACTAAGCTGTTGATTCCCTATCATCGAAAGATTGTAACACTCACATTGTTTATTTTTGCTGCCTCTATAGCCCTTATCTATATGTATGATGAACAAGGATTTTTACGCTCCCGGCATATATATTGGTTTACACCCTATATTATCTGTGTCGATAATTTGTAAAGTGGCTTCCAGTAATAAGGTCGACTGCAGACAGTCGGGTTTTTTCTCAAAATCGAGTTTGAAGGAGCTAAGCGCCCGCGTAAGATTTTCACACCACACTCCGTTTTCACTCTCGCTTCAGAACTTTCGTTTGACCGCTTCCATGGCACAAGCCATCAATCTCCTGATCTGGTAATTAGATACGGGTTCTATTAACGAAAGCTAAGGCCTTTTGAGCCAGTAAAATAATTTCCTGACCTCTTTGTCAAAAGGAAATCAAGCCTCAACGATGTTTAAGAATGAAGGTCTTAAATTAAAAATCTAAAATTATTCCCTCACCTGGCCGATCTCCCATGCCCACTATTAAATGAAAAAAAAGAAAAAAAACAGGATTCTATAAAAATCCATTACATACAATGCAGATCAATGCATACATTGGTGAAACAACCAAAAGTATGAGCAATCATGCCACATAAAGTCAAATTTCGTTTCAAAAAAAGCAGTGCCGTCGACTTTCTTCGAAACTTGACAAACTTTTTTCAAACGTCAAAAAACAATTAGAACCGTCAACCAATCAAAATCTCGGTTTGCACGTAGTTGCTTGGTTTTTAGGCGAAACTATTGTTATTTCAAAAGGTTGAGTTTGATCGTCCGGGTGAACGTAGTCCTGAATAGGACTGTTGTTGTTGACAGTGACTGACGTTTCGACAACCTGTGCGGTAGTCATCTTCAGAGTCAAAGTGAGTTGTATCACGTCAGTTGATGGTATTATACTCTGGTTATTGATCTGATTGGTCAATTATGTCGCGATGTTATTGGTCGTCTGTCAGTTAAGCCGTGATGTTATTGGCTATGAAGACTCGCAATCAGTAATTGGTGCGTTTCGATCCGTCTATTGTCACAGTTAAACAGTCGTCTATTGTTAGTCAAATTGTCAGTTCTCCAGTTGTTCTCTCGTAGTTAGTTTTGTTTGATCTCGTCAATAAGTCATAACTTTTGTTATTGTTCAGTCACTGAAGGGAAGGAGGGGGTGGACAGAGGAAACACAGTTTATTTCATCTTAATGTATTTCGAGAACAGACCTCTGGAGCCCGGGTAGGGGAGTGGAAGACACGTAAAACTTTGGTAAAGGTAAATTCTGTCATTCCTTTTGTTAGAGACAAAGAAATTTTGTAAATTTTTTGTGCGGAAGGGCCCTAAAATGAAATTATTTTAACAAAAAAATACCGTTCATTACCTGGCCACCACAATTGACCAATATCTCACACTTGATAGGTCCACGGTTTGTCTCCACTCCAGTAACAGATTTGCCATCCGTCAAAATTGATTCTAATGTAACTTTTTCAAAAATTTTCACACCTGAAAACAAATCAGCGAGTTCAAAATTTTTTTCCGATGGGACTGAGAATTGGCCTGAATTTCATCCGATTACTTCGAGTCGTTATTTACTGAGAATCGATTACTGGAGGTCCTAGACTTGCTAGACTTACTACTAGTCGACCTCTTTTAGAAAGTCTATGGAGGTCCCTTGTATTGTGGGGTCTGGTTAAAGATATGAATTCTAACTCCCGTAGGAACTCGACCAAAGGGTGACGCAAATTATTTAGAAAAATTACTACAGACACTCATAAGATGTAAGCTAATGCATGACGTACCATTTAAAGACGCTCCTTTAGCAAGTGCTTGGCAGACATCAGTGGAAGTTGCTACACCCTCACTGGGGATCCAAAGACCACCCTACCGATAACAAAAACACTTGATTTACATCATCATACAATCAGACCTTCAAGGGCACCCAACAAGAATATAGTTCAACGGCTCTTAAACATAGCATTGTTAAACGTATTTTAGTGTTTAAACGGTAGATATTGACGTATTTTTATCCCCTAAAAATTTTTCATCTGTTCAGATCTCCTAGCTGAAAGTCTAGTGATCAAAACTTACCTTTTCGAAAATTTCAGCCAGAAAAAAAGCTTCCGAAAATCCTAGGTGACGTTTTTAGGGTATTATACCATTTTTTAGATGTTCGAAGATCTTAGAAGAGGCAGGCAAGCAAGAAATCTTTCAACAAATGTTCCGAAAATTCTAGATCTCAAATCGTCTTCCGAACAGTTATTTTCCGAAAATTGACGTTGGGTCCCCCTGAATCTTCCGTGAGAGACCACCCAAACTGCGAGGAGTTTATGGTTGTTACTTTGGAGGTACATGCCTATATATTTGACGTCTTACTTTTTAAAAGAGAAAAATAAAATTCAGTTTCTGGGCAACAACATGTGTAGCTGCATAGCGATACTTAAAGTTCTTCATGTCTCCTGTGTAGCTAATTACATACAGAGGACATAAGGCTCAGACAATGTGTCAACAGGCCATGTTTCTTTTTTGTGATCCAAGGGAGTAAATGGGACACAGGATACCCAACTATTACTAGATGGCACTCACCGCTAGGTCGTCAGTTCTAATGTCAAGTGAAAAAATCTTCTGTATTTCATCTGTTGATAACACCTCAGTGTCAATATTCTGGGCTCTGTGAAATACAATGCAAACCATGTGCTGTGATCTCTTGGTTAAATAGGAGTTTGTTTACCTTAAACAACAATATACAAACCCAACACAAAACAAAAGCTACATATTCTTTTAATACACTGAAATAAATGAACTTACTGTAAGCAGACAACCAACATACAAACAACAACAACAAGAAGTTTATATATTTTCAAATTAAGTATAGCTTACAAAGCTTGTGCCTGCAATTAGTGAAGGCTATTCAAGGCGGGTACAAGGGAATATTAAACGAACAGTCCTAGAAGAAATCTAGTTTGTCTAGCCTAGATACAGTTTGTCTAACCTATCTGGCTTGAAGGGGTAGATTGCCTATATGTATTTATAAGAGGGCTGGAGAGACCAATTTATTACTTTGCAGGTTTGGTGGTAACTGAAGTCATCATCGACATACCTGCCTATGGCTGCTCTTCTCTTTAAAAAGGTTAGGCGATCCTTGGTCTGTGCAACAACTAGTCCACCACAACGTTTGAAACCTGGCAATTGGACAGGATAAAATTTGTTGTGTTGCACTGTGTTGTGCATGTGGAGCTGAATGAACTGTTCATTATAACAGTTGTCACATTTATTATCCAATACACCCATTAATATCATGGGTGACAAATTACTCGTTAATTTTGGCGTGAAATTTCAGCTATGGCAACGTTCTGTACGTCTCAGTGCCAAGATGGCATCAAGGTTTTAAAATTGTATGAATATTTAGATGACAGGGCATTTAATAAAGATGCTTATATAATTATTAGAAAACCTAAACACACAAAAGAGCACATCAAGAAGTTCCAAGGTGCTGTACAATTCCACAAATAATAGACCATGGAAAATTGTTGTCTATTTGTTAGATACAAACTCAGTCTGACATGCACAGCCAACAGTCATGTGACTGTATTGTAGCTAAGCTCCTTACCAGTTCCTACACCAGTCTCCTCTTCTAACGTGCTGTACAATTCCACTGAGTAACTTGACAGTTTGGTTTCAGCAGCAGATGAACGTAGTTTACCCAAAAGGCCAGCAGCATGCCATGTAGTTCCACAGGTTAAACTGGAAAAAAGAAGGTTACCCCAAGAAATTAAAAATCAGAGCTGTTGAAAAATCTCAGATCTCTTGAAAGCCTTGCTTTATACCTGATTCTGGCAGACTTAACCCTACTGTAACCGGGTTGACAAACCCTTCAATGATTCAATATAGTTATTTATTATATAAACTGCAACTGTTTTTCAAGGATTTGTACCACCGAGAAATGTGGTATCTGAACACACGTAAAGATATGATATTTTTACATGTGAAGATATCGATAATTTCACTGACGTCAGGTTTGTCTCTTAAATTGTACTTAAATTCGTTGGTGTATCATCGAAACATCTTCGGGTCTTCCTCGAAAGTGCTTGGCAATCTTCGGAAATCTTTGGAAATTTTCGGAAATTCTCGGAAAATGTTCGGGAACGTTCGTCTGGTCTTCTGGACAATTTGAAAAATCTTCGGAAATCTTCGGAAGGTGGTGGGAAATCTTCGGAAAAAATCATCAAAAACGCTGTCATCAGTATGTTTATATAATAAAAAGAATATTACACGTTAGCTCGAAGATATGAATTTTATGTTCTCGTGGCAAGAGCAATATCTCACGAGTGAGCGCTGCTCGTCGTGAGATATTGTTCTTGCCACTCGAACATAAAATTCATATCTTCTCGCCACCGTGTAATATTCTCTATTTATTAATTCTTCATAATACTTTTGATATTCTTTTCAAAATTTTATGAAGAGAGGAAAACTGGGACAGTGACTTAATAATGAACTCTGGTCACATTACATGGAAAACAAAAGTTTGCTGTCCAAATTTTGACATAGGAATTGCTTATTTGCTAGAGTTCTTAATGTGCACTGGAATAACCTTTAGATTACTTAAGCTTACTTATTTATCTAAAAAAAAATAAGCCTGAAGCTAAAGATAAATATCTAAAGCTTTACCTTCCTTGTTCCAATAGCAACACATCTTTCCATCCAAGTTTAGCAAGGTGATATGCTACTGAACAACCAACAATTCCACCTCCACAAACAACTACTTGTGCTTGCTTTGGTACAGATGAGTCCGAACTGAGCCCTTCCTGGGAGGTGGAATTCTTGTTCGCATGAAGAATGGAGGATGACAAAAGTCTTCCTGGCCTGATTTAAAATTTTCGATATTCAAAAACTCATTAGTCCAAAAAAATACAAATATGAATGTAATGTTTATTATAGTAGATAACAGTTAATTTTTATCTGATATAGACACGGTTAAATTTTCACTCAAATTTTGGAGGCTAAAGAAACCTATATCCTGAATATTAGTGAAAGAATAATTATCTGCATTAAGTTTTTTAAACCATTCCGTAAAATCACAGTTTGGGCTTTACCAAGACTATTAAACACTTCGACATACTTAAAACTTGATAACATTTTAAAGTACTTATGACCTTCCTAATATTAAACTGCTATGATTAATATAATAATAATCATGATTATCACAATGATAATGGTGCACTCCATCTTAAGAAAAATCCTGGATCCGCCCCTGATTCAGTGGTAAGATTCGAGCTAGGTCCCAGCTGTCCCATCTCCCTCCAAAGAGATGGAATAGAAATTGTACGTGTTTCTTTAATCTTGGAGAGGCCAGTTCATATCATTTTTATTTTCACAAAGATATGACCATAAAAAAATTATGTTCTGTTTAAACTTCACAATTTACTGAATGACCTTAAAATAAACGACTGAAGTACAGGTTTTTGAAATGTTAACAGGTTCAAATTAAATTCAGGTCAAAATTTTTGATCCTAGGTTCAAAATTTTCCTTGACTCCTAGCCCTAATTATTCATGAAAGAGGGATAGGAGACAAAGCAAATTGAGAATCAACCTAGTAAGCCTAGGTTAAAAAACTTTGATCTGAATTTGATTTTTACCTGTAACATAAGCACTACATGAGAGGGTTTGCTTCTATTTTTTAAAAATGTAAAAATGTGTGCGAGCTCTTCTCACCTGGTATTGATCAATGATTTAGGTACAATCTCTCTAAACAAGTAGCTGTGCGATCGTAGAGATCCAAGCCACATCTCGACAGTAATGCAAAGATCAATTTGAATTATCTGTTTTAAGTCTTTACTGCTGCAGTGGATTTCATCTCTAAATGGTGACACATATCATCAGGTTAACACTGAAGTAATATGATCACTCCAGTCACTTTGCATCCAAAGCACTACACATGCACACTAGTGGACTGAGTACATTTTGTCGCACCCTGATTTAAAACAATGATTAGCACCCCTTATTCACAACAAGAGTCAAAAGTCAAGTGTGCAGATTATAATAGCCAAGTTCCTTCTAACCATCCAAGACACAATCTACTGATAAACATGGCACTTAAAGATGGAATACAGTGGGAGTCGCAATATCCATGTGTAATAAAATTAATAAAGGGCTGTATGTAAAAATTAGAGAGAATTAGAAAGTTTGGGTGTGACTGTGAAGCAATTAACTCTTTATCCTATTTCTAACCAAATAGGCATTTTTCCTGAACATTGTAGTAGTAATGCATCAGTCAATACTAGCTCCTCCCATCCCCAAGGCTACTGCGGGGCATTTAGGGGCCTTGTCAGTCCCAGGAGGACGGGGGGCATTTGCCAATTTTGTGCAGTATTACCAGCCCAAGGACCACCCTTGAACTTTTGCAATGCAGATGGTTTCCTATAGAAACATAACCAAACATGGAGGATTTACTGGAAACACAAGCCGATTGAGAGATTGGCCCACCTGTCAAAGATGAGAAAAACTTGTAGAGGTTTTTAAAGGCATGTTCTCTCAATTTTATGCATGCACTTCCTCATTGCTTTAATACCAAGACAGAGCTTACATAACAAAATATGCAACTATCAACCTGAATCAACATTTTTTTTGGGGGGGGGAGGGGGTTGGGGGGTCATTGAATCAACTTCTTGTTTATCTGGGATTTGAATAAAATTTAGTGGTGATGATCCTAACACCACTATGATCTACTAAATATTTGAAGAACATCATTTCATATTTTTTTAACTATTCATAACAGATAAAGTACAAACATTAACCACAAAGGACTGCAAAGGACTGCAAACGAATATAAATCACTTTGCAAAACAAAACTGCAAATAAATTTGTGTTCGCCTGTACTACCTTACTACCTTACCGCGATCCCGTCAACTCGCTTTTTTAGACGCTTTGTAGCCGGGGAGGAAAAAAACATTCGGCGCGAAGATTATTACCTACGGGAACTATGTCTTGTGACTAGTCTTGTGATCGATCATTGGACAGAAGACAGAAGAAAAAGATACATGTCAAGGACTTCCTTTTACGATCTGGGGACGAAACGAAATGGAGGTCAGCTGAGAAGCTGAGTCACCCTGCCGTCACTTATGTCGTCACGCAATAGTCTCTTTGTGTATGCCGTATGAACTGTCTCTATACTGTCTCTCTACTGCTACATAAGTTCAGTATAAACATCTGTAAACCTGAAGAAGGCTGGTATGGCCAGCAATACACGTTGTTATGAATCAGCTTTGCAGTAGTCTTAAGACCTCTCGTTTTTGGTTGTCTCTACAGGGGGAGGGTGCGGCTGTACATGGGGAACTTTAATCTTCGTCATTCGTTCAGAAATGTTCTCAGAAGTATTCTCTCTCTTTATTGAGGGAGGGAATAAAGTTAAGAGAGCTCACAAAACGAAATTTCCACTTGCGACGAGGCATTCTCCGGGTCAAGCGATCACTAAAATTGTCCTCAGCCAGGAGCCTACCACCCACAGGCTCCTGCCTCAGCGGACTCCCTCGGCCCTGGGAAGCGGGAGAAAGGTCTAAAAACTGGAGCTGACCGCTTGCAGAAATGGTCTCTGTTATCGGGGAGTTCAAACAGGGTTTTGTCACGTTTTTCAGGCAAACGAAGGCAAGTGCGAAGCCAGCGAGGAGCGCCAGATACGCGCGACGGGGGAAGATCTTCCCTTCCCCCATCACGCGTGTCTGGCGCGTGCCACTCGCGTGTAGCCTCCCAAGCAGAAGTTCTTATGAGTCCGTCACGCGTTCCTGTGGGGCAGGAAAGCGTGATGAAACCCCAGGAACGTCTCCGTGGGAGGCTAACTCGCGTGTGACTTATGACGATCGCTGCTCTACCAACGAGAGAGTTCGTTGAGAGGGTTTCGACTGTATCAACTGACGTAACTTGCGTTTTAATTTTCGACATTGTTCAGAGCAACATGCTTCTACTTGTTTGACGATGTATGTTGCAGTCATTCACCCTTGATCAGCATCATCGTGAAATATTTTTTGTTCAGTCATGCAAGCAGTGCCGTAGCCAGACCAAACGGCCAACCGAGGCAGGCGGGAGTTGCGAGGGGGGTTCGGGGGCATGCCCCCCGAGAAATTTTGAACTTTAGTCTCTCGGAAATCCGATTTGCAGCGTTTTCTGGGCCTTTCCGTAACTTTTTTTCGAGTTAATTTAAGTGGAATTTAAAAAGCAATAATCAGAAACAAGCTACATAATCTGGGTGACCGTTAACCTCGCCAATGGATTTGATCAGTATTTGTTCAGAAAAAATTTGAGTTAACGTACGTAGCCCCTTGAGATCGATGATATGGTAATTTTTTTAATAGTATATTGACTGAATTGCTGAATTCTTTGTAATATCATGATGCGTTAAAAATATCCGATGATCGCTTATGTAAAATAAAAATGATCGGCGAAATTCGTCAAAATTTTACCGAGGCGAGTGCCTCGGTTGGCCTCATACTAGCTACGGCGCTGGCAAGAAGTATTAAAAGTGTTGTTATAAAAGTTATGAATAGCTCAGCTTTTTATTCTATAACAAAATATTTGAACGAAGTAAAAATTCGAAAAAGAAATCAAATTTTTATTTTTTTAAATCCTGACGAACAAATGGAACCAACCTATTGTGATCCTGAAGAAGTTTCACTTAGTTCACAAATGCTGAATCATCGCTACAGACACAAATACGTTAATCAGAGAGACAGCACCCTCCAAAGGAGTGAAGTTCTGTTCCCCAACGTGGTTCAGAAATGCTCAAATACCCCGTCTACGCTGGTCATGGAAACATTCAAAGCAAGAAAACTGTATTCAAAGTATCACTTTAAACAGAGAAAATTTGCTTGCCTGCAGTGAGCGTACTAGCTATCGGTTCATTTGAAGCGGAAAAGCGAGCAGGCATAACATAACGGTGTCAACAGAAGGAAGTGTTGCTTTTAACGACAATAAATACACTTACATAGGCCCTCTGGCGATAAATAACAGTTCAAAACACAACCCAAGAGCAAAGATACTCTGAAATTAGAGAATAAAACCTCTTGTTTCTCTGACTTAAAAAACAGTTTATGGCTCTTTGTTATAATTTCAATTTCATAGTTTATAGACGTCCATGTTTCATCAACTTCTCGCATCCATGACAAACTGGTTGGCGCAGGATGAAAGGATTTCTGTGCCATTTTCCTGGTGGAATAACTCTGTTGATTTCGTCAACTGCCGACTGCACTGGAAAATAGCTTTGATTTACAGTTCCAAGAGTTATATGAAAGTCTTGCAAACGTGTGTGTGGAATATGTTTCTTTACACCAGTTTTGATTTTTAGATCTCGCTCGTTCTTCAGTGCCCATCGAGTCAAAATCTTTTGCGAACTTTTGTCAGCCGTAAGCACCAAAGAAACTGCATCATTGTAACCGTGAATAGCACATTCTATTTTATCAAACCATACATCGTGAGGTTCCCAAGAATAACTATCAAGAAACTTTCCAATTTTAATCGCCTCGTCTTCCGTGTAGCAGCAGTAGTAGTCAAAAGCAAGATGAAGAGTTCCTCTACCTTCCGTGTTTAAACTTTGTGGCTTACCGAACTCTTTCAAAATCGAGGCAGCATATCGCATATTCTCGACAAGCTCTTTCGGCCACGTTTGGTGGTTGTCATTATAAAACGCCGCACCATATCTCTTAGTTTTCTTCCCTCTTTTCTCGACACATCGTGGACTGCAGCCTGGACCTCCAGCCGTTGGAAAAGCAGGACTGTAAACCAGGCATTTTTCATTTTTTCCAAATACATTGGTGTTAAATGGCCATTTCAAGAGAAAAAACAGCACAGAACAGGCGATCAAAACAAACAAAACAGCGCAATTTTTTCGATTGCTTCTTCCAGAAAACATGGCTTCCCTTTCCTTGTTGTCACTTCGATCTATTCAAAATTACAGTCACGCGAGAATCAAAAAGTCACGCAAGGGTAATAATCACTATTTTTCTCATGTAACTTCACCAAACCTCGGAATAGAGATCATTTCCATATAGTTGTTATACGAGCATGTGCTTTTTATATACAACAATAATTTATTTTACATTACTTGGAAAACGTTTTTCTTGCTTTCTTGTCGTAATCGTTCGGTCCATATGACGCGAGAAGAAAGCATAGAGTTCATTACAATTACTAAAGATTTTATTCCGAGGGACCCGTTATTCTAACGGAGGTTATAAATACAAGCCCATTAGCTAAATAACAGTTACAATACATAACCGTGAAAATATATCGTCTTCTTTTGACTTTACCACAGTTTATGGCCTCTTGTTTTTATTAATTTTACACAGGTTTCATCAGCCAGTTCATGGCCTCTTGTTTTTCTCCGTTTTATTAGTTTTACACAGGTTTCATCAGCCTCTCGCATCTATGGCAAACCGGTTGGCGCAGAATAACAGGAGTTTTGTCCCATTTTCCTGGTGGAATAACTCGGTTGATTTCTTCAACTGCCGATTGTACTGGAAAATAACGTTGATTTACCGTTCCAAGAGTCATATGAAAGTTTTGCAGACGTGTGTGTGGAATATGTTTGTGTACACCAGTTTTGATTTCGAGATCTTGCTCGTTCTTTAGCGCCCATCGAGTCAAATCCTCTTGTGAGTTTTTGTCAACCATTAGCACAAGAGAAACTGCATCATTGTAGCCGTGGATAGCACATTCTATTTTATCAAACCGTACCTCGTGAGGTTCCCAAGAATAAGTGTTTAAAAACTTCCCAATTTTAATCCCCTCCTCCTCGGTGTAACAGCAGTAGTAGTCAAACGCGAGATGAAGTTTTCGTCCGCCCTCTGTGTTTAGGCTTCGTGGCTCACCATACTTTTTCAAAATTGAGGTGGCAAGTTCCATATTCTCGACAAGATCTTTCGGCCACGTTTGGTGGTTGTCACCGGCATAAAATGCCGCGCCATACATCGCAGTTTTCTTTCCTCCTTCTTCGACACATCGCGGACTGCAGCCTGGTCCTCCAGCAGAGGGATAAGCAGGACTAAACACCAGACATTTTTCATTTTTGCCGAATATTTTGGAGACAAATGGCCATTTAAAGAGTAAAAACAGCACACAACAGGCGATCAAAACGAACAAAACGATGCAATTTTGTTGATTGCGTCTTCCTGAAAACATGGCTTCGCTTTCCTTGTTGTCACTTATTACAGTCACGCGAGGATCAAGAGTCACGCGAGGATAATAATCTCTTCTTCTCCCACGCAACTTCACCAAACAGAATAGAGATCATTTCGATATAGTTGTTATATACGAGCATGTGCTTTATATATAACAATTCTCTATTCTACATCACTTGGAAAAAGTCTTTCTTGCCTTCTTGTCGTGATCGTTCAGTCTATATGACGCGAGAGGAAAGTATGGCGTTTATTACATTTACCAAGATTTTATTCCGGGGGACCCGTTGTTCTAACGGAGGTAATATAAGTACAAGCCAATTAGCTAAATAACAGTTACAATGCATCACCGTGAGAATAAATTGTCTTCTTTTGACTTTTACCACAGTTTATGGCCTCTTGTTTTTCTCCGTTTTATTAATTTTACAAATGTTTCATCAGCCTTTCGCATCTATGGCAAACCGGTTGGCGGAGAATAACAGGAGTTTTGTGCCATTTTCCTGGTGGAATAACTCTATTGATTTCTTCAACTGCTGATTTCACTGGAAAGTAGCTTTGATTTACAGTTCCAAGAGTCATATGAAAGTTTTGCAGACGTGTGTGTGGAATATGTTTGTGTACATCAGTTCTAATTTCGAGATATCGCTCGTTTTTTAGCGCCCATCGAGTCAAATCCTTTTGTGAATTTTTACCAACCATTAGCACAAGAGAAACTGCATCATTGTAGCCGTGGATAGCACATTCTATTTTATCAAACCATATCTCGGGAGGTTCCCAAGAATACGGGTTCAAAAAGTTCCAGATTTTAATCCACTCCTCTTCCGTGTAGCAGCAGTAGTAGTCAAACGCCAGATGAAGAACTAATCTACCCTCTGTGTTTAAAGTTTTTGGCTGCCCATGCTTTTTCAAAATTGTGGCGGCAAGTTTCATGTTCTCGACAAGATCTTTCGGCCAGGTTTGGTGACTGTCACCATGAAACACCGCGCCATACATCGCAGTTTTCTTTCCCTCTTTTTCGACACATCGCAGACTGCAGCCTGGTCCTCCAGCAGAAGGATAAGCAGGACTATACACCAGACATTTTTCATTTTTTCCAAATATTTTGGAGACAAATAGCCATTTAAAGAGGACAAACAACGCTACACAGGCAAGTAAAAGAATTGCATTTTGTTGACAACGACGTCTAGAAAACATGGCTTCCCTTTTCGTTGTTGTCACTTTTAACGCTAGGCCATGCAAGATCGAGAGAGTCAAGAGAGATTGGAAAAGGGCTGTTTTGGTGGATTTCTTAATTTCCAATGAATTCCTCCTAACCTGGAGACTGTTTTGATATTGTTGACAGGTTGTATAAGCGATATTGCAGCGAATATACAACAATCTGAGTAAACCTTTATTCTTCATATTAAGGTGACGTCATGAAGGCCATGGTGGTAGACAAATACAAAAGCGTTTTTCTTCGCTGGGAATTAAAGTTTTTTCATGCAAATTTTGCGGGGAAAAAATTACGCTATTGTTTTGTCCACCAACATTTCCGCCTTGTCACGTGGTCACGCAAAAAAGAAGGCATACCAGGGAATAAGTCAGCACAGAATTTAGTTGTCGGCGAATTTCTGTAATCGTCCATTGTTCTGCTAATGATAAACTACCCCTTAATTCACTCGTCTCGCTTGTTTGTGGACATGAGTCTTATACGGTCTGTTTCCTGCCGCCGGCCGAATACCAGGGAAAAAGCGGCCTCTGCCAGCAGGGAAATAGAGAGAAAGAGTGTCTGAAAAATTGTTTCCAAGATTTGCGAACTCTCCAGCTGTTTATATATTTACACATAGACATACTTGTAGTTCTTTTAGTATCGTGTTCATGATGTCTTGCAAAGTTAATTTTTACGTTGTACTATCAGCATTGCAGTATTCTGTTTGCAAAATTTAATATGTCTACTTGAAATTTTTACCACTGTTTACTGATCAGATCTTTATATAGAGGCGCGTTGTACAAACGGTCACAAAATATGTTAATTCCTATAAAAACACCAACAACCTATGAGGCAAATCAGTAAGAAAACATAGCCTCAGAGAATGAATCAAGGTTTGTCTTCACTTTAACGAAGGTTTACAGCTCCTTGGTTTTTTACAATTTCCTTTCAATCAATTTTAGATTTGCTAGTAAGTAACTTGTCGCATCTATAGCAAACTGGTCGGCGAAGAATTACAGGAGTTTTGTGCCATTTTCCTCGTGGAATAACTCTGTTGATTTCTTCAACTGCTGATTGTACTGGAAAATAACTTTGATTTACCGTTCCAAGGGTCATGTGAAAGTTTTGCAGACGTGTGTGTGGAATATGTTTGTGTACACCAGTTCTAATTTCGAGATCTCGCTCGTTCTTTAGCGCCCATCCAGTTAAATCCTCTTGTGATTTTTTGTCAACCATAAGCACAAGAGAAACTGCATCATTGTAGCCGTGGATAGCACATTCTAACCTATCAAACCATACCTCGTGGGGCTTCCAAGAATAACTGTTCAAAAACTGCGCGATTTTAATTCCTTCTTCGTCCGTGTAACAGCAGTAGTAGTCAAACGTGAGATGAAGTTCTCGGCCGCCTTCTGTGTCTATGCTTCGTGGCTGACCGTACTTTTTCAAAATTGACGCGGCAAGTTTCATATTCTTGACAAGTTCTTTGGGCCAGGTTTGGTGGATGTCGTTATAAAACGCCGCGCCGGACCCATACATGGACTTTTTCTTCCCTTCTTTATCGACACATCTTGGACGACAGCCCGGGCCACCAGCAGAAGGATATGGAGGACTATAAACCAGACATCTTTCAGACTTACCGGAAAACTTGAGGTAGAATGGCCATTTAAGGAGTAAAAGCAGCACGCAACAGGCAATCAAAACAAACAAAATAATGTAATTTTGTTGACTGCGTCTTCCAGAAAACATGGCTTCCCTAATTCTTTGTTGTCAGTTCTAATATTACAGTCACGCGAGTTTAAAAAGTCACGCAAGGGTCGTAAATTTTACTTTTCCCACCCAATATATTAACCTGCAGGTCGTTTCCTTAAAGTTAAAAATGGTAGTTTAGATTAGCTGGATTGTTTCGATTTGTGAAAATTACTGAGAATATAGGACTGCCCGTCGTTTAGTGTTTTGAAACCTTGACCGGCAGTCGAGCTGAAAAAGTTTCAAGTGTCACAAAACATGTTTTCGCCTTCTGAGCCCAGCGTAAACCAAACGCTATACTTGTGATCTATAAAGCATTTCAGGATCGCTTGACTTTTCTTCATGGACATGTGATAATTAAGATTTGCTGGGATTTTTCGATTTTGTGTTTACTGAGAATATAGGACTGCCGGTCATGTAGTGTTTTGAAGACTTTCACCGGTTACCGGCCATATTAGCCACAGCGAAGACAAAAAGATAGCGTTAAGGTTATAATATTCTCAACTGAATTCAAATTAAATCATTCACACCAGAATTGAAACAATATTTCTTTTGACAAAAGTATTAAAAAGGGGTGTTATTAAGAAGCTAGAAAATTTAGTTACAAAACATCTCTCAGTAGAGCATAGTTAATTCTGACTGTTAGTTTGTCGCTGATGTCATGTATTTACATGTAATAAAGGCGTTTTATTAACTTTTGGCATCCGCGACAAACTGGACGTTGAAGAATAACAGGCGTTCTATGCCATTTTCCTGGTGAAATAACTCGGTTGATTTCTTCAACCGTCGATTGCACTGGAAAATGGCTTTGGTTTAGTAATGCAAGGGTCATATGGAAGCTTTCTAAGCTTGTGTGTGGGATATGTTTGTTTACACCGGTTTTGACTCCGAGATCTTGCTCGTTCTTCAGAGCCCAACGAGTCAAATCCTCCTGTGATTTTTTGTCAACGACGAGCACAAGAGCAGCTGCATCATCGTAGCCGTAGATGACACATTTCATTTCATCAAACCATACTTCATGCGGTGTCCACGAGTAATCGTTCAAAAACTGCCCGATTTTGATTCCTTCTTCCTCTGTGTAGCAGCAATAGTAGTCAAATGTTAGATGAAGTTCACGCTTTCCCTCTGTGTTTAAAGCAAGGGGTTGACCGAACTTTTTCACAATTGAAGCAGCAATTTCCATGTTTGCGACGAGCTCTTTCGGCCAGATTTGGTGGTTATCGTTATAAAACGCTGCCCCATACATCGAGGTTTTCTTCCCTTGCTTTGCTGTGCATGGCGCGCTACAGCCTGCACCCCCAGCAGATGGATACGCAGGACTATAGACCAGACATTTTTCGTTTTTGTTCCATTCTTTGAAAGCGAAGACTGAGAAACCTTCAAAGGATATAATAAATACAGAAATAGTAGATAAACAACATGAGAAAAAAGAGAAAGTAATTTTCATGACTGCGAAGTTCACGGAACACGATTCCTTGTTGATATATCACGTGAATTTGCTGTTTTAAAAGTCACGCGATGTGTATAATTTATGATGACAACACTTCTTGTCGATGTTCCTGGATTGCCCTTTTCCTTCATTGTTGTGCAAATTAGAATATGAAGTACAACATAACACATAACCCATGTTTTGCTTTCAACTAAGTCGGCGAAACTTTTTACTTTTAATACTTTCATGTATTTTCCTGCTGTTATCTTTGTTTTTAAAATGGCCTACCTTGTTCGAAAAATCGATGATCAACGAAAGATGTCTGATTTATAGCCCTGCTTATCCATCTCCTAGCGGTGGGGGCTGTAGTCCATTGTGTATTGAAACAGATCGAGTTAAAAACTCGACCTATGCCGCAGTGTTTTACAGAAAAAATCACCAGTGGCCGGAGGAACTTGTGGCGAACATGGAAAAGGCCGCTTCAATTTTGAAACAGTTTGGCCAACCAAAATCTTTAGACACGGAGAGAGGACTTCATCTCACGTTCGACTACTATTGCTGCTACACGGAAGAAGAAGCAGCAAAAATTGGGCAGTTTTTGAACGGTTACTCTTGGAAACCGCACGAGGTATGGTTTGATAAAATAGAATGTGCTATCCACGGCTACAATGATGCAGTTTCTATTGTGTTGATGGTTGACCAAAAATCACAAGAGGATTTGACGCGATGGGCGCTAAAGAACGAGCGAGATCTCGAAATCTCAACTGGTGTACACAAACGTATTCCTCACACAAGGTTGCAAAATTTTCATATGACTCTTGGAACATTAAATCAAAGCAATTTTCCTGTGCAGTCGGCAGTTGAAGAAATCAATAGAGTCATTCCACCGGGAAAGTGGCACAAAACTCCTGTTATTCTTCGCAGCCCGGTTTGCAAAAGATGTAAAAAAGCCATAGATGCTGTTTCAATTAAGAACTAGCAAATTCGGATGCAAAGTAGCAAAGTTTTACATTTTGGCCTCTCTATGGTCTCTTCCGGCAGAACAAGACTTAGTCGCGCCGAGCGTTGAGAGCAAGAAGCTGCTCAGAAATGTAGTGCTTTCTCTGTACGTTCATTTCAATAGTTTATCTCGAGCAGAAATTTATTTTCCTTTTTTTTCAATGGTTTATTTATAACGAAACGCATTTGTATTAAAGCTTTCATGCAAATCATTTGGCATGCATGATTTGCATGGGTCGATCAACACAAAAATGATCGATCGCGTGACTATTCATCGAAACAAAAACATCACGCTATGTACATGGTGTACAGTAGATGCAAATATCAATCATAGGGAGTCTGCAGCGCGTATAGTGGTATTATCATGTTGTGTGATCGACTAAATCAACGAAACGGCACGCTTTTACTACTCTTAGTCATTTCCCTTGTCTTTTTTGGGTTTGTTAAATGGCCCTTGTTGTTTGGAGTATCCCTTAAAGACGAAAAATGTCGCGTGTATAGCCCTGCTTATCCAAACCTCGGCAGAGCCGGATGTCGACCAAGATGTATTAAAAAGGAAGGAAAGAAAACCTCAACTTACGTAGCAGCGTTTTACAAAGATAATCACCGATGGCCAAAAGAGCTTGTGACCAACATGCAACTTGCCGCATCAGTTTTGAAAAAATATGGTGAACCACGGACTTTAAACACGGAAAAAGGACGTGAACTCCATCTCTCGTTTGATTACTACTGCTGTTACACGGAAGAAAAAGGAAAAAAGATTGAGAGATTTTTGAACACTTATTCTTGGAGACCTCACGAAGTATGGTTCGATAAAATAGAATGTGCTATCCACGGTTACAATGATGCAGTTTCTTTGGTGCTTATGGTGGACAAAAAATCTCAAGAGGATTTAACTCGATGGGCACTGAAAAACGAGCGAGATCTCGAAATTAGAACTGGAGTGCACAAACATATTCCACACACACGTCTGCAAAACTTTCACATGACCCTTGGAACTGTAAATCAAAGCTACTTTCCAGTGACATCAGCAGTTGAAGAAATCAACAGAGTTATTCCACCAGGAAAATGGCACAAAAACGCTGTTATTCTTCGCCGACCGATTTGCAGAAAAGTGGTCTGAAAGAATCGGACGTCAGTTTGGCGGGGGAGGGGTGGTCGGTGGAGTTCGGTCTTTTATTCTTAATTCTTGATCTTGAGCCAGTGGCGCGTCTTGAGAAGGTAAAGGAGTCACTCGAGGCCTCTTTAGCGGGGTAAGTAACATATGTCTATCGGTTGAGCCCCTGTTTATATACAAATGTGAAGACCATAACGAACAGACGAGTGTAACTAGGAGTTCTGAGATAAATAAAGTCTTTTGTACTGTTTGTATTCACCTCTCCCTCTTTTTCTTGAGACTGCCGTCAATAATAGCACTAGCCATTTGCAGGCATGAAACATTGAGTTTATAGAGGCCGCGCATGAAATCTAAAGGACGAGAGTGTTACCATGGCATTCATTTTGTCGTTGCTCATTGCAAATGTTTTGCTGCGCTGGGTTAAGAGGTTCATTTGAATGAAGATTGTGGAAATATTGTAGCCAATTTTCTTCCGAGATTGATGGAACATCCTCTCCTTTTCTGGTGTCGACCACCGATTTGGAATTGGCTGCAGTCTTTTCTAGCTCAGAAATCTTGGCATTTGTAATGGTCATTCTTTTTAGAATTAAGTATTTTCTTGTATTGGGCCAGAGTATGATCGTATTGCTCACGTATGGTAGTATTCAAAGGGTCTCGATGTTTCTTGTTTGCTAGTTTTCGTCATTCATGCCTTTTCAAACGACATTCTTCATTGAACCATTTTTTGTTTGATAATGATTTGATACGCTAATGCGTTTTACTCTCAGATGTTTGCCTTCTGTCCGGTAGTGCACGAACCCTTAAGTTATTGTCTTTGGGCACAGCCCAGGGAATATATATACCTTCCCTTTCCTGGTTCCTCAGATAACCTTTTGTTTTAAACGGGTGCACCGCAAGAAGGTTGTTACGCAGGAGTTAGGTACGGGTGACCAGAACATTAGGAGATTAATCACCCTTGACACCCGCAAAAAACCACAGAACAAATTGCGCGCAAGAGTCCGGAAAATGGCACCCATCACTCTTCACTCACTCAGTATTCATTTTGGTCCCGAAATCCTCTATTAAGTAAGCAAGGAAAAAAGCAACGAAATACAGTACTCATATTAATCAGTAGCTTAAAATGATGGAGCCGGAGTAACTTTAAAGCAGATACTCATAGTAACTTCTTTCATACTTAAGAACATTTACTGATAAGTCGTTTTTATTGTTTTCTTTTTTACCCGTAAATCCTCAGACATACAAGGTACTAATTATACTAAACTGCGAGAAGTAGTCAGCTGGGTAACGTTTGACTATCATTACTCTTTGAAAAAACTTGAACTGGTGACTACATTATTACATATGAGGTCTGTTCAAAAGCAAAGGATATAAACACACAAAGAGTTAAGCCATACCACGTGGTGAAGATCCGCTAGCAGAAAACGTTTTGCAGGATCTTGGAAGGGTGGTCCTGGGATGCAGGATTTGTATAGTGCGGGATTTGGGAAATTTTAACGGGATGCGGGATTTGACTACTCCGGAGAAGTGGGATTCGCCAAAATTTAGACACGAATGCAGTACTGGGTAAGAAAACGATATTCAGAATAGCGAAGACAGAAGTTCGTGATGCGGGACTCTCGTGAAAAAGGAGTGGGAATGTGCGCGGGATCAGACCCCCTCCCCCCTTTTCCAGACCTTAGTTTAGCCGAGGGCATCCAGTCTAGCTTGCGTAGCCAGCGTTTCCGTGTGATTTCGAAACAAAGAAAGACCACGGAATGACGAAGAACGGACCGGGTTTTGGCCGTGCGAAAAATGGCATCCACTCCGCCCAATATTTCGAGCGGTCTTTAACTCTCGTTCCCTGTTCTTTCCTCCGAAACGGCACGGAAAAGCTTGCTATGCAGGTTACATCCAGTCAGGACGACTCACAGACAGAAAGCCAGAAACACGTTGCACAACACAAAAAGGGTGGAAAACCCCCCTCTCCCCCCGCCCCCCATCCCAGTAAACTAATGGATCAGGTGGGATTAAACCTTAAGAACGCTTATGACAGGAACCACTAATTTGTGATCACTACATCATCAAGTGTCAAACTGTCAATGGATTATTCAGATTTTCCCAACCACTTAAGATCATTAGGCCTGGGTTTGGCGCCAGTTGCTTTTTCAATCAACCATTCTAAACATGGCCAGAACTTGATCACTTCCAGTGGATAGTTGAGCCAGCCAGTTGTGATACAGAAGTATGTCTCATGAGGAGACACATGATGGATGCGATGATGTTTCCGAGGCATGATTAAGTGCCAGTCCTGGAGTTTCTGGACCCAAATTGGCAGACCAAAGTACATATGGGACCATTTGTGGATCTGGTTACAAAGGGTGACGAAGACGACCGATGAAAACCCAAAACATTCAACTCCATAAGAAGCTTGTAAAATCTCTTGGTCAAAAGTGAGGTATCTATAGACCATGTAGCACAATATAGGTAGTGTTACAAGGCAGTTGTCTCCGTTTGTCTCAATGATGTCATGTCTTGTTATGGCTGTGGGATCCACATGGTGCTCTCTAAAAGAACGAATGAAAGCTCTACCAAATACTGGTATGTCCACGGAGCCCCATGTATCTGCCACCCAATGGACTAATCCGGAAAGAAAATCTGCGACAAGGACACCAGCAACTATGAAACAAGAATTTAAGTCCAGTAAAGACACCGTCAAAACTATGATGAGATGTCAACCCTTAAGCAATGGGTAATCTTGAAGCTCTCACTAAAAAGAGTCAAACACGATATGTTAAAGTAAAGGTATAATACCGGCAGGTAGCCTGCGTACCAAGCGCTTCCGTGTGGTTTCGGAGCAAAGAAAGACCGAGGAACGACGAGGAACAAGATTTTCGGTTTTGGCCGTGGGGAAGATGGACAAGAGCCAAAAAATGAAAGAGGGGGAAGAGGGGGAGGATCTTTTACTCGCGCCATTTTTCGCGCGGTCTTTGACTCTTGTTCGTCGTTCTTTGCTCCGAAACCTCTCCAAAACACTTGCTACGCAGGCTAACCAGCAGCCAAGATGGGAGAGAAAAATAACAGTTTCTAGTTGCCGGTAGACTACGAATAGTCCCCATTTTTCCTCAGAGATAGACCAAGCGAAACGCGAGAGCTCCCTGCCGCGTCTAGCCTTTTTCGCGTGGGGTGATTTTCACGCGCGCTCGCATTTCGCACGCTCTACTATCCCTGAGGGAAAATGGGGACTACTCGTAGTCTAAGTTGCCGGGAAGCCGGGAACATAAGGCTTACTTTACCTAGCCTTTTGTGTAGCTTCGACATTTTCTTTGTTATGTACGAGCAGTAATGTTTTTGCAAGCTTAACCAATGATCAGCATCCAATTTCTCCCGGCAATAACACTGCCTGATAAAAACATACGGGTGATGAGAATGAATGAAATGATCACCAAAGATGAAATGGTTTAATGTTCGAACAAATTCTCTCAAGCAGTGCCAGGAGAAATTTATAGGAACACTGTGGAGAAAATGAATCCTAGTATTAGGGCCTTGCCCAGTCCCTGTACGGCGTTTTCCCAGTCCCTCTCGGTCAATTCGTTTCGGTGACGTATCCGAGGCGAACGGGCGGGAAACACAAACTCACATTTTCGCATGGACCACGAGACCCGAAACGCTTTGGCCGCGAGGAAAAATGAGGCCTAGGGACTAGGCTACCACGTGCCAAGGATTGTACAAAAAAGGCAACCCAGCCCGGAGACATTGGCAGGACTTTTCAGTGGCTGAGTCCTGCATGCAAATATTTTATTGGATACTGAAAAATAACAACAACAACAACAACAACAATAATAATAATAATAATAAAAATAATAATAAATGATAATAATAATTAAAAAAATTTCCTCTTACCAGTCGCGAATATGATTGACCTGACTTCACTCAGCTTAAAATTCTTGCACAAGAAGAAAAAGGCAATGCTTGAAAGAATACAGAATGAAATAACACTGAAGATTTCCAGCCGTCTTTTAACCTAAAATTGGCAAATGAACAAATTATTCAGACGACTACAAAGCCTACCTAGTACGCAGGCAGACTCGTATGAGTAATACTAAAAAATAAATATAAATAAATAAATAAACAGTTACTCTATTTATATAGCGTCTATATCATTAACGGTTCTAGGCGTTTTACAAAAAATATATTAAAACTCTAAAAAATCTAACAACTACATATGTAAGTATGAAAAATAAATAAAAATCTATTTATAAATTAAGAAAAAGCTTGGTGAAATAAATATGTCTTTGAGTGTTTTTTGAAAGAATTCAAGGAATCGGTATTCCTTAAAGATGTGGGTATGCTGTTCCATAATTTAGGTCCTGCAATAGAAAATCTTCGATTACCATAAGACTTTAGCTTAGATCTCGGGACTTGAAGTAACTTATTCGAGCAAGAACGCAAAGAGTAGGAGCTGCTACAAAACTTGAGCAAATTGGACTGATATAACTTGGTGAAATGGGCTCCTGGTGAAAGTCAAAATTCCACCCCCCAAAAAGACATTATTCCCAGACAATTCGAAAAATCAGATGGACAACCCGTCTCAGTTATGTTAGACGTAGACTGCTGAACAGTCAGCGATTTTGCGTAGGCCAAGAACGCGCGAGCAGTCGACAAAAGGTCTAAAGCTAAGGTGAACACCCGCTCTCCTCGCGCGCGCGAAACTCTAACGCCCGCACCGATTTTGAGAAAAGACAAGTCTATCTTAAAGTGAAAACGGGACGCTGGTTTTCATCTCGATGGAATAATCCATCTGATATATGTCATTTATCAGTCTATTTTGACGGCCAATAGGACAAATTTTTAAAAACGTAGAGCAGACGATCGAAGCAATCAGAGCTCGATCTACAAAGCGCCCGATTTCCCTTTTATAAACTGCCTGCCACGTAGGTTATGGCATACATGTTGGTCACATGCGGTTGTAAAGATTCAACACGTACCTTTCGTGTATCCACTTGCCAGAATCTGGGCACTAACAGCTTTATGAGACTTCTTCATTGTTCCTGGCGGATTTTTTATCACGAGACCCTCTTCAGTTCTCCAATCTCCTTCACGCACAACCTTCGTTGTTGCACGATTCCAGGTCATTTGGTGTGTAACAGCAACTAAGACGAAGTATAAGACGTATGCTACGCTCAACCTTCTGCTCGATTTTTATGCTGTAAATTAAGGTTAAGAAGAGTGTGTATTCTTATAACGTGGATCAATGTGGTACAGGTATGATTTGGTCTAATGATTGTACGAAAGCCGAGGTTTCCAACTTCTGACTCAGTGTCAATCCTGTTTTCTGATATTTAGAGTGGGTAATTTGATTTCGAGTCCTGCCCTTTTAAACCCTACGAGACTCTACGAGCAGAGGTTACTTCTTCGCAATAAGGTCGTACTGGCATGCGAACAAGATACGGCGAGCCTAGGTAACTTTTTTCGGTAATACGTCAAGTTTACGAAATATAAGGAGGGTTTGGCCATTTGCACGCGAGGCTGTTTGCACGCGATATATATTGTTGATTGATATGCTTATTGCGCTCTAACCTCAGATCAGTCGTTATCTTTTTTTCCTTTTTTGCTTCTTTGGCTCGAGAGGGAAAAAAATAATTCCGAAAACAGATTACAGAGATAAAGAGAGAGGGTATGACCGCAGGCTAATTGCGCTCAACTGAATGCTTTTTTTTTGTAGTTTATCGTAACGTCATATTTTCCCTGCTAGCAGAGGTCTCTCACGACGAGGCAAAAATGAGAGAAAGGAGAGAGACTCTCTCTCCTTTCTCTCATTTTTGCCTCGTCGTGAGAGACCTCTGCTAGCAGGGAACGTCATATTTTAACGTTGAATGTACACAATTAAGGCCTTGTATAGTGACCTATGTATAGTGTCATGTGACGGAAACTTGTTGTAACTAAGAAGAAAGACAGATTGTGGAATGTAGTGATCGAGTGTAGAACGCAGAACGTAGAAAGTGTAAAAGAAAGAAAATCTTGGAAATAAAATGCAGTCCTCACAGAAGTTGCATTGAACGTGGATATTCCCGAACAATTAATACTACCTTGATCTTGCGCAGTATTCGCGTGTACTTGCCTTGCTGTAGAAAATTAACGCTTCATGAAACTTAATTCGCGTTAATTTAATTCGCGATGATTTTTGTTAAAACAAGTTAATTTCCTCACCATTACCGTATTTATTCGATTAACCGCCCTGGGCGCTTATTAAATTTTTGGACCGTGAGAGTGGGCGCTTATTCGAGGGGGGCGCTTATTCGAGGCTGGGCGCTTATTAAATTTTCAGTATTTTCAGCAAGTGTAGTATGTTCATTTTGCAACAAAACAATAAATGGTAATGACAAAACGCGAAGATGTTTCCTATAAAATACTTTGAAGAAAACTCAGTCTTCGGGGAGTCTCTTATTAGTACTTATTCAATTTTTGGGGGGTGGGGTGGGGTGGGGTGGGCGCTTATTCGAGGCTGGGCGCTTATTAACTTTTTCTACCTTTAGGATGGGCGCTTATTCGAGGTGGGCGCTAATTCGAGGTTGGGCGCTTATTCGAATAAATACGGTAATTAACATGAGTGTTAATATTTCAGCGACCTTAATTCGCGGGTGGTTAAAGCTCGAAATATGACCATCGGCGGCAGTGTCGCGTAACATTGGAATTATACAAATTTGTATTGGGAAAATAAGATTGTTTAATTTCAATAAAAATTGACTAAGCTCTTTTAAGGTATGTGTTTCTTCTTTCTAGTTTAGTTCCTGAGCCAATTTATTGCCGGCCATTTCTCAATGGGTTTTATTGGCGACGGTCAATAAAACACATAAAATGGCCATAAATCCGTTCGGGAATAAGTCAGGAAAGAAGAAACACACAGCTTTTAAATTAAAGGTGTAGTTAGCCAATTTTATGTAAATCCTTTTTGGAATTAGCAGGTTACAGAAACAATCGTTTTTTTTCCCCATTTTGAAGGTTACACAACAATACCCATGATCATATTTCGAGCTTGGCCTACCTGTGCTAGTTAAATTTTTTAATTATTTCAGCAGACGTTCTTGACATCTAGGAAAAAGGAGTATTTCATCAGGGTGGAGATCCACTAGTATCAGTAAAATTGTGAAGAACTTGAAGAACCCTTGAAGGACTTAAAGTGGCGAAATTTCTTCTGCGTTTAGGGGGAGTTTGCATTTCGGATCACACTTTTTAATTTGTTCCTCTGTCATCTGAACAAGTTTTGTTTTTGTGTGTGTACGTCACGTTATAAATTTTCTTCCTTTTGAAATGTCAACTCTTTCTCGCGCGTTTCAAGTGTAACTCGAACTTAGGCCTCGGCCAAACGTCGAACTTTTCTCTAATTTGGGTCGACCTAAATTAATTCAAGATCGTCTGTTGGGAACCAATCAACTCAATCAAACAAAAAAGCAATTTTCTGAATTTTAGCCGGCCAGTAATAAATTTTCTCCCGAACGGGGCTAAATATACATTATCTAGGATTATCATACAAATTTTTAATTCATTAGTTTAGTTCGTCGAATGTGAAGATCGACGTTTGTCCCGGAGACGATCTTCGGACGTTCTATCCGTTTGAAGCAGACAGATAGAACATGTTGGACGATCCAAACTCATTCAGACGAACTTAACTGAGCCAGGCGTCGAACTTTCCATGAACTCTCTAAGTTTGGTTCGTCTCACGACAAGTTTGACGTTTTGCCTAGGCCCTACTATACCCCTTACCCTGCTAACTTGTTTTTTGTGTTTTTTTGTTTTTTTCGAGGTAGAGGACTTCTACTGTAACTTTTTAAATCATCAATAAAAAATTTCATAACAGAAATTCTGTAAAGAAACACACACACCCACACAATGAAACAACAACAATTTTCGTACTCATATCCATTAATAGTTTAATGTAGCAGTTGTTTATTTTAATTTACTGGCCTGGCTGATAGGTTAATTGACAGTCCTCTCACAAACGAGGCATTACTTAAGCAAAAACTCTTAAACTGAACAGCTTTGATAAACAGAAAACTGTTTACCATAAATCCTGAGCAGCAAATAGCACTCGATCATCAGCAAATGACCAACTAATGTTGGCCCATGTCAGACAATATTGTAACAGTGGTGGGGCATGATGTCAGGACAAAAGTGCATATGCAAGTGCATGTTCACTAGTACCCTAGAAATAACAACCCAGTTAAATTGTGGCAGTAATCAGTCTACCTGACAATTCTACTCCTAACATGCCCAAAAATATTTCTGTTAACCTTTCCAGTCCCAGGCGTGACCAACATCAATTTTCTCCAAACAATATCAATGCGTGATCACATAGAAAGGATACAAGATTTGACAAAATGATCGCTAAAGGGAAACTGCTTTGATCGTTTAACAAATTCTCTTAACTTATTTTGTAAGGAAATATATGGAGGTCAGTCTGGAGAATTTGTATCTGGATATTGGGACTTGAAGGGTTAAAGAAGTGTAATGCGTCCTTAATTTAGCCCAACCACCTTTTTGCTTTGTCCAGCTGGAATGGGGACTCAGCCTGACATATATCCCTTCAAGAGCAAAAAAATTGTTTCCAGCCCTGCTAGTAAGTGTACACAAAATTCCTAAAGAATGTTTTCTTTTTTAAAAAAATTATCACCACTGGTGACCATTAAATTTCTTGATTAAATAACTTACTTATCAATATTTTAAACACCCATACAAGCAATTAAATAAACTATTCTTTGTAAAACACAACCTGTGTATATAACAAGAAGCCTGTCTCAATAACATTTTACACCTGGCGAAATTTTACTATAATGCTAATTAACAATTATTCCTCGACCCTGAATGGGTTCTGAGTCAATAGCCTATGAGGCTGAAGGCTGAATGGGGTATTGACTCAGAGGCCATGAGGGCGAGAGGACTAACTGTTTTAGTAAAATCCAACCAGTTGGTCAAAAATATTGAGACAAAACAACTTTAGCTAGTTAAAGCTAGACTTTAAGCCTTTTTTGCCGCCAAAAAGCCAGCACTCTGCGCTCCTAGTGGGCTATAACATATAGTCTAGCAGTAGCTTAACCAATCAGAATGCAGCATTGATAATAGACCACTGGTTGGATTTTACTAATGACAAATATAGGACTATATTATTCATGAGAGATTAAGATTCTTCTCTTGTTAGGACTTAAATAGAAAACAAAATACTCTTCATACACCATCAACATTCCGAAAGCTTTGCCAAAGCTTTTTGAATTCACCTGGATCTCTTCTTCAGTGATCTACAGAGCATTTTGGGGACAGCCTCATCATCAAAAGAAGACTGCAAATATCAGTGACAGTCATAGCTCTAAAATAATGATAAATAAGACATTCTCTAAATTTTGCAGGAGTATGAAGAGTGATTTTCTCCCAACAATATATCCATCTCTAAAATACAGAGGAAATTAGAGATCATTCAATATAATTTAATATTAATATTATTAATAATAATATATATCAGTAAAATAATAATTTATAAAGAAAATACAAAAACAGTTCTCATTTTATAGATGTCTGTTTACCTGGTGAAGAAAACTAAATATTTTGACACAAAGTTTTTGGCCCAAAATTTCAAAACTTTACAAACAGATCTAAGGAAAGGCTTTCTTCAGTAACATTTCACATCAATTTCTTTTCCAAAGATGTTACTTCAGACATTACTATAAATCAAAGGCTATTTGAGTTTCGAGTTAGTTACTAGAAGCATGGTTAATTAAGGAGGCTCTCAAAACTGGTTTTGTTTCATTTGGGATGCGTCTGTGAAAATTCACATTCTTTACATTGTATGAATGACTAAACTCTAATATTTTCTTTCAAACATTACAAAGTTTATGATAGTTATATTTTTTTGCTGCTTTCTGAGGAAAGGTGGTTACCATAGCAACAATAGCATGTACTATCTCACCTGAAGTCATAATATTGAGAAGCATAGCACACTCTGGCCCAGGGGGCATTCCCATTCAGTCTGAAAAGCTTGTCGTCTCACTTAAGAGATTCACTTTATAGATTTTTTTCTCACTAAGGTTTTTCAGGATGGAAGTTAATATATTTTTTTGCCCATGCAGATATGGCTTAAGGTAGCGTGTGAAGAAACATATACCAGTACAAAGAAAACCAACAACAACAACAAAAAAACAACAAACAACAAACAACAACAACAACAAAACAACAACAACAAACAAACAACAAACAACAAACAAAAAAACAACAAACAACAACAACAACAACAACAAAACAAATTTTATTGAAAATTGGAAAATAACTAATTACATTACTTTCCCACCCGCAAATAGCTTATGAACTAATCGAGGCGGGGGGAGCTGAAGACATATTACAAAACAAGAATTATATATAGATGGACTAAATAACAGTGAAGACACTACAATACAGTAAATAGAGTTTAAACTAACATAAAACAAAAGGCATGTACATAACGATTACGAAGAGAGGTTAACCGTTATTTTCTCTCTTTAGGTTGGCAATAGACTCAGGCATAATGTGACACACGAAACAAGATAACAAAACAAATAGAAAAAAGCAGAAGGAACACTTAAACATCAGAAATTTACGAAATGTTACGCGGAGCACTTAAACACGCGGCCGTCCATCTTAACCACATCACGTGACATCAAACAGCATAACCCTGTCTTCAACACAGAATTTCATTTCTACATTCTTTGTACCATTTAAATCACTATAGCTCTTAATAATGTTGACTCAAAAATTTGGTTATACCAGGATACAGAGGTATCTGATGACCAGTTGAAGAAAGAAAGCTAGTGGAAACAAATAGCTACAAAGAATGGGTTGTAAGCCTAACCTTGCCAGTAAACTTAAGTGTCAGCTGGTGTAACAAGAATTTGTCATCACTTGGGAAATTCCAGCAGCTCATGATCACTGCATCTTCAAGCTTCAAAATGTCAATGTATTATTCCGATTTTCCCGACCACCTGAAATCATCAGACCTGGGTTTGACTCCTGTTGCTCTTTCAATCATCCATTCTAAACATGGCCAGAACTTGATCACTTCCAGTGGATAGTTGAGCCAGCCAGTTGTGATACAGAAGTATGTCTCATGAGGAGACACATGATGGATGCGATGATGTTTGCGAGGCAGGATTATGTGCCAGTCCTGCAGTTTCTGGACCCAAAGTGGCAGACCAAAGTACGTATGGGACCATTTGTGGATCTGGTTGGTGAGGGTGACAAAGATAGCCAGTGAAAACACAAAACATTCTACTCCATAAGAAGCTTGTAAAGTTTCTTGGTCAAAAGTGAGGTATCGATAGACCATGTAGAGCAGTCCAGGTAAAGTTAGCAGGCAGTTGTCACCATTTGTCTCAATGATGTCATGTCTTGTTATGGCTGTGGGATCCACATGGTGCTCTCTGAAAGGGCGGATAAAAGCTCTACCAAAAACTGGAATGTCCACGGAGCCCCATGTGTCTGCTGCCCAGTGGACAAATCCAGAACAAAAATCTGCGACAAGGACACCAGCAACTATGAAACAAAATATGAATCCAATAAGAACCCCTTCAGAATCCTTCTCACTGTCAAAGTCAGACACAGCATGAGAAAATTTAATATTTTCAAGGCTTAAATTTTTCCAGCTTACGCTGGCCTGAACTTGGGAAGCAAGGCCGGTGGCACAGCGGTGAGACCACTCGCCTCCCACCAATGTGCCCTGGTTCAAATCCCGGCGTCGACGCCATATGTGGGTTGAGTTTGTTGATGGTTCTCTCCCTTGCTCCAAGAGGATTTTTTTGGGTACTCCGGTTTTCCCCTATCCTCAAAAACCAACATTTCCAATTTCCAATTCAACCAGGAATCAGGTAGACAAAGAACCACTATGTGGATGTGCTAACTGCAAATCATTATTTATTCATTTATTTATTATTTATTTTTAACTAGGTTAGGTTTAAAAATCATATAACTGACTGGGAAAAAGTTACCTTATTCTTTACAATTTTAAAGAAGACAGATTAACACTGGCAAGACGAAAGGAAACAGCCCAGTTTCCAATTTTCCTTGTTTTGATAAATATACATCTGTAAACCATATCATTGTTAAGCTCCTAAAAATAGTATTTTAACAGCATGATTTCCAGAAAGAAACCCAGTCCAAAGACATAGTGACCGTGGTCACCTCTATTATGAAATTCACATATTGAAATTACCTTTAGCTGAACATGTGCAACACGTGTAGGGATGTTTAAAAACTATGTATGTATGTATGTAAATCTTTATTCAAACACGGGAAATCATAAGTTACGCTTATTAATAAGTTAAAAACTAAAACTAATTACAACTGCTTTACGTGATTGCAGTGTGGGAATCCAATAATCAGCCAGCTTCTTGATGCCCAACGGATGAAGCATTTTTTAAGCTTTTGGGCAAGTTATTCCATAACGTGGCCCCGCTGTAAGAGAAGCTTCGTTTCAAATAATAGGTGCTTGGTTTGGACAGGGTCAGCCTTCCCTCAGAGTTTCTTAAGTTCTAAGCAGAGTGACGCTGAGAGAAAAGACTTCGTAGATATTCCAAAGGAAGGTAATTCATCGTTTTATACATCATTAAGGCTATTTGACTCAACGTGAATTGAAATTACAAGTTCATATAATTTTTTCAAATCAGCTAGGCCTCATCAGTAATTTAGACCATCCAACTGATAGTTGACATCGCATGACGTCATAGATGCCTACACTGTCATCTCAAAAACCTGGTCCCAGTTGTTCAAAAGCTGGATAGCGCTATCCATCGGATAAATGACTATACAGCAGGTCCCAGTTGTTCAAAAGCTGGATAGCGCTATCCACCAGATAAATCTCTTTCCAATGGATAGCGCAATAGGTTTCCTTAACATTTATCCAATGGATAGTGATTTATCCGGTTGATAGCGCTATCCAGCATTGGAACAACTGGGGCCAGATAAGTAATAGGGAAACCAATAGTGCTATCTAGTGAATAGGGATTTATCGAACTTTTCAGGAAAACTGAGGCCAGGGACCTGTTTCTTGAAAGTCCTAGTAACTTTTCAGGCATGGAAAGCTGTTTTGTCTTTGCAGTGTTTACATTCAAGATCAAAGTTTCAATAATTTGAAAATGATACAATGAAACTATCAGTTAATGAAGCAAAATCGATTGGTTTGTGAGCTGGGAACTGTGCTAGTCTGAACTTTAAAATTTGTCTTCAGGGACCCGTTTCTCGAAAGTCCCGATTATTAACAGGCCCGGTAAGCTGTCTCCGTTTACATTAAAGATAGAGGTTTTAATAGTTTTGCATTTAACATGATAAAACTATCAGTTAATGAAACAAAATAGAGTAGTTTGCTAGCCAGGAGCAGCACTCTTATTCTTTATAATTCGATTTGAATATTTGATTTTGGGCCCCGAAAAGTTACCGGGACTTTCGAGAAACAGGCCCCAGGCCTGAAAAGTTCCTGGGCCTTTCAAGAAATGGGACCCAGAAGAGAACTGAAGTGGGTGGACAGTCATTTCAGGAATTTAAGCCTTCTTGTACATGCATTGGTTATGTTTTGTGATAAACAAGAACGCTCTTAATATCGGCGTTAAGTCTCGCTTGCTTGAAGATTAGATATGAAATGAGGAGGCCATTAATTCTAGACGAAACAGGATTTACTTGCTAAAGGTTTTTCACTTCCTACTTTATTGATGGTCGAGTATTCTTCAGGATATTTACTTTATATATCAGTCGATTTGGTTCTTAATTGGTTTAGTACGCATGTTAGCGACGACTGGAGATATGTCTGCGGTCGCACGCTATACTCGTGTATAATTAAACAAAAATTCAAGGACCTTGATTTGAGAGAAATTACATCATTGCAAGAGATAAATAGCCTGCGAAAACATCCGTTTCTCCTCGCTCTTACGAGATGAGAACATGGCATGGCATGTCAATCATCACCAAAAATGAACTGCATGCTCATCACAAGACTCATTAGAATACATTAAGTTTACAACACCCGATCAGTTAGCCTTTGCTAATTAATATTTTTCTCTATTTTTCCAACCACTGAAGTGTTCACTTGTTCCAAAGTTATCAACTCTTTCAAGTGATAGAATTCATGGACTGACCCGTTCCGGAAAAGCTCTAAATTGCATTTATTAATCTTTCTTAAGCTTTCTTCACAAGACATGCATGGCTTCAGTCAGTGATTCATATTCCCAGTTTCCACCGTCTCCGCTAAGAACACCTGGGACTACAACCGCCCTTTTATGTCCTAAATACCAAGAAGAAAAACGGCTTGCAGATTATGAGTCTCACTGCTTATGAAAGCAAGACTAATCATTTAGTCTAATTACAGCTATCATGTTCTACAATAATTGTTTACAGGGACCTTAGTACCTCTAAAATACCACCCAAGGATTGAAAAGTTCCCATCTGGTAGTCCAGGACAACAAGATTTTCTTTCTGGGCAAGTAACTTACGGGTAGGTAACTAAAAATCCAACAATAATTAGATTATTATTATTTCACTTACCAGAAGCACATGTGATTGACTTGACCTCACTGAGCTTAAAATTCTTGCACAAGAAGAATAAAACAACGCTTGACAGAATACTGAATGAAACAACACTAAAGGTTTCCAGACATCTTTTACCTAAAATTGACAAATTAGTAAGTGTTAAGACAACTGTTTATCCAAAACACAGACAGCTAAGTAAATTACTGCAGCAAAACCTCTCCCTCGAGACACCTCCATTCAAGGGACACAAAATTTGGTCCCCGAAAAATGTTCACACAATCTTTTTATGTGTTACCTCTATTGAAGGGACACCTCTTGGCTCTATTCAAGGGAAAGGGACACTTTTTCTGGTTCTCCCAAAACCCCGGTTTACCGTTCAAGGGACATCTTAGCACTCAAACTGTCACAGCTCACAAAAAGCATTGATAAGTTCATGTGTACACTAATGCAATGATGACAGCTTTCACAACATGAACTATCTCTCTTAAATCAACGCTGAACTGGTGGAAATTCAAGACACAACATTGCAGAGAAAAGTTAATCATGATTTTTTCCGGGCAACAAGAGCAGCCTGCAATCATAATCTCCCGGTTGAAATTACGGATGCATGGCACGTATATAGCCAGCTTCGTTTGGAATATTACACTTGGAATGAATGGAATGTACAGAATGCAATCTGTCTGATCTGACACACATTTTGACCCTCAATCTCTCGTAATCTAATCACACCTGTTTTATAACATGAATCTTACGCAAAGCACAGCATTGAAGCAAAAGCATTTTGGCCTTTGATGGACGTCACTCGATTCCAAAACCTTTGGTTATAACTAGTTTATACATTATCTAGATGCTTGAGATTATGACTGCAGCAGATTCCATGGTAGATTAAAAGAAACATATTTTGTTTATACTTTTATAAATATCATAAACAAATACCAGCCCAATCTCTATTCAGGGGACACCTCTATCCAGGGGACACTTGCCTTAGTCCCAAGGGAGTCCTATGAAGAGAGGTTCCACTGTATTTATTCAGATAAAGACATTGCATGCATTTGAGGTACCTCAATAATATACAGAAATACCATACGGATGAAGTAAGTAAATGTTAGCACTGTTAATCTGATAGTCATGGGGTTACGAATATATATATTTCTTCAGATGAATATTTTTCTTCTAGTATATTATCATTAAGTTTTGAGTTCTTTTTGTGAACGAGTGGCAACAAGGTTTAGAAATCATGCCTGTTCTGAAAAAAGAATATATTCCATGAATTCATATTGACTGGTTTGAAAATTTGAGCTTTTTCCTATCATTCGTAACAGAAGGAAAAAGAATATATTTTTTTCTGCTATTGCCAAGCACTATTGAAAGTGATCTCGTTTCCCACCCTGGGGAAAAAAATTTTAAAATTTGTCAAATCCCTGCCCCTTGCCCGCCCTCCCCCCCATCCCCCCATGGGATTTACATTGACAGGTGCATTAGATTCTGGGAAGTGTTTTGTCCCTGTGAACCACGGTAGTTAAGGAGCTGGCGTCTATGTCTATAATAGATTTTGCAAGATAATATAGTGTTAATGTGATTAAGATTGTAAGCTTATGTACCGGTATTTACAATCACATAATCGCACAGGAACGAAGACACACATAACTTTAGTCTAGCTAATTTTTATATTTAAATCCTTAAATTCGTAGGTTACAGAAACAATCATTGTTTCTCATACAAATCTTAATATTTTATTACAAAGTTATGCAACAGTGCCAACGTCCTTCGCGCGTATACCTGTGATTACCGAAATACAACAATGAAGACTGCGCTTCCATGGAAATTATCATTTCCCTAGATAAAATTCAACTTTATCTAGGACTTGTATCTCAATTTGTGCATTCTCGTCAAAATATAAGCTTAACTTTTTGCCATCCATGGTGCACCGCCTGTATACTTGTCTGACAGACGTGACGGTCACAGCTCGCGAGTTTTAATTAACTGTATCCTGGTTGCCCGACAAAAGACAGTCTGAACAGAAATTAAACCAATTTTCAAAGCAAACGATAAAAGCTAACACCTACTACATGTATCCATTGCGTATATGATGGATGTAAAAAGATTCAGAAAGATTCAACACAAACCTTTTGTGTATCCACCGGCGAGAATCTGGGCATTGACAGCTTTCAGAGACTTCCTCGCCTTCCCTAAAGGTCCTAACGGATTGTTTTTCTCGGAATCCTTTACAGCACTCCGATCTCTTTCACACGAAACCTCCGGGGATGTCATTTCGGTAACATTAGCACACAAAACGAAAAAAATCGGCCAGGTAACGAAACCCAAACAACGCCTTGATTCCCAAGACCTCCCCTCCTAAAATCAAATTCGATATGGCGAAAGGGCACAGCTGCCATGCGCAATGATGCGTGACTAACCGCTGACCAAAAGATATCTGGTGTCTAAGTCTGAAAAGTCTGGAGAGTTCGAGCGAGTGTTTCATCATTCTCGATGATTTATACCAAGTATCAAGCAGACGCACGATGAATTCTACCGTTATTGCACGTTTCTCAGCCATTTTAGGCGTAACTACTTCTAGGACGACATGTGCCAGACTCACATTAGCTCGATTTTATGCTGCGAAGAAAGGTGAGAATGCATGTGCGTTTTCAGTGATGGCGTAATATGGTCTGATACTGTCACGTGCCAGTAGAAAAAGACCTTTAACCCGACCTTTGGAACTTCGATAGGGCACAATAGAGTGTTTTCACTCACGTGGCCACCATCTATGCAAATTTATTGGAACAAAAGAAAGCGTTTGCATAAGAAAAGAGTACAACTCCCAGAGGATTGGTTTGGGACACCAACATGGCCGCCGTTTCATTGTTTTGGGACACCAATATGGCCGCCGTGACGTCACGTGAAAACACTCTATACTAGTTTCAAGTAGATATAAAAGGGGTGAGAAAGCCAATGTAACATGCGATTCTAGCCTGCGTAGCAAGCGTTTCTGTTTGGTTTTGGGGTAAAGAAAGATCGAGGAACGGGATTCTCGGTTTTGGCCGTGCGAGAAATGAAACGAGAGCCAAAAAATGAAAGAGGGGGGAGGAGGAGGGGAAGGAAGGAAACGCTTGCAGACAAACCCCTCAATTTTGAAATCCTGTGTTCGCCAGTGAACGTAGCACCTGATTGGCTGGGCTAGTTGAACAGTGAGAATGCATGTGCGCTCTGATATGGTGAGATATGGTCTGATACTATCACGTGTCAGTATAAAAAGACCTTTAACCTGACCTTTGGAACTTTGATAGTGCACAATACTAGTTTCAAATACAATTATAAAAGGGCTCAGAAAGCCAATGTAACATCATTGTGATTCTAGCCTGCGTAGCAAGTGTTTCCATTTGGTTTTGGAACAAAGAAAGACCCAGAAACAGGATTCTCGGTTTTGGCCACGCGAGAAATGAAATGAGAGCCAAAAAATGAAAGAGGGGGGAGGGGAAGGAAGGAAATGCTTGCAGACAAACCCCTAAATTTTGAAAACCTGTGATCGCCATTGAACGCAGCGCCTGATTGGCTCGGCTAGTCAAAGAATAATGACTTGTGTCAATCAAAGGTTTGTTTCATACTGAGAGGTCATAGATGGTACGTGAGATGCATATTAATTTTCTGTGGTTGTTGTTTATTCTGGTCGGCAAGATTTGCCCCCCAATGCCAGAGCATTTTCTTTGACCTCTTTTTAAACATGAAGCTTTTCTTGCAAGTAAATAAGGATTTCAGGTTGTTTAATTAATATTCTCCAAAGAGCCTCCTGGGTCTGAATAACCAAAATTAGTGGTTTGCTTTTTCTGTCTTTGCAGTCTTTTGTCAGCGAATTTGATGGTTTCCTGCAATGTTTTGTTATGCTTGGCCCAGCTCGTTAGTGTTTTTTGCGGGATGTTAAATTCTCTCGGATGGTGATTTCAGATCCAAATTTCGCAGAATGGGTTGCACCTTAACTGAGGCTACATCAACTATGGAGAACTGCACTGTGACTCAGTCAATATTTCTGTCAGATTAAGCAATGATTACTTGGTAATAACTTTTGAATTGCGACTTTCTGATCAGGCAAGAGCCTGATTTTGGTTCTCCATATGATCTTTATCAGTTGCCGGGTTAGCTTTGTTCTTAGATGCTTTTACAAGTTAGAGCAACTCTAGTTGTCTGTGCCATAGCGGGAACGGTAAGCCGTTCTGTCTGGCAGGGCTTTGAACTAGTGCAAATAGTATATAGTATATAGACTTGAATGCTTGTCACATTTTACCACTTCAAATCCAACTTTCTGGAGGTTTTGATCTGAAACTTCAAAACTTCATTCACCCTTGCGGTCCTTCCTTTTAGACGGATTAACAAGACAAAATAATGTATAAAGCCTTCACTGATCGTTTGAATTCAGTGAGATTTCAACATTTCCACCATCCACGCAAAACAAAATACAAAAACAATAATTTTACATGTGTCCTCTAAAGTTCATTTCTGCTCCACGGAAAGCCAAACATTTTATTGGTCAATTTTGATAGCTGATGACAGCATTGAATGTCGGTGCATGAACTCAGGCATGACAGGCCAAGTGGGCAGTTTTCAAAATCCGGGGGTTTGTCTGCAAGTGTTTCCTTCCTTTCTTCACCACCTCCCGCCCGCTCTTTTACTTGGGCATTTTTCGTGCGGTATTTGACTGTCGTTCCTTACTCTTTACTCCTAAACCACATGCAAACGCTTGCTACGCAGGCTAATGCGATTCTCTCTATAACTCCATATTTTTGTCTGCCTTGTCTGACCGTGAGAAAAATATTGAATGCAGTTTTTTGCACTTACATGTATTAGCGGGCGGTCGACTCCAGGGAACCCCTTGGCATTCGCACAATAACGTTCACGCATCATCCAGACTCAAGAACGATAGTTTTTGTCAAAAAAGGCTACCATTCTCCCTCCCCCTAGGGTAAAAGTGGGTCTCACTTTCCCATGGACCAACTGTTGGTCCATGGGATCCATGGGAAAGGACTGATACTGTTGTTGTACATGTAGGATTTAAATATTAAAATTGATAGGGAGAGGATGATAAGGCATGGTACATGACGTCATTTGTGCAAAAAATACTCATTGACTTTGATCATCACAAATTTGTTATCACACAAAATTAAACACACAGAAAAGGTGTTGGCATTGTAACATTTGACCTGATTGGGTTACTTCCCATCAGTCACATTATATTACAATGGCATACTGGAGTTTATGGGGGAATGTTCAATGTTATCGTTAGAAATTATAGCTCAAACAAGCAAAATTGGTTGAAAGTTTTTTTGATGGAAAGTCGAAATGGCAAAGTCTAATCTTGAGACTGCGGTCCAAAATTTGGAGTCTCCCAGATTATCTGGGAGAGTTGACTGCACTAATGTTATTTTTGTTGTGCACCCATAAGGTTGCAAGGCTAAATATTAGGCTGATTTAGCAACAAAATGGGAATGTCAGTTGACGACAGTGCGTGCAAATCAAACAACTGGCTTGACCAAAGACAGAGCGGCAAATTGAGCTCCAGAAGTCGTGTTTAGTCCTTTCTACGCACTTTCCCATTGTCAACTGACGTTCGACCCGTCCTGTTGCTAAATCAGCCTATCGAATTTAATACAGCAGTTATAAACTTTTGAAAATCTGAATAACTGTATCCTTGTACCGTACTTTTCATTCAGGAAGAAAGTCAAAGAGTTCAAGTTCAAGTGTTTCAATTGACCATGACTTGGCAGAGGGGCTGGTAGATTTAGAAAAGTTACAATCAGCCATGGAAAGTGCAGTGGGTAAACTTCAGCTAGACTTTAGGGACAAAATATCAACCAAAATTCTTCCCAGTGAGTACTGGCATTTATTGATTTTTTATGTTCCAGTCATTTTTACAGCATTATTTTTCCCCATTTATGGTCACTCACCTCTTGAAGAGAAGTCTTATTTTCTGCTTCTGTGGATAGAAGGCTGCAGGTCCATTGCATCTATAATACTCAGCATTCATCTGCCAATCCATGATTGGATTCAATACTCTCAACATATTTTCTGTGTCATTTTTTTACCTTTAATAAAATTTACACTGTACATTTATTATTATAGCTTACAGCAAATCAAGGAACAAAAATGTTTGTAACTTAGCCAAACACAGAAGATATGTCCTTACACTTTATGACTTAAAGGGGCTGTGTCACGGCAGTCCAGTTCATTTTGTTTAATTTTGCCAATTAGTCGCCCTCAATCGCTATGGAACTTAAAGTAAGCAAAGAAATTACATGTAAATGACAAAATCAGGGATCCGAGACAAAAAAATATGTCTCCTGAGCATTATTTTTGAAGTTGCAAGCAGCAGGGATCAACTTTGAAAAACTGTTAGGCTGAACAGTTTTCAAAAACCCTAATGTCAATCCGTTTCAATTTTCTTCAGTTTTGCCCATCCGTGGCATCTGTTGTTTCTGTTATGTTATTTTAACCTTCCTTTCAAGTTTTAACCAGTTATTTTTATGTTTCTCTTAATTTAACGGGCATTTTGTAATTTCCTAATTTGGCTGAATTTCGTGACACAGCTCCTTTAATGAAGTAATAAGCTGTGCCTGTAATGTAAGAGTCAAAGTCACTGGATGGTTGGAGGTTCCTTTGCTACCAGGCACAAACGGGTTCCTCACATTAAAATCCCGAGGATCAGGAAATGTATTTCAGGGTATTTAATTGAAATCTAACAAATGGTTGAAGTTCTGTATATTAATTAGATCCAGTGAGAGAGTCACTTACACTGTAAATGGATGTATTTTTTAGATGCATTAGACAAGATTAAAGTGGAGTCACAGAATGGAAAAGACAAGTTTATCCTTAGTCAAGTGGCACAAATAAAACTCAATAATGGCATGTTTGTTGTGGACATGAATGGTTCTCCAGAGGTATTTACATTAAATATTATTAAATTATTCATTTTCATACCTTTCACGGAACTTTCTAGTAACAGCTACTGAACCGCAACCTTTTTGCCTGTTACTTTAGGCTCTGGAGTTTTACTATGTTGAAGTAACAGGAAGTGATATCACAGCATCGGTACCACTCGGAGGAGGGGGGAGGGCAGGGGGTCCAAACCTCTCACCTCTGTATTTTGAATTCCTCGCTCACACCCCTTTTTTCTTGGCTTCCTCTCTTTAGCCCTTTTTCAATTGAAAATATTATGCGTTGTTACATAATTTTCCCTTATTTCTTCCACTTCCCACCCTTCTAGAATTACCACCTACCACCCTTTTCTCTCCGCCTCCCATACCCCTCCCGCCACCTGTTACTCTGAGCTCCCACCCCGCTGTCCTCCCTCAAACTACTGGGGCATTTCACAACTATTTTCAAGTAGCAGCGTGGTTCAGTCTTTAAAGTTCCTGTAGTAAAAAGGAACGATGAAGGAGACAAGGCCTTTTGACTTAAGATAACCCTCGAATGGAAAAATCATTTCATTTGTGAAAAGGTCTTGATCTTATTCAAGATAATCGTACCAGCTTTGAATGGCCTGCAGTTGTCTTAGTCAGGTACAGTTCCAGAAGTGGGGGTGGGACTTTAACATGGCCATAAATTCTTCTGTTAGCCCTTTTAGGTCTTTGTACAGACTGGAAAGACAAATTTCCATACCTTTTTACACTTCAGCTAGCGAAATCGGCCTACCCTTTCACAGTGACTTTGTTACAAATGGTTATGGTGAGTCCTGATACTCATCTTGTCAAAAATCATGAGTCTTAGTCAAAAACCATTGAGTCCCAGTTCAAAAAAAAGGAGTCCTTTATGTAACCATGCAGACAATTAATATGAAGACAGACTCCAAAACTCTGTATTAGACAGTTTACTGGAATAAAAAACTTCTTCTATTGTAAAGCACAACAATTAAAGACTAAAAGAAATATACCTCGTTAAACAACAGCTGCAAGAACAGCCGCAGAAATCAGATGAACAGGATGTTCTACAAAAACATGTTCAGATCGATTGATCGACCTTTGCGTCCCGGCATGCCATGAATTATTTTGCATCTTTGGTGCTGTTTATGCGTCAGGGACGCAGGATGCAAAGGTAACAAAATCACTGCTTTCATCTACCTGAACCCTGAAAGAGGCACGCCTTTCAGGCCGAGCCTCCCTGTACAGGCCATTGTAGGGATTACCTGCCCCAGGGGACTGCTGGGTGACTGAAGTCATCTCCCTGCTTGTTGCCTCTCCTCGCAGTAGGCTAGCCTGTATAGCTGGTGGGTCCCTCGCGCCTTTGCTGCACATGCACTTCGTGTGGCAACTCTGCTGCCAAGAAAATACCACAGGCACAAGAATTTCACCAGCTACCCAGCCTAACAGTGGGCAATTTTCTCACATTCATGTGTTTCACTCACTCTACTTTATCCCTTACATCGTCTTAAAAGATGATCTACAAAAGCCAAGTTTAACTTTCGCTAGTGGGTCACTGGTAGGTGTTGGGTGTAAATTAGCACAGTCTGTGGTGTACTGTGTGTTGTTTGTCATGATGTCAACTGACATTGAAAAAAATTCAGCTGTTTCAGAGGAGGGACATGTCTTGACAGCTTGGGAAATTAGGTTCTACTGGTACTCAAACTCTACAGAGAGTGTCTTTGTGTATTTAGGTGTAATTCAATATCTAAATTGTAGACAAATTCACCCTTTTCCAGCTAAGCTACTTGGATCTGAATATTAGTACTCCATACAAATGTTGAATTTGTTGTCACGTTTTGTTGGTTCTTACCATTGCTCCACGGTGTTTTCCTTTGGGACTTCAGTGTTTCCCTATCTTCAAAATCCACCATTTCCAAATTTCAAATTGATCCCGAATAGTAGACAAAGATTTGCTACCACTAGTTCGTCATTTATTATGTTTTCGTAATTATAAAGAATATTAATCAGTCTTAACGGTTGTATTCCAAATTATCTTATAGCTTGTAAGTCAGGCGGCTAAAGCGATCAAATCCTGGAGCTTAAACTTCGAACCCACCATGGATGGACATGTAATATCTGTGCCAATTCCCAGGTAAAGAACTTCCTTAATTTTTAAGAATATTAAAGGTCAAATAGCTTGAAGGCATATTATAGCCCTCTAAAGTTCTCCTTTGAACTGTGGTATCAGGAAAATCCTACTAAAACATTTTTGTCGCAGTAAGCCCCTCCTTTTTAGTGCTTCTAGGTCTTGAGTAAAGACTCCCACATCCAGGAAAATTGTTGCTACAATTGTATTAAGATCTGCTTCTATGGTGCAGACTTCCCTCTGATAAAGCTCCAGTTTAGGTGTAATCCCCTTCCATCAGGTATTTCATAAAATATTATTTCCTGCTGCTTTTTTTGGGTGGTGAGGGGGGGGGGGTGTGAAGAGCAAAGTACCCTATTTAATTAAGGGATCCATATCATGCAGTTCAGCCAATTATGAGTCTCTCTTCTTTCTTAGTCCTTTGGGCGAAGCGCGCGAGACACACAAATGATCACACGCGTGACTGAAGGCGTAAGACGGGAGAGGGGCAAAAAAAAAAGAGATTGAGAGAGTCTCTTTACTCCTCGAGCTGTCGCCCGCGTTTCTCGCATGTGGGGGCTTCGTCGCTCAACCCTTGCATGTGCGTGCACTCCTCTCACAAAATCTGAGGAAAATGAGAGACTGTTTGTAGTCAAATTTCGGTAGGAACTAACCGTCAACATGAGTAAAACTGATGTAGAAACAAGCAGCTTAAAACAATGAAGGAACCTTTACATAACACTGTAAATATAATATAAGGCACGGGTGTATGAGAATTTAAATGGATTACAACTATTACGAAATTTGAAAACTTTTTAGCTTAAGAGTTTTTTAAGAGTTTTTCTCTGTTGTTTGTAACTTCGTATCATAAAACCTAGGTCGGAGATAATATATCTGATCGTTTGAAAGCTGCTGGTTTTTTTATTTGCCAAGCAAAAAATTGACGAGACTGCAGTGCCACAGTCACTTAAACGGAATTTTGATTTTTTTTTTTTTCACGTGAAACGTTGTTTTGCTTACTTGGATTGTTAGGGTGACACAAGAATATCGTGAGAATTTAACAAAGATAGCGAAAGCAGCGTGTGAACAGTCCAAACAGAGCATTCGAAAAGTCAGGCAAAAGGGCATGAGTGATGTGCGAAAAAACAAGAAGGGAAGGTCGGACGATGATGTCAAAACAGTAGAAAAAATGGTAACGTATAATATTCATTGTTATGGTTGCAAGATCCTTACATTACCTGAAGAACCTTCTGACATAACTAACGTGGAAAGTGGTAGATCTAATGGAGGGGCCTGAAGAGTCCTTGCCCTCACCGGACTGTTAGACCAGACTGAAGCCCACCTACAGGGCCAAGAAAACACGCTCCACTCCCCTTGCCCCGTTTATCTTAGGGTGTGGGTGGAAGGGCCCTCCACTTACTTAAAGATCTGAATCAGCTACTGTAAGAGATATTACGCAGTCAAACGCAGTATGTATATATGAGCATTTTTTGAGTTGAAATGACGCAAAAATGCCTGATCTAAATCGAACTTTCTTTTTCCTCTTATAGATTCAACAGCTCACGGACCAATTCTGTGAAGATACGGAGGTGCTCTTAGAAGAAAAAACAAAGGAACTATTGCGGAAATAACTTCTTTTTCAATGAAGAGGAAAATTTTTAATGACATTCTTATTTAATGAAGAATTTAGTGGCTTAAACTCAATTATGATGGTGTACATATGCGTAATATTTATACACGTATGCACGTTTTATTTCGAAGTTACAGCACAGCCAATATCTGCGGAGTATCGAAGTATATTTTGAAAGCCTCTCATTCAGTAATCGCCAACTCTTCTCTTCTTTCCTAACTTAATACTCATGTCTGATGATTAGGAAGAATTAGTGCGCAATGCCCGCAGCAGGTTGGCTTTTCATCGACATAGGTTCGCAAGTCAAAGAGTACGAACGAGTAGGACAATCTGTCTTGTCGGTCTGTAAAAAGGCCCAAACGGCCTAACAGTTGCATTTTATGTCTGTGAAATGGCCGTTATGTTCTGGTTTTGTGATTTTGTTCATATTCTGTAGACAGTGCACTAACAGCAGTTAAAAGGGATCAAAAGTTCTAAACTAGGTATGTGAAGGGGGTGTCATTTTGGTCAATAGAAGGTACACGAAAGGGGTACCTTTTCCGTCAAAAATGGCATATAAAAGGGGCTAGACCTCGGGGCGGAGCCTACTCGTGTAAAACTATGTTGTACCCCCCGGGGGATAGAGTCTCCTTTATGAAAATGACGGAGATGCTCGTCGTTTCGCTTAGGGGAAGAATTGCGGATTTTAGTCCCACTTAAGGTGTTCAGAGCGGAAAGCTAATATTTTGCCCCTTGAAAGCACTTACGGTTGTGCCCAAAGAAATGCCTATACATAACAACAACAAATGCCGTCTGACAATGTTAATTGGAGTATGGTCTCCTTTAAGAGTCGAATAAAGAATGACTCTCGATCAACAGACTGGTGTTTTTTAGGGGTTTGATTAATTTTTTCGACACAATGAGTATAACCGTCACTTTAGTACGAGTGTCCCGGGGGTCGTAGTACGAAAATGCTTGCGTTTGCAGGCTGTTAGAACGCCCCCATCCTCGCCCACAGACGTTGATAGGGCGTCGTCGTGCTTTCCTTCCCCACGAAGGTTCGTGGGGAATGGGCGCGAAAGCCTGCGTAGTGATCGAGGTATTGCGCGAAAAAATTCCTCTTTTTTGCTCTCGTTCCAACTTTCTCGACGACCTCGCTCAGAAACGCTTGTTAAGCGGGCTATAGGCGCGTAAACGTCTGCGTGGAGGCTATTTCGCCCTCGGCTCCATTTTGCGTGCGAGCAAGCTCTTTCTCTCTAGAGTGCCGCTCACCATGACTTCTTACTATAAGCCCCGGCCAAATGGAGCAGCTTTCTCACAAGCTATATCGATCCGACGGAAGGAAATTATAGAGGGTTTTCCAGATTAAGAGATAAGATAAGGGATACGGGTGACAAGCGAACAGACCATTTCAATGTAATTATTTATTTCTCATTAATCACGATTTTTTTGCACATAATTCTGTTCCCCTTGTATTACAAATTTAGAAGAATCCAACATAACACGTTAGGATATGAAAATAAAGTACTGTTGAATGCGGGAAAAAAGATATCCACTATAAATCGACCAAACAGAACTCAACGAAATATAATTATCACTCGTTTAACAAGCCTTGCCTAGATATAGTAGACGGTCCTAAGACTTTTTCCTTGGTGTGCATTGGGCATAAGTGTCACCTTTTATTTGGATTTTCGCGTAGCTAGGCTGCTTGCCGGATCACATGTTTGAGGTATCGAGCAAAATAACCGCGAGGATTTTGGAGGCGGAGCAGTGATCAGCTCCCCAAATAAGCGACCCTCTTCGAAGGCTATCAGGTTATAGGAATCCTGGATTTGACGAGGATTTGACCAATCATTCGAAGGAGGAGCGAGCCAGATTGGGTGATTTTGCAAACTAAGAGTTGCAATTAAGAAACGAGATCCTCTGTAAGAAAACTGTGAGGTGCATTTCATGGAAATTCTTTAACACAAACCTTTCATATTTTTCCCGATTCTCTCGCGTAGATGACATGACTTCCTTTACCGTTAACTAGACTTGCAATGACAAGGGAAAGTAGACTGCGAGCAGTCCCTTGTTCTTCTTTTAAATGACAGTAGATCGAGAGCACGAGTGAGGGGCGAGCCGCGAAGCCGCGAGGAACGAGGGCGGAAGCCCGAGCGGAGAAAAAATGCCAGTCTCTCCTCCTTTTTCCATTAATCTGCATAGTTTCTAAAAAGGACGAACGCTCGCGGTCTTAAGGGAACGGGCTCCTACATGGAACGGGTGAAGAGCACGTTTCAGGTGTATCGTCCCCAGGGCCTAGAGAATGACGAGTTGGTCGCCGTAAGGCTCGATTTAATGTCCGATTCTCTCTCTAGTCTGGTCTTTGTTCTTCTCAGAGTAGAAACTCTTTGGGGGAAGGGGGGCGCTGCAGCCGGGAACCGAGGCTAGGATCGTAACCTATATGAAAGGTGAAAAAACTAATCGGCTCCAGGTGAAAATTAAAAACTGTCTGCATTATGGGAATCAGAGAAACTGAGAGAAAGTGTTTTCAAGATCAGTTAAAAGTCAGAAAATTTGGCAAACATTTGAGAAAACCTTAACTTTCTCGGTGAAAAGTCAAGGAAGTGTATTTTCAGTTTCGTGAAGATTATAATTTAGAACTGATCTAGCCTCATCTGGTAAAGCATTTCTGTACAAGAACAATTTTACTGTATAACTTTATTTTTACACAAGACACTGATTGAGACAAGAAGGAAACGCTCGTTACCGTAATGTGAATGTATACTGAATACACAAAATACGTATGTATTTTCTCCCGGCACTCTGGCAAATATAAACTCTCCAAAATATATAGTAAGACACCTAAAATAAAATCCAGTAAACTAAACTGGAAAATAAAAGTTAAAAAAGTGTCAAAAATATCACGGGAGAGAGGGCGATAAGGTGCTCTGTAAACGCTACTCGCCTCCCTAATGACTTGGGAAATACTGCTTCGCAACAATAGAAAGGTCTATCTCCAAATCGAGATTTAGAAAAGTGATGGTCGTTTACTTTTTAAGCATGAGATTAAAACACATGATCTGCCATTTCTGACTTCCTTCCGGCTTTCTTTCGGTTTCTTGCATTATAACGCTTCGCCCCATTTCTTATTCTTGTACATTACATGTGTTTTGCAGATTTTTTCTATTTCTCTTTCGCAGTGGTCAAGCTGCATGTAAGCATTCGGATCTCCAGGCGGAGAGAGTTTTTTTTTCGCTAGCCGTACTTGGTTCGCGGCTCTTCCATTCACAACCGAAACAACTGCAAATAAAATAAAATGTTAAATAAGAATGAATGAATAATAAACAAATTAACACCCTCTAACACTCAAGGTATCTCCATCCGATCATAGTTGATAGAATTAACATATATAACAAGTTGGCCAAAATTAAAGAGGATAAAGCTCTTTTATCCTCTCTTGCAAGTAGGTTGTGCTTCGGTAATGTTGGTTGACAGGTAGCCATATTTTAAAATAACGCCGCAGGGGTACTAAAACTGAACATTTCAAAAAGCACGTCGCATTTGGGTCGAAATTGACATTGTTAGACCATGCCCAGAATTTGATATATTTTTGGATATTTTTTTTTTCAGGAAGATTGGAGACTTGTTCAAATTCAACTCCAACCAGTCGCCTGCTAGCTAAAGTGGTGTTTTGCGTCTCCGCCATAGAGGGTCTTAGATAAAGAGGGAAAGTTGAATGCAAACGGAAGGGTATTGGTTGAGCCTCGCCTAATCGCCATTCTCCTAGACAAAGAACAATCTATGCCGTCTCTGCCGCCTCGTTATGAAAAAGACACCATTTAAACAGAGTCTTTCAAAATGCCATTACTATTGAACTGTAATCAAATCATTGATAAAAAAAAAAATATCCACGCAGCACGAACTGAAGAAACCGCACGGTCTTTCTACAAAGATTTGCCACGGGGTGCTTAATACAGCATTCTTCAACTTACTGTATGTTCAGTCATTCGGGGTTTTGCTTTGATGTCTGCCTGATCGTCAGAGCGTCGACTTCGGACGGAACGCGACCACAATTACTTTGAGAGCGTCATTCAAGCTATTAGTTGTCATCAATTTGTGGAAGTTTTTCTATCATGAAGCGTGTGTATTATAAAAAGCACTTTACATACTCATCTGATATGAAGACAGTTCAGAGCATGTCGAATTTGCACCTGTATGCGCCGAAAAACGAAACACATACAAAGTGCTTCACCCTGTGCTCTAGAGCACTGCGCATTTTTCAATTGTATAACCAGCGTTCGTTTGCTCTCGCGTGCAGGCTACAAATTAAAACATTTCGAAGGTACACTCATTTGAGGTATGGTCTCAGCCAGTGCTTTTATCACGGGCACCCCACCAGTTAATCTCACCAAAAGATTTAACATAAAAAACGCATGTTTATGTTTTTCTGCCATTAGAAACTGGGTGGTTTATAGAAGATATTGGTATGACAATCTAGTCCGACAATTTGGAACATTTTATAGCTCAGAACAATGTTAGTAAAACTAACAGAAGGAATAAGATCGGCAAGATTCTTTTCACAGAGATAGTTAGCCTCTGTTGGTACTATGCTACCCGCAAATAATTTATGGCAGGGTTACGACATTGCGATTTGAGACCTAAAGAGAGAACAATAACGATCAAGCACAACAATTAGCAAAAGTGTTTTTCAGTTAGTTATGTGCTGTACTTTTTTCTTTGCTTTTTTTGCTTTTGTTTTACATACGCACTTACCACGTAAACGTCCCCGAGCAAAGTTTTCTAAATAACAAAACCGCATTAGTTCGTGACTTCAACTACCGCTCGATACTGCAAGTCGCAGTGAAGTTTTTTTAAATTCCTGTTGTAACTTGGCAGGCGTCGGTTACAAAAGATTCTTTTTCTTTCTTTTCAAATAGGCTCTTGGTAAACGAGGCTACGGTAATTCCTGACACCAACAGAAATAAAATATCAGGAATATAACTTTTGTAAGAACGTGGTTTTGAAATTAAGATTAACTTCTATTTGTAAGTAATTAAAAATTAATCTTATCAACGTTTGCAAATTCGGAGTCATGCTGTCAATGGCACTTTTCTTTTACATAAAAGGGTGAAAAGTTAACAGTGGCGCAATGCCAGCCTGCAACCACAAATTGTAATAACAATTAAGCAAAAAAAAAAATACATATATATATGAACAAAAATGAAGGAAAAATAAAGAAAAAAATCATTGCGAAGGAAATTGACTAGGACTGGAAAGGAAATTTTTCAATCCAAAGGCTTCAAATGGAACATAAAAAAGTCAAAAATATAAATTATAAATTGTTTTTGATAAGCCTCGAGAGAAAATCAGCGAAGAGCAGCCGATACGAGGCTGGAGATCTGACTCAAAATGTGAGAACGCTGTATTATGAAACGGCCGAATTTTTTGTGGAGAGAAAGTTTAATATGATTGTTCTAATCAATCAATTAGTTTTCAAAACCTATACTTACCTTTGTCCTCTAAAGCCCAGAATTTAACACATTTCGCTCTGCAGTTCAACGCAGTCTTCTACTTCCTTCCAGTCCAATCTAAATTACTTTATACACAGTGTTGTCCGACTGATCCAGACGATCGGGCGAGGGGCGTGATTGAAAGCGGTGGGAATTCATCTTAGGAACCTCTCTCTGTCTTCGGAGACTGCGAATTTATAACTCCTTTGTTCACGGATTATTATAAGAATTAGTTGAGTTTTTGTTTATGATCTCAGGCTACGTGCATGGCGTGGGAAATATGTAACTGGTTATTGTTTTGTTTCACAATACTCAGTAGAATAAGCAGAAAGTTGTGAATGCAACCTGCAAAAAATTATTTGAGTTGGAAACTCAAAACTCCGCTTCGGGTCATTGGTTTTCTGTATGCTCTACGACTTCTATTTTTTAATATATACTAAAAAATGAAATACAGTCGTATTTTGTTAATTTAATTCCCACAAGGCGCAAACATAGCAGATGATTGGTAGATGGAATTTTCGGAAGTGGGCTGGGTCCCTGCTTTAGTACGGTTGAAGTCTGCCAGAAAATACTCGAGATAACAAGGCTGAGAAATCTGTTGATTACTCTCAGCTGAAATATCCTAGAATTACTCGCTTTTGATACATGGACCCATGCGTTGACTGTCAGAGACAAAAGGTATTACAGTCAGCTTGAATCCTTGTTTAAATAAAAAACTTTGAAGGGAGTATTTTGAATTCCCGCTAACATTCCTTCTCCGTGACAGAGCGTTAATTTCGGCTTGTTGATTGACGGGTGCATAATCAATGACATGCGATTGGCTGGACAACACTCACTTTGTTCTGCTCGCGTCTAGAGACTGCAATTCTGCGTTCATTTTTACATACTTTTGACATTTTTCAGCAAAATATACGTACCCCAACTGCTCACTACCGGCGCAGATTTGCCAATGGTTTGTCCTCAATAACATTTCAAGGGGTCAAGACATCACGGCTTCGAGAACAGCCGGCGAAAGCGTCGCTCTGGTACGATAAACAACATGCGAGGCTTTAACGAGGTCGTTGATTTTCTTCTGTGCTTTTGTTTGTTACACAGAGCAGCTTATGGACAGAGTGGCTTTGTGACCGTTCAGTTAGAAGAAAACAGAAAAGGCGGCCATCAAGTTTACTCACTCCAGTTGCCTGCGAGTAATGAAGTCTATTCGTTTTTTCCCGGTCAAGATGACGAATCGAGGGCCGCTTTAACCCTGTTTAAAATTTCTGAGCGCGGGGTCATAACAACCACAAAGCCGATCATCTACGAGATTGGCAAGAAGAACTATTATGACTTAGTTGCCATAAAGCGCAGTCGAGGCGATGCAGAAGGAGGGGTTCCTACAAGTCTTCGAATCACTATCACGGATACAAATAATTTCAGACCCACATTTCCTAAAAATTTGTATCATGGAAGAGTGAAAGAAGAAGCTCCTTTGAACACTGTTGTGATGGGACTTGAAAACTGCTTTGCTGAAGACAGAGACTCCGTAGGTTCCCTGAGCTACTCCATTAGTAGTGGCAATGAGAAGGGGTACTTCAAACCTGAAGCGAAAACTGTAAACAAACGCGCTTTTCTGGTTTTGAAAACCACTAGCGTGCCAGTCGTTATCGATAAGCTTACCACACCCGAAATTAACCTTACCGTTCAAGCGACCGACGGTGTTTGGTCCGGAGCAACCAAAGTCAGTATTACAGTCATCGATGTGAACAACCACGCTCCAGTTTTCGAGGAAAGTAGCTATTCGGCCAGTGTTAACGAGGACAGTGTTCTTTTGTCTTCTGTATTGCGAGTCCGTGCCACTGACAACGATCACGGCACAAATGGAGGCATTTATTACTCCCTTAAAAATTCTCCGTATTTTGCTGTCGATGCTATCACTGGAGTTATCAAAGTTGTTAGGCAACTGCCAAATCAGGCACAGATCCCCGCATTTACTGTTGTAGCTCAGGACAGAGGGTTCCCAAGCAAGTCCGCTGAAGTGCCAGTGAACATAAAAATCAATCTAGTCGATGGCTTTCCTCCTGCTGATAATCCCAATCCTGGAATTAACACACCACCTGTATTCCCAGAAAAAGCCTATTCTGCAAATGTGCGCGAGGATTTTCCCATTGGTGCGGCTGTTCTTGTGGTGCATGCTGTTGACCGCGATCCCCCAAGTGCAAACCGGCGGATAACATACAGTTTGAGTGGCGATAGCACCAATGCTTTTGAAATTGACCCAAACAATGGTGTGGTAAAATTAAAAGCACTACTGGACTATGATAAGTTGAAACAATATAACCTCAATGTTCGTGCGACAGACCAGGGAGTATCTCCTCAAAGTAGTACAGCTCCTTTGACTATAACGGTTCAGGAGGTGGATAAAAATCGTCACCCTCCCATATTTCAACCTTCAGGTGATCAGCAGCGCTCATTTTCCATCCAAGAGAATGTGAATCGTCGTACGCAAGTGGGATCTCTTATTACTGCTGTAGATGCAGATGGTAGCCAAATTCCAGATGGCCAAGTAGTATATGCCATCTCGTCGGGGTCAGGCTTGCCTTATTTCAGTATTAATAAGGATACTGGTCGGTTAGAGACAGCTGCTTTACTTGACCGTGAAAAGCAAGCGCAGTACGACTTGCTGATTGAGGCCCGGGACAAGGCTCTTTATCCACTCTATTCCCACTTGTACCTGATGATTGACATTGCTGCTGCAGAAGACAACAACCCAACTTTCTCGCAGCCAGTATACTCTGCAAAAGTGCCAGAAAAAGCACCCATAGGTACTTTTGTGACCCGCGTGCATGCCTTTGATAAAGATGGTGCCACAGTGACTTATACACAGAAAAATCCAACCAATGTTTTCCAAATTCATTCAGAGACTGGAGTTATTACTACAACTAAAGTACTTGATTCAGCCGTCGATCAGACTCTGTATACACTTTTTGTCGAAGCGACTGCTGGAGGTAAACCGTCTGAAGGTCAAGTCAACATAACTGTTGTGAGCAAACAAGACTCGCCACCTAAGTTTCAAAATACTCCATACACAGTCACTGTTCCTGAAAATCTAGGTCAGATTCAAAACCTGTTGTGTATAGCTGCACGAGATGTTCATGGAAGAGACGTGACTTACTCCGTTTCTAGCAATGCTGGTGGAAGATTCGAGGTTGATCCTAAATCTGGTAAGATCACACTGTCAGTTTTTGTGCAAAGGGGCTATGTCACAACAATATAGGTGCTGAAGTAATATTATTTAGTGGTTTTACCTACATTTGTATACACAGGGTTATGAAGACAAATATTATTTCATGAGGGAATGCTAACCATATTAATTTTCTCGATGATTTATGCAGTCAAAACATTAAAATTTGAAGAAGTTGGCTCAACATTTTCAAGTTTCGATCCATGTGCATGCTTGCCCTCTGTTGCAACAGACGACAGGAAACAGTTTCATTGACAAAATATAGTCTTGAATAAGAAAACTGGATCATAATTTTTGGAATTTAATAAGTGAACAAAGATAGCAAATAGCATGACATATCTGCCTTTAATTAAAGCAAACTTGTAGTTAAATTATTTCATGCCATGTATCTAAAATAATAAATTATTTCACAGTGTAAAACTGCTTGAAGCTAATTTGAACAACCGTAAATTATTTAAGTGTTATCATTTTAGTAGATTAGCACTGTCTTATAAAAGACACTGCTTATGTCTCCTACTTAAGGAACGTTCTTCATCTCTACGTGGTCATATACCAGCCACCTGAAGGCCATCTAGCCATTTGCAGGGCAAAAGTAATACCCTCTTCCACAGTCATATTTTATAATCAAGACCATGAAAGGCAGATAAGCCCTTCTCCAGTATTGATCCACAATGATCCATGACTGTATTTACCTTCATTCTAGACAATATCTTTATAATCTACAGTTAAATATTTCTGAGGTGCTTTTCCGCAGCATTATGTTGTATTACATTTATTAAACTGGGTCACAGATAGGCTCAACAATATCTATATTCTCCAGTTAAAAATTTCTAAGGTGTTTGTCTGTAGCATTATGTTGTGTTATTATAACTGGGTCGTAGATAGGCTCAACAATATTTTATAATCTCCAGTTTAACATTTTGTAGGGGTTTGTCCATAGCATTATGTTATGTTATTATAACTGGGTCACAGATAGGCTCAATGATATTTTGTAATCTCTATAGTTAAATTTTTCTGAGGCGTTTGTCTATAGTCTAAATTTCAAAATGTGTCGTTTCATAAATGTATATTGAGGAAGAAGAATGTGCTCATTGGTAATTTCTCATTGTTTTTGCACTTGTCTATGTTGCTGTTGCAATATTATTTCAACCCATCTTTGTTTCGTTTGTTGTCATTTAATCTTTCGTATATCGCTGTTTCAAGGCCTTGTTGCAGGCCAGAATTTTACTGTAACAGAGTTTCATTTCTGGGCAAGAATAGTTTGGTTGAAAATTGGCCTTTTCCTGGCTTAAACGGTTAACCATCTTTAGAGGGGGCTGCAGTTTATCCTTGAGATTTTATGGTTCAGTTTGTGCCTTTTTTATGAACTTTTTATTTTGTTTTGCTATAGGACGGTTCAGTGCCACCGGCTCGTTTGACTATGAGAGTGCAAGCGAGTATAGGGTTGACGTGGAAGCATCAAGTGGAAGTCCGAAACAGTCAGACTATTCTGCTGTTACAGTGAGGGTCACAGGTGAAAAAGATCCACCAAAATTTAGCAAGAAGAAATTCACGTTCACAATATCTGAAGCAACACCAACTGGCACATCCATTGCGGCAAGTGATGGTATGATCATAACTGATGAAGACACCCAGTGGAATCAATTTGCTTGCACCATTGAGAATATCCGTGACATAGAAGTTGTGAATCATTTCAGAGTGAACCTAGTTCAAGTTGGAAACGCTGGAGAATGCAAACTTGTGACACAGAGTAGTTTTGATCACTTCAAGACCCCCAGTTTTAAATTTGAAGTGCGAGCTACAGATGTTAATAATCGAAACATGTATGCTTCAGCTGAGGTAGAGGTCATTATAGAGGACACCAATAATTATGCTCCTAAATTTACACAATCATCGTATTGGGCTTCTGTGAGAGAAGACTTTGCCGTCCAGGGCTCAATATTGAAAGTGAGTGCGGTTGACAGGGACTCTGGAACATTTGGAGAGATTGTATATGAGTTACTTGATGCTAATGACAGGAACAGGTAAGTACAAAGTTTTATGTAAACTCAAGATTGATTTTGTGCATTTTCATATCTGCCAACTCAAAGGCATTTTGCATATTATTTTTGGTTATAAATTTAGAGACTACAAAGATGGAATCATGCAGTTGTTGATTATCTTCGGTGACTCACTTTTAAAGCAATTTCATTTGCTTTGTAGCGTGCGAACTAGAGCCGAAAAATCCGGATGCTCTCACAGACTATTTTGTTTTGCTAAAAATTAAAAATCACATGTTACATTCATCTGGGCAAATAAAGGCTTGCATGCCATCTAAACAATGCAGTTTTGAAAACAATGTTACATTTCATAGTGACAAAAAAACCACACAACACGAAAAAAAACCTGTATTTGTGTGTTTTCGGAAAAAAAGGAAGCAATTGGATAACAGGTAGCTTTCAACACTGACTTTTATACACGCTTGCACTAATCTCTCTTCCCAGAATTCTCTGTCAAGCACAAGTGACATTTATTTAAAATCAGTGCACGCCTAATGCTTGTTTCGGTGCCAGTTAACAATTTACATTTCATTGTCTTGAGAAAAGTTTCCTGGATCTAGCATCATGTAAAGCTCTGAGATGGGGTAAAGTTAATACGATTTGCAGAGTCTGCATGGTCCAATATTGTATTGTGTTTTCGTTTTATTTGGCTAAACGGATTGATCACCCTGTACCCGGCTGAGACAAAAAAGGTACAATATCGTTCGCTTTTCTAAGGTGACCACAAAGTCTTTGGCCTCGGGAACGTGCTTTTACGAGGCAAATTAATTAGGGGAGAGCAAAATTGCAGGTCAACTTTGACCCAGGCCCGGACAGTGTGACTGTACATTGGGAACTTGAATAAGATGAGTGTAAGAGAAAAGCCCAGAGGTGTTTATCTGCCAGTACATGTAGGCTGACTTTTTCTGGGTTATTAATTTGATGCGGGCCTTAGCATGGGGAGGGACCGGGGGGGCCCATGCTCCCTATTTTTTTGCCCCAAAAAGTCAAAACACACATGCATAAAAGTTGAAAATAAAAAGTTATCTCTGAGAGCATTGAAACAATGATGTCTCTGCAGCTAGGTGAAAGATTTTCTGGTTCTAAGATACAGAGACCAGTCCAATGTGTCATCTGGACCCCAAACCCTCTGCTTCTCAAATGCAATGAGCTACCTAAACGTTTTGTGCTCCCCTAGTTTCTAAAGGCTTGCTACGACCCTGTGATGTGGCTGTGTGGTTGAGCTGTTGCACCAAAATATTCTATGTCAGCCATAAAAATGTTTTGTCAGCGTTTAACTTAGCTGATTGTGCCTTGGAAAACCAATTCTTGACTCCGGAAACTAAAGGTGTAGTTTCAGCAGGCTCTAGGTTTGGAACCAAAGGTTCTTGCAGATAAGAAGGTTATTTTACTTTGTTGTCTATACAATGTGAAATCCTGTCATTTATCGGACCGCAAAAATAGTAGAGCAAGTTGTTGTGTAAGCCTCAACCAAGCACTTTTTAGCTGCATTTCACTCAACTTAAAAATTTCTAGACTGAAATGACAAATTTCCCTGAAGTTTAATTTTTGGGGACCACACTCAGGTTTATAAAGAGAAAGAAAAATTTGTCGTTACTTGTTCGTGTCCTCCAAAAAAAGTGAAATGATGCATTTTCACGTCGCAGTCATCAGTGACGGTAAAGAAATGTACAAATGAGTGTGATGAAAGTACAAAGTTGTTGTTTTGTGAATAAACCTTTGACATTCTCTTTGCTGTCACCGTTGCTAAAGCTCCCTAATGTGACTGGCAAGAGCAATAATCTACTGAACATTGTTGGTCGTCCAGTTGATATTTCCTTGACCTGAAACTGGTTCCTCCATCAAGTTAAAATCAAAAGCTAATTACATCTACATGTATGTTAAGTGACGAGGAACATATTAATTTTCTTTTTGACAGATTCAGTTTGGATTCAACCACTGGTGTGTTGAGTAGTGCCACTTCCATGTCAGCCCAGACATATAGACTCAGGGTTCGTGCTTCAGACAGAGGTAATTTTATTCATAATATTTTTTACGTTAGGCCCAGACGTGGAATTTCACGTGCCAAATCTAATTCAAGGATTTAAATGCATGTTAGATGTGATGTCCAAATCAATTAAATTCGACAGTTTCAATTAATGAAATACAACTTTGCTGAATCTGTGACTGAAACGGTGGAAGATTCGACGTAGGTTTGACATTTGATTCAGATGTTGCATTTCACATGTGCCGAGTGTAATGCATTAATTATCCATGTTGGATAACAAGTTGTTTTAGAAACTGCGATTATTTACAACAAGTGTAGAACTTAAATTTGCCACCAGTATATCGGACATCTTAATCAACTGCCGTATTTACTTATTTTTGTTGACTATAAACTGGGCACATCTGAAATTCAACTTTGGAACTGGGACATATTTTGTAGAATAACTGCAATGATGCATTACAATGGTGCTATAAAATATTACAATGCATTACAATGGTGCTGTAAAATATTATATTTAACTCTCTAAATATCATTATTGGTAGTGTGTAATGCTTTGTATTTTTCTTTTGGTTTCAATGCCTTAATGAGACCTCTTAGTTTTACTTCTGAAATATTTATTGATTCATGAATAGTGTTGTTATCAAATGTTTATATAATATCAATGTTTTAGCAGGCTATACAGCTGCTAGCCTGTGTCACAGAGGTCCATCTGTGAAACAGCGCCAAAATTGTTGTTCTGGGCTCCCACCTCTGTACCAGGATTTGATTACGTGCCATGGTTGGCCTGTTAAAGAAGTTATTGTCAATTTGCCTATCAGGTTGAAGGGAAATGCAAAATGTATTTCTGGTAATTATTGAGTCTGTTGGAGGCCCAGAACAGGTATTTTGATGCGGCTTCGCTGACGTTACTAACCTGGGTTAAATTACATCTGCAACACTGTTTATAAGCTGTAACAGGTCTTTACATAAAGCTTGTCCTTTGGGCAAGCAGCTATCACACTTTCCTTGCCCAGCACCTCTTCTTGCTTGTCCTTACTCCTAGTTAATGATTTTGTTAGAGGGTGACTTGCCGGGACCCTTGCCCATTGGGCACAAAGCTGGGCTGGGAAAACGGTTCCAGAAGTAACGAAAACATGGTGAAAAGTTTCTTTGAATAAGGGAGCAATCGTCACAATGATCCAGAAATCGTGACCACTATCGTACCCTTCTGTCACTACCCTTTGATTCCTTCAAATTTCTTTGAAGGCAAGGTTCTTTCATTCCCTGCCAAGCCAAGGATTCGCCTGGATCAAGTTTCTCGAGAACTAGCATCACAGGATAAAGCGTTTCCTGGTTGGATATCCCTAACGACACACCCCGCTCACACTGCCGGCCAGAAAACTGGCTGGTCAAAAATAGCGCACTGCGGGCAAGGAAAGTACATTTCCCGACTGACCACCAAACCAGCAGAAACCAGAAACAGGCTTTGAGAAAGTATGGGGCATTAATTGTATATGTTTAAATAAGGGCTAGGAGACAAAGGAAATTTAGAATCAACCGAGGCCAAAGAATTTTAACCTGGATTTAATTTTGACTTGTAATGTATGCACCAGAAAAAATTTTAAGAAAGATACATTAATTTTGTATTATTGCTGTCTTTTGTATGATGAGTATAATGCTTAACATTGTGGCTTTTGTTTTTCTTGACTTAATGTACAGCTCAAGGACAAAATCAAGTCAAAAGCTCAGAGGTTTTGGTTGAAGTATCTGTCTATGGATCTGGGACTACGCCTGTAACATTTGACCCGTCACCTGGAAGCTATACCATAGCAGAGAATTCAAATGTCAACACCCCAGTATTTACTGCAAATGCCAAGGGACAAAGTTCGATTACATATGAAATTGTTGGCGGAAATGATGATAATGCTTTTAAAATCAATGCTAACAATGGGCAGGTGACCGTAAGAACTAAAGAATCTCTTGATCGTGAAGTAAAAGCAAGTTACAACTTGGTCATTCGAGCTAAAGACCAAGGTGATCTAGCAGCTGATGCAACTGCCATCATCAGTCTAAGTGACTTAAATGATGAATCTCCCAGGATCACTTTCATGGAGCAAGAGCCTAAAAACATTGCAATCGAAGACTTCTCTCCAGCAGGTGCATTTGTGATACAGGTATGAAAGTTAAATTGTGGTGTTCACGTAACTAAAATTTTTGATCTTTTAGGAACCAAGTGATTTTCCTTGAATTGTGCAATCAGCTACCATTTGAGGTCAAAGTTATTGTGGAAAATTGCCACATCACTTAATTTTAGAAGCCCTGTGGAACTAAAATAATTTGCTTTAACCCGAGTCACTGGAAACAAAAGTAAAATGATTTTCAAGTGAACACCTTGCAGGGTTCTCATTAAGTGCCTGCAACCGGCTAAAAAACTGGCTACTTGGAGGTTTGAGCCATCTACTTTTTGGGGAAACAGGGTAAAGTGAGAGAGTAAAAGCCTGAAATTGGCTTCAGCCCTCAGTTGCCAAGCTGCCTACATTTACATCATAGCTGTCTTCTTTATCAAGCTTAATAAAAACCCTGACCTTGTCAAAGAGAAAATAATAATTTAAAGTATAAATTAATAGTATTGATAAGGTGGTTGTTTGACTCTGGGTCAAAATTATTGTTTGGAGATGTTGGTTTTTACGGAGAGGGGAAAAAAAACCAAAGCTTATTGGAGCGAAGGCAACAACTAATGCATATTAAACTTGGTTTTGTGGTACTTGAACGCGGGGTCATATTGGTGAGGAGTAAGCGCTCTCAGTTGCACCATCAATGCCCCCCAAGGCAAGCAAGCTATAGCTGCAAATCAAACGCAAGTTTCAGTTTTGTTTGCTCTGTAAGGAACCAACCAGTCATTATTTATCACCTGGGAGGAGGAGGGCAGGGGAGAGTTTTGGAGATCACTTAATTTTTAGGAGAACAGAATGGGGGAAATTCGTAAAGCGGATCATTGAAATAAAAGCTGCCCTCTGAGCTATGGCAGGGATGTTTCTCTCCCTTGCGTCAAGAGGTTTTTGTCCAGGTACTCCACTTTTCCTCTTTCCTCAGAAACCAACATTTCCAAATTCCAATTTGACCAGGAATGAGATAGACGAAGAACCACTTAGTGGATGCACCATCTCTCTAAATCGTCTATTTTGTTTGTTTATGTTGGTAAGGTTTGGCTGTTGGCTAATTTCACCGTCTAAAAAAAAGACCACACCACTGGCTCAAATTGGTGCAGTTGAGTGAAAAACCCAGCTTGATTAATAAAAAGCCGGCTTAGCTTTTCCTTAGCTAATCTCTACTATCGGAGAGATTTATGGTCAAATCACAGTACTCAGACAGCTGTATTTCCACAGGTCATCCTACAAAATAACATGCAAAATTTTGCAAGATACAGTAACTACTGGTAAATTTCCTCTGTCTGAAGCACAAAACCTAAGCTTATTTTTCTGGACTGACATGGAAGTTGCACTGCCGGGGGTGGTTGAATCCGAACTGAATCTGTCAAAAAATTATATATTCTTTGTCACTTAACACTCATGTACCAGAATTTTATTACTTTAAAGTAGCAATAAACAAATTTATTGAAATAGTGGTTTAATGGTACTTACTGTAAGTATGACAACTTATTGTTAATACTAATACTTGCTTATTTGATTCACGTTTGTGTCAGGTGTTTGCCAGTGATCGTGATATAAATCAAGCTGGTAGAGTGACATACAGCATAACCACAGCGAACACACCATTCCAGATAGATTCAAATACAGGAGTAATAACAACCACAAGAGAAATAAGGTAAATCATCTGTCACTGTCAAACATAGAAAACTGTGATCACCTCAGTGAATTATTTCAGGAGTGTTGATTGTGTATTGACCAATAACAGTTGAGATCTGTACATGCAGATCATAATACTACTAGTCTGCATAGCTGGTGGAATTGGTTTTGCACGCAGGAAAAGCTTTCCTGGGAGAAGCGAGCATCGAAGGGATTTCAGAGGCTCCTCCCCATTTCCCACACAGCTTTGTAGCTACTAAATCATGATCCTGCCTCCCTATTACGAGAATCAATAAAATGATCACCACAGCAGAAAGGCTTTGATCTTTTATCAAATTCTCTTAAGGAATTCTTAGACAAGTGTATGGAGTTAAGTCTGGAGAAATTGTATGTGGATATTGGGCCTTGGACTAGTAACTGTCTGAGGTTACTGCAAAAGTCACCTCTGCATAAGTTGCTACTTAAAGTGCGAGGATCAGCTCTACATTTATTTCTTCATTCCGCGGTTCAACTGTATGAAATTCTTATACTCATTATTTCATCTCCATGTTCCTGGATATATCACGAACCAATTTAACGATCAGCTCCTGGTTGGCTTGCCAGCTCAATCCACCGTACCTAAGAAGATGGTGACTAGTACATTTCCCCGCAGTTCTTAGCGCATGAAAACCATAAAATTGCTCATAAAACTGCACAGCAAAGTTTTATTAACTTCAAACCTAGCACAGGCAATGTTGCTATTACAGGGGTCCCCCCAAAATATGACTTTATCTGTAACTGGCCTTGTCAGGAAAGGAATTGTGGTAAAATGTACAGCCGCCATCTTTTTCCGTTCGGCGGATTGATTGGAGAGCTGCACCAGTATTCCCAGGGGTCATGAAGAGTGGTTCGAATCCTTGCAAGATTGAATTATTTCAGGCTCTCTTTTCAACTGCAAGGATCTTCTCTACATTTCTTCATCCTGCGGTTCAGATTTATGAAATTCATGTATTCCATTTGTCACCTCATAATATCTCATTTGCAACATTCCTTTCCCACTGCGACAGGAAAACTCAGCAACAGACATATGACATCGCTGTCAGAGCGCAGGATGGCGGCGGTAAACAAAGCCCAGAATACAGGCTTAGAATCCATGTTACAGATGGACTGGAGGCCCCGCAGTTAACACCTTCCATGTCTGCCACCGTTTATGAAGACCAGAAAGTTGGTTATGTCGTCAAAAGAATTTCACCTAGAGTAAACAACATCAACTATAAGTACTCAATTCTGGCTGGAAACACGAATGAAGCATTCTGTATCAATCATGCGGGTGTAGTTACTGTGGCAAAACCTTTGGACAGGGAAAAGATCTCCTCTTACATCTTAAGGGTGTCTGTTGCTGTTGGAAATAAAGTCAGCAATACAACCCTTACAGTTTCTATAAATGACAGAAATGATGATGCTCCGCACTTCACTCAAACTGTTTATTCCTTTGATGTCAGCGAAGCCAAAGGTACGTTACGTATATTGTGTTGCCTCTATTCAGGGGACACCCTCTAGACTAAGGTATTAAGTGTCGCTTGAATAGAGGTTGGGCTAGGTTTTGTCAATAATTAACCAACAAATGAATCATGTTTCTTTTATTCGCTTTGGAAACTGCTGCAGTCGTTATTTTAAGAAAAGGCGCAGGTGAGCCAAAGGCTCAAACGACCGGAGCTTATCCCGCTTTCCTTAGCGTGACACATGCCTACGAGTATTAATCCTACCGTTATTGTGTTCACACCCTGGCGTTCAAAGTTTCGACCGTACAGGTTATACACCTGGCCTCCATTTTGGCAATTAAAATTTTTGAATGGCTGGGCGTCTAAATTTTCATACGGTTAAGGTTGTTCCGTTGCGATGAAAAATAATTTTAAACAACCAAACTGCAGATAGAATTGGCAGATCAGCCAGTCGTAATATATGTTTGTTGTTTAAACTACATGTAAAATGTACATGACTATGATCTGTGATTCCATGCAGCTTCTACTCGGACAAGTCAAATTGGGAACTTCTGGTGCTGCATCAGCCAAATTAAGCAGGAGTTTCTGAGAACCAATGGTAGCAAGAATTTTGTTATTGACACTATTATTATTGTAACTTTAGGCGTCAACCAAGAGGTAGGAAAAGTGTCTGCAACCGACCGCGATTCTGGCACAAATGGAGAAGTGAAGTACTCATTGCTTTACACGGAGGACAAAAGTTCGCCGTTTGCAGTTAATAGAGAGACAGGTTCTATCACCACCACTGGCCCGTTGGATTTTGAAAAGACACAGCGACATGTGTTGTTTATCAGAGCAGACGATAGTGGACTTCCGCTCCTTAGCTGTAAGTTTAATATCATTATACTGAATTTTTAGACATTTACCCAGGTGAATTTAATGGAAAACGACTTTCGAATAAAAAAAAATAACGCGAAAGAGGAGGTAGAGTTTCATAATAAAGGAAATTAACGTGATTAAGACACAGTTGGTGGTGACAACCGGAACAAATTTATTTCAACACTGGATGCAAAAAAATTCAAAACTGAACAAAACTGAGCTGACATTACTTGTGACAGCGACAACGATGAAGGATGAACTCGAAATATTGTAAAGCTTCGCCTTAGCTTTTGTGAAAGATGAAAAATAGAGTGTAAATGGAAAGAAAGAAAGCGTGTAGTTAATGTTTTTAGGTGTCAAAAATGTCTGGACAGGTTCCAAAATTGAGGTTAAAATTTTGGAAATTAAGAGCGCGGAAATTAACGCTACACTTAATTAACGTCGCGGAATTTAACGCTCAACAAAATTAACGCGAATTTTAAAGATTCGCGTTAATTTCATGGAGCGTTAATTTCCTATAATAAGGTATGACGGACCTGAAACTTTCAGCGTCCATCGAGAGGTTTGTTTTGTACTATAGTTGGATGGCTTGAGCCAACTCGAAGGCTTTAACCCTTTAAGTCCCAATAGTGACCAAGATCAAATTTCTCCAAACAGTGTCCGTACACTGTTAAGAGATAAGTTATGAGAATTAATAAAATGATCACACTAGAAAAAAATGCCTTGATCTATTATCAAATTCTCTCTACTTATTCTTTAAGGAAATGTATAGAGATCAGTTTGGAGAATTTGTATGTGGATACTGGGGCTTAAAGGGTTAAGCACATCATATATTGGATGCATTTTGTTTGATAGTGCTTTACACAGCTGGCACAAACTTTTTCATTTCAGTACAAAAACACATGCATGTGTAAAGGGTAAATAATTTCGAAAATAATGTAAAAATTGATAAAGCTGATACTTTTACAAGTCTTTCTGACACACTTAAAAGTTACCGTAAATTCTCTATTAACCCCCCCACCACCCTTTTCAGGGGAAGAGAGTTAGTAAGCCCCCCTGCCCTCCCCTAATTATTCTTCACTAATAAATGATAAACTGTATTATTCATTCACGACTGTAAAACTTCGTGTGGACTGATTCGGGATGGCTTATTCACCGACTAAAAGTTCGGATTTGTTGTTGATCCTCGGCTGCATGACCTCCAACTTCTTGTACCTGAGCTTTTCCACTTTGTAGCACCCCCTCTCAGATAAGCCCCCCGTTTGAAATAAGTAAGCCCCTTCGGGGGGGGGGCGTAATTGTCAAGATGGTTTAAGTGTGGAATAGGTAAATTCACTGAAACATTGTGCTTGGTTTCTTTTTGAAGCAATCTGCAGCGTCATTTTCAATGTGAAAGACATAAATGACGAGACCCCAAAGTTCTCCGCAGACTCTTACGTCGCCAAGGTGGCCTTAGATAAAGAGGTTGGCGCCCAGGTATTGTTAGTTACGGCAACTGATTTGGACAGCGGCGACAACGGCAGAGTGGTGTATAACATTACACGCGGGAATGACGAGGGAGCTTTTGAGGTTGATGCCGATACGGGAGCCATCAAGTTGAAGAAATCTCTTACAACAGTTTCTGCATCTCAGTTTGAGCTTATAGTCGAGGCTGAAGACAAGGGCAATCCACCTAGAAAAACCAGTGCTACCGTGAAGCTAAATGTGTTTTTACCAGATGGCCCTCCAAAGTTTGTCGTCAAGCCAGTCATAGAGGAAGTCACCGAAGGTATCACTGCCGGCAACAGAGTCATGGTGGTGAAAGCTGCGACATCTGAGGCTCTCACTTACGAAATAATCTCTGGTAATGAAGATGGCTTGTTCCAAATCGTGCCATCTACTGGAGAGATTCGGGTGACAAGGGTGCTAGATTATGAAGAGAAAAAACAGCATGAGCTGGAGATACGCGTCATGGACACGAGAGACCGCAGTGACCAAGTCAAGCTTATTCTTAACGTCAAGAACATTAACGACAACAAGCCGCAATTCCCTGGCGAAGTCGGTGGGCTCGTCGAAAGGAAGGTAGATGAAGATTTCCTGACTGGCGATGCTGTTGCTCGTTTAGCAGCCTTTGATGGTGACGATGGAGATACCATTTCGTATACTTTGTCTCCCAACGCACAATCTTTGTTTTCGGTCGATAGCAATGGTGTCTTGATAGCAAAGAAACCACGAAAGGAAATCAGTTCGCCAGTCCAGTTTGATGTGACAGCCAAAGACAGTGGTACTCCTCCACTTGAGACAAAGATTAAAGCGCAGTTGGTGTTCGTTACTTACAGACCTAATCAGCAACCTGTTAGAGTTTATGTAAGGGAAGATAAAGAGGTCGGAAGTGTAGTAGCTACCGTCCCGAGATATTTTCCCGGTGGCACGCTCTCCATTATATTTCCTCAGAACTCCAACTTCACTGTTGATAACTCTGGCAAAGTTCGCATGACGACGCCTTTTGATTTTGAACAAACGGAGTTCTACAGTTTGACCGTCAGAGAACAAGAACCGGCCCCTGGCGGCCGCACGAACGACGTTGATGTGGAAATCAACGTGGTAGACATCAATGATAATAAGCCTAAAATGACGATGCTGGACTTCTTTGGTCGTGTTAACACCAACTCGCGCCCAGGGGCCAGTGCATATCAGCTCAAAGCAGAAGATGATGATGGTGGATTGGCTGGGACGGTCGGCTACCAGATGGTCTCCAAGGGGACACCATTTGGTATAAATCCACTGACTGACATTGTCGAAAGTACTGGTATTCTTGAAGACAGGGGAGGATACAATGTGACATTATACCCCTTCGACTTTGGCATTCCGCGTCAGTTTGGCAGCCCAGTGTATCTGGATATCAAAACGGTCAACTTTAAGCCACGGTTTTCGGAAGCGGCGTATAAGTTTGAAGTCTTTGAGAGAGCTCCTCCCGGAGTGATAATTGGAAAGGTCAAAGCTACCAGTGTTTCAGGAGCAAGAGTGGGTTACTCCATTGTTCAGGGTGATCTAGAGAAAAAGTTTCGCGTAGATTCAACCGGTGAAATAAAACTAGACTCCCTCTTGGATCGCGAAAAGAAGGCTTTGTACAACTTGAAAGTGAGAGCGACAGAACTTATTCCTAGGGGCTACTCAAATGATGTAGAAGTAGAGGTCACAGTTAAGAATGCCAATGAATACTATCCGTACTTTGTGCAGCGAGTCTATGAGCAGTCCGTCAATGAAGGCCAAGGTGCGGGGTTCTTGGTGCTTCGTGTACAGGCAAAAGACTGTGACTGCGGAGGATGCAACTGCCAGCTTGGTTTGCTAACCTTTTCACTAGAAGGCACCTCTTTGTTCAGAATTGACCCAGTTACTGGCGATATCACCGTAGGACCAAATCCTCTTGATTACGAAACGGAACCTGTACACGTATTCACTGTCTTTGTGGAGGACTTTGGTGAGAAGAAGTTCAAATCTCGGGCCTTTGTGAAGATAACCGTGCAGAACCAGAATGACGAAGATCCCCGGTTCCAGGAGAGTGATTATACTATTGGCATCGCTGAAGATGCGGTAACCGGGAAGGCGCTGGCTGCTATTCTGGCCAGAGACGCCGACGGAAATTCTTTGACGTATAGTATAACTAGTGGCAATAGTGGTGGCATTTTTCAGATTGGTTCTTCTACCGGTGTACTCTCACTGCAGCGGACAGTAAAAGGCAGCTCCCAAACACAGTACACACTCGAGGTTCGAGCAACAGATTCGTTAAATGGAAGGTACGACGAAGTTCGTGTAGTAGTCAACATCGAAGACAGTAACGACAACAGGCCAATATTCAGAAACTGCCCTTCACCAGGTCAGGTCTCTGTTGAAGAGA